AGAGTTATATTTATAAATTCGAGCCATATGACCGTATTAATATGATTGGCTTGTGACATAAGGTTTAAGCACCGAGAAACATTGTTTTAATATATGTATAATGTCATGCTCATAATTGCTGCTGGGTAAAGGAGAAGAGAATGTGTAGGGGGCGTAGGCACCACGAACCCGTACTGATTCGCAAGAATGGGTGCTTAATATATATCCTGCATTAGCAATGTTACTCCGTTGACATGAAGAGAGCCATACCTGAAGGAGATCTGTAATGGTTACGTTACTGGAGACACCAGTAAAGTCTTCTGCCAAAAAGCCTATGGTCCCTCGTATGCCTCTGGCATCATCAAGATGAAGAAGATCACGGACAATCCGGCATAGAGTTTTTATGTCCTTATCTTTCGCTAGTCTTCCTGATTCTCGGATCATACTAGAACCAATATCGGCTGCACTGGCTGGTTAGCAATATAACGCAGTATTGTCCAGGGTGAAGTAATCTACCAAGCTTCACCACTCCGTCTGATGTGATTCGGACATTGAGCAGGGAAAGATTGCCATGACATATTCCAAGGGTATTATGTATATATTCCAACCCGTGAAGTACCTATCAGCCTCGTCAGCTGAAAGTCAAATGATGTAGTCAATGGAAGTCACATACTCCCTTTGTTATAGTCGCAATTTCAACGTCCCCAAGCTGTAGATATGGGGACAGTTCTTGTATATCATAAAGTGAAATTCCCCAGGAGTCATATAGGAAGTATATATGCTTTTTTGACACAAAGACCTCCTTCAAGTTTACGAGATTCTGGTGTGATGTTTCAACAATGTTGAGTATATGAGGCTTCTCCTCTTTCAGCTGTAGTTGCTGGACATAGGCTACATGGGCACCTTCTGTGAACTCAATTGCGTTGACAGAGCCCTGCGCCGGTACCAGGCCAATAAAAAATCGGTTCAGCTGATCATAGGGTGATCCGTGCTTGACGAACAAGGTCTTGTCCTCTTTTATGGGTGTAGACAAATCTTTTTGTCCGCGGAAGGGTAGGTCTATTGGAGATGCCAGTCTGCGAATATTAACCATAATGACGATGCTAGTTGAGGGTGTATAAGATATGCACCTTATTGAATAGTAATATATTATCTCCATGTCATGTTGTCTCTTGGTACAATTATATAGGCACTAGTTTAAAATCTAGGTACCGCGCCGGAAATGGTTCTCGTCCGAGGTGGGGAATATTTACCGCGCCGGAAATGTCACCAGGATTTTCCTAATTCCTTTAGCCGCACGACTGAAATTATTTAGTTAGTGATCATTAAATCAGTCAGCAGCGTCATGAAGATTAGCTTCTCTTCATCTACTGGGTTGATTCTCATTGCTGTACAAGAGCTGGCATACTATTACAAGTCTTTGAATCATTTCTCATAATTCCCACGTTCTAAGATGGGTACCAGTGGCCGTTCTCAAAGCCCTATGGATCGGGCTTCTATCCCCATCTCTTATCCTATTGAGATAGATGATTTTGATTCATACGCATGGACTTTACTAGAGGATCATCCTATTCGCTGGTACCCAACTCAATCTTATATACCTTGGCAAATAAGGTGGTACAGTTGGATTCTTTTAGTAACTGGCGCTATTTTGCTATTATTGTAGGTTCTCAACCATTGACTCTCGTCTAACTATACTAATGTGAACTGGTAGTTGGTCCGCTAAATATATAATCTAAGTATCTTGCACAATAGTCAGTGTGCCTATCTACGTACCCCAGAGGTCAAGATAGGGAGCGAGGTGTGGGATAAAGATAGCCAACGCGGAACCGCAGTGGGGCATATTCCAAGACTGAAACCAGCGCGCATAGGATGTTTTCTCACTTGTCGATTGAGACAATTAACAAGAGTGAAGAAACCCTGAAGTATGCTATAGCTTTTTTATAACTGTACTATAAGTATTACACTACTAGTATTACTGTACAACCTTGAGCCCATGCGATCTTCAACGGCGAGCATCCTCTGAAGGCTTTCAGTGTTAAATAACGGATAATCTCTAAGATGGACTCAATGTACAGTAGCCCAAGCCAAAAAGCCGATCAATTAGTCACACAAAGACTTCGATATTTCCGTGGTTATGCAAAGATTGAACTTCAACACCTGATATTTGAGGATATGGACGTGATAGGTTCCTGTGAGGTGGATAGAAAGAATGTCGAGCGACTTGTTGAAATTTTCAAAATCGAAGGCTGTGGTCATCTTGAACCGGAGCATAGGGTGGCAGCTATCATCGACGCACAGATCCTAGAGGAAGCTGCAGCATCTTCGATGGTCACTAATGAAATGCTCCTCAAGGAAGTTGATCCCCCAAGTCTGAGATTCAGGCAGGACATTCAATTGTTATGTCCGTATGGAAATCATCGCCTCCTAGCTGCCAAGGTTTACGGGGAGAAGTGGTGGCTAGTTGAACTATACCTTAAAGGTAAGCAGGATATCCCTATCGGCTACTAGATCTTGCTAACCAGGTCATCAGGAATACCAGCGGAAGTACTGACACAGATGCGCGAGGAGTCAACCAATTCAAGAAGCTTCAAGGATGGTGATATATACAGAATCTTGCGACAGTATCAGCTCATGGACAACCAATCTCAAGCACGAAAATGGTGGGCAAGATTCGGCTCCAACGGGCGCCGCAAGGATATCAATCGATTGCTTAAAAATCGTGCTGTATGTGCTGGATTTGATTTACTGCTTCCTTTTATCGGGCTTTGGGATCCTTTCAAGACTTCTCAGCTTGAAAGAATATTAGGTCTTCGATACCCTGAGGTAAGGAAGAATAGCTTTTCGGAGTCTATCTCCCACCTACTCCTCCATCTTGCAACAATCGATACTTAAAACATATCAGGCAATCTGTTGTTACCTGTCTCAAGTTCACAGTATATGGTCAAGCCTTTTCACCAACGACACAGCGTCTCGTGTTGACGGGCGATCTGTGCACCAGATCGAAGGCCTCATGCCAACTATATCCCTTGGAGACCGAGCTACCATCACGAAAACCATCACATCCGGTGAATTGTTTCCACTGATCACTGACCGAGAGGAAAGAAGGATTCTTTGCAACCGCTTGCTTAGGGTTCCGGGGAGGATACTTTCACTACAAACTCTTGTGGATGATACATGTTACTTAGACTACCCTGCAAAGATCCTCCGCACGCTGCTGCCTACTGGCTTCAAAGGGAGCATTGAGACAGCGTTTTCGTCGTGTCACAGTCTGCCAACGCCGAACAGAATGGAAATTCAAACTTCGGAATATAAGTTCAAATTAGTGGATGCTACCCGACATGCAGCAGCTGTTGGGCTGATACAGCTCTGGCTATTTGCGTTGCGGCATTTTGTCCATCCCGCCACTGACTCGAACTTTGGCTGGTCAGGTCCTCAGCATATCATTGAGGTCCGCAGCAAAACTCGGATGGCCTTGTTAGCATCAAGGCTCGGATTTACTACAGATCAAATTGAGGAGCTGGCAAGTAAAGACACTGATTCTGCCACGTCCACCCATATACTGGAGACCATCTGTCGGGAGGAGTTTTATATGCCTAATAACAAAGAAATACAGACAATGACGCACCTGATCAAGAACCTGCTCAGAAGTCTTGGGAAACAAACAATACAGTCCCATAAGACGCCTACCATTGCAACCAATGATCCTGATGAATCAGGGAGGCGGAGACAGAATCGACCATTAGCTGGAGAGCACTACAAGGACCGGCATTGGCTCTTTTTTGAGTATATATTTGGTGGTCTGCAGCAATCCACTGCCCAGTACCCGACATCTTTTGCAGTTACCCGGGATATAATTTTTTGTTTCTTCAGGAGGGATGTGTTCTTGAATCTGATAGGTGGACAAAATGCAAGTACAACTGAGACAGGTCAGACACTATCTTCCTCATCTAATACCGAAACTCTGAGCGATTTCAACTCTTCCCCTGTTGAGCTCCTCCCGCATCCATCAGGTACCCCAGATCGTGATCACATGTCGGGAGTCGAGTATGAACTACCCCCGGTGTCCACAGCAGATGATAGACACAAGGTATCTCAAGCTGCAGGCGCTGGAGCTCCCACAGTCGAGGACGGACATGAGGCACATCAGGGTGCGGGCGCTGACACTGTTATGGAAGAGGCTGAACCAACCGCTCCTCTTGCTGCAGGCTTTGAGATCGAACCAGCCCCATTAGGAAGGCTAAATCATATTACTCTGCACCGGGACGTCCGAGCCATTCTGCACCAGTGGTACCGTTCAGCCAATACACGTCTAATCATCCTTTTCCTCTTCGAGTCACGCGCGTATTACAAGTTCCGTACTTCAGACAATTATGCTCTCCGTGGAACATTGTTGGATCTTTCCAGAGAGCACTATTTCCTTGTTGTGGGACATAACGGTGAAATGCAGAGCCCAGCAAATATTTACGAAGAGACCTTGAAAGCACGGCTTGTTTTTGTTGGAAAGAAGGATCACCCCACGAATGAAGAACACGGTGCAACTAATTCTCGAATCACAGTTGATAGTCTTCGAAGATATGCATCTAATTATGATGTCAGGACGGGAAAGAGAAAACGCCAGCAACAGGAGAGTATAGAGGAAGTAGAGTCTGAATAGATTATAGTAGTCTGGAGAGAATTTTATTATCTGAGTGGATTACTCTAGTCTACTAAGACCATATGAGTCTAGAATGGCAGCCCAGCCTTTCTGGTTCATAAAAGTCTAGACAGATTTCAATAATCTAGAGAGACTGATCTAGCTGAGAAAGATTCTAGTTTTCTGGAGGGGCCATGGTAGCCTAGTGAGATTCAAGTAATCTAGGGAGATAACGCAGTCTTCTTAGACTGTAAAGGTCGAGGTGGATCTAAGTCAGCTACTGAGATCATGTTAATCTGGAAAGACAGTCTAGTCTCTTTGGACCATGAAATTCTAGGTGGATTTCATCTATCCAAGTAGACTGTTAAGGTCTGAAAAGACAATGAGTCTACAGAGATTCTAGCTATCTGGTGGGGCTATAGTAGTCGGTTAAGACTCTACTAGTCTGGAAAGCTGACCTAGTCTTTCTAGATCATGATAGTCTATGTAGATTCAAGTTATCTGAACAATACGCCTTAGTCTACTAAGACGACCAGGCCATGCGGACTATGGTAGACTGCTGAGACTCTACTAGTCTGGAAAGCTGATCTGGTCTTTCTAGATCATGATAGTCTATGTAGATTCAAGTTATCATCTGAACAATACAACTTAGTCTATTTAGACCACCAACAGATAAGATTATCACTGGGATCGTGTATAAAGTTTCTATGCTTGTTCTCATTGCATCAATTCGAGGGTGTACTAGCCATCGGACAAATCTCAACTAGATATTTGAACGGCCTTGTCTTTGGGCATAATAAAAAGAGCCGTAGCACGGACGGCCTCCACCAGGGCCCCTGTGGCTTGGTCCGGAATCTTGATTGATCCTTCCATGTACACCTTGCGCCCCTCCACTCTTACAGGCCAGGTACTGATCCTCAGCGGAGCCTGAGGGTTGACTGGCCGGAGATAAGAGATAGCTAGATTAGCCGTAAGGGCTCCTGCACAGCAATCCGCGAAAATTTGGTCCAAGTAGAACGCCTGTATTCCTCCATGCAGCTTCCCTGGATAATAGCAGATCCGTTGTTGAGGTCTCAGTGTCATCGTATAATCAGCTGCTTTGCCCATGGGAACGGCTCGAATGCTCGGATTGTAACCTTCCATCAATGCTGTCTTCAATACGGGTCCTGATATGGGGGTGGACAATGTCTACCACCTGTCAATGGATATTCACGTGAATTTGGATAAATCCACAAACATACCTCGATAGCACATTTGCGATAATTTCTCACTAGCTTTTGTGTTCGCAAAGGACACCATTGTCCTATTTTCACGCGCAATTGCATATTATCTGGTCGTGGATTTGTGAGAAAACCTTCGTTCTGCTGAGTGTATAGTCAAAAGAGGTGTCGTGAGCGTCTAAATTTACTTTATATAGTATGTCCTCAACGCAGCAGAGGAACTGCCCCAGTTGCATAAATGGCGCAAATGTGTTCACTCTTGTTCGAATATAAGTGGGTCCGCTAGTCGCTTCCCCTACAGTAGGAGTTAAGTCTACTAACGTATCCTGGACTAGCGCCATTATCTATGCTGATCAGCGTGACGATTACCTAACACGGACTCTGCGAGCCGATTCCTGATGTGCATGGAGATAAATCTCTGGATCTGAAACTTCTATCTAGTGGAGACATCATTCTTTGGAACCTATCATGGTCCATTTTTCAGTGGGGTTTGCCACTCCTCTTAAAGCGCGCAGCTTTGCAATACAGGGGCAGGCTAAGTTAGAGAAAGTAAGTTAGAAGATGCCTCGCAAGGCAGTAGTGTCCTTGGAGAGGTACTGAACTTTGCGGCGGCTGATCCCAAGCACTGGCCATAATAGGCCTTGATGAGATACCAAGTTTGTCAGGAAAGTAATAGGACACGGAGTGTGGAGGAGAAAGTAGTAGCCTCCATTTTCCTCAGCCTATGAATTATCATCAACAACAACATCAAAAACAACAATAGCCCTATAAGATAAGACCAGAAGAAAGCAACGATCTTGAAATAGTCGACTTATGTGGAGTAGTCTTGTTTTTAACAAATCATTGTTCATATTCACCAATTCTACTCAACAATTTAGCTACCGGGTCAATTCTCTGGCGGAAAGAGATGGCTGGAACGATGAAAAGAAACAAAGGAAAGATAGATGAGAAATGAGAAATACAAAAGAATATGCTTGGCCATGGACAATGATGGGGATAGAAAACAATAAATTAGATGATTATACTGGAAGAATCCCATTCAATTCTTCTGTACAGGCTTCTCTATTTGAAGGATGACGTGATCAAGCAAGTCTCTAATATAACTAAAACCTTTGCTCAATCAATATACTATCATCCTATATCCGGTAGACTCAAATATCCGAGCGGACATAGGATCGCAGTCGAAAATATGACAAGATCCAAATCCAAGACTTTTTCAAAGCATTTCGACTCTTCTTTTCCGTAAGCATAGCTTTCGTTGCTTCTCGGTCGGCGTTATTCGGATTACCTGCATGGAGTAGGTAAGCCAATGGAGTACTGTTCTCATAATCCCTAGCATTTATGGTTGCTCCATGGTCCAACAATATTTTCACAGCAGCCAGTGAACTGTACTCAGCAGCCCAGGAAAGAGGTGTCCGACCGTGCATATCTCGTGAATCAATATTTGGCTTCTTTTGGAGGAGATAAAGAAGTAGGTCGGTACACCCCCCCATGGCAGCATAATGAAGAAGGGATCTTCCGAAAATGTCTCGTCTTCCCAGTATTCGTGGCGATTCAAGTGATGTACGTGCCTTCTCAAGGAATCCCAAAAGATTATTATTCCACTTTATCATCTGAAGATTCCTCAGCCGGTCAAATTCGAGATCAATACGCTTTGAGAAAGTTGGCTGCCCCATGATAATGATGATAATGATGATAATGATGATGATGATGATGATGATGAAACCGGTGACGATGATACTGATGATGATAATAAGAAGAGAAAAAAGTGTGTTAAACGGAAATGGGCCCTTTATAGGTTTCCCAGCAATTATTCGATATCCGGCAGATGTATAACTGAATCACGGAGCTGCTAGTCTCTCGAAAGCCAAAGCTTACTGTTTCTACCAAATAAACACAGTGAATCTACCAAATATGAACTCTGCGAGTCGATTCTTGACATGCAGCTAAATCTTGAAATCTTTCGCATCTACAGAGTGTAGACATTATCATTTTGAACCTATCACAGTCTATATTACAGTGGGGTTTGGCGATTCTTTTTCGGCTCGCGGCCAACATGAACATTAGACTAAGAGATTGGAATTATTTTCTTTCTCTATTGTAATATAAGTAGTATTCCTAGTTATCTAACTTGAGTATCATGGTAGTGGCATTTGCATTTTTCAGATATGCGGTTCTTAACAATAACAGCAAACATGCTTAGTGCTATATCTTTAGCCAGAGCCAATTCCGATGTAGTGAATAATTCTCTTGTGAGTCTGCCATCTTTGCTAGATCCTATTATTTTCATATGGCCGTGCATGGTTCTTACCTGCTAGTGCGCAGTATATGTACGGACCAATACATCTTGAAGCCTGGGCGGGGCCCAATTGCCAGGGTGAGACGGCTTATACACATTTTACGGACTCATATTATGGACGAAATTTATCGAACGCTTTGGTATCTCGCAGTTTCAAGCTCTCACGTGCTCTTCATGGGAAAGAGCAATTAGATATCTCTGTGACTCGCAATTTTGACACGTGGTATGCGGACAAAGATCAACTTTCTAGGAATGACTCTTCATGCCAGATTTTTGTTCAGACATACTACGCTGTAAACGGAAGTACAGCGTGTCATAATACGCCTAAGTTCACATGTCATCGCCTTTGGACAAATACTGGTCTTCCCTGGTCCTATTCGACCGAATAGAAGAAAAGAGAAAGTTGATGTTGAAGTCTTTTACTGCTCTCTATTTCATCGTCGACCTATGTGGGAGCGTGATTATCCGAACTTATAATTCCGAAACCTAATGTAGAAACTTATGTATATTGCAAGTGAAGCTTCATAGAAATACAGTTGGTGTTACTTACGTGCATTTTTGTTCACACACTCGCTATTCAACTCCCTTAATTCACTGGAGCTGACCGTGCACCGTAGTTCATGCGCTATTGATACAGTAACGGACATAAGACTGGCCATAGACCGTATAAGTCTGAGATTCTTAGACGCCTATTGACGTGGTCCTTGTTATTCCAAGAATGATTGTCACAGCCACGCATTTGTATAAGCTCTTGTCCAAAGAAGCTGATGTGATGCGGTCCATTGCTATTGTTGGCGAAGTGGCTAATATTGCTGAGGACATGGCGACAGTTCAAATGCAGCTGCGGTGAAAATAATGGAGATTTCCGGCTGGTTCCCACCGTAATTTTTGGGGCGAGTAATGTCGTAAGGTCAGGGTTGCTAGCCGCGGAGGCAGCCATCCGTTGGTAACTTGACAATTAGCTGCACTGAGCGAATGATGTTCTATCAAGGAGGAAGGGCGTCGAAAGAAAGGAGAGAAGGAAGTTGTATTGAGACCTATTGTTTGGATCAACCGACCGGGGAAAGCGCCCTGCTTATACTGTTGGTTATAATATATAGGCCAAACCCGTCGCAGGCGAAAATTGCCGTCTCGTCTAGGTACAACCCAGGCTTCTCGAGAAGATATTCGCCTAATACTTCCAGCATGATCGGTGTGATTAGTCCCGCCCGCCTAACTCGAGTTGGTGGCGCTCTAGGAGGACCGAAGACCCGCAGGTTGGAGCCGGTATATTTGACTGTCTGCTTATTATATTCGGTAACTTTAGCGGTTTTTGATATAGACATGCTGCAGCTTTTCCATGGCTGTCCGCATAGGTATTGCAGGTTCGTGAACGAGGCCCTAAAGTGTAAGAGGACTTGTCTTGATCGTTCCGCTTCGAGTGCCCAACGGTCATCGAATCTGCCCTAAGAGGAGGGAGTCGGATGTCTATTTTCTTGAGTAATAAGTTTGGATACTTCTAACTCTATCCCTAGGCCTCACTAGCCTCTTACTGTATTCTGTTCCATTATCACGGCTTTGACAAAATCAGGTGTACCTTTAGGCAAGACGCATGAGACTCAGAATAAAAAGTTAATTCTCGGTGACTTGTGTATATGATCTAGTACATGGATATAGTTGCTTCCTTATTCAAGCCACTTAATTGAAGCTACTTAAATAGATATACTGGCTATCTCTTCTGAAGAGATCCTGTACAGGTACAGATGTTTTGAGATTCTTCCGCCTCGTGGGCCATATCAAAAGACCCGAACATCTATTCGAACTAAATCTTCCACCATGGCATGGCTGGACCTAGCGCAAGACGCCACGGGCTAGTCCCTGGTTGCTACGGGGAGGGTGAAGTAACGATGTCCTGTTCGCGCACCTTCTTATAAGAATGGATTTGTGTGTCCATTAGTCATTGAGAATAAAACCCTAATAAAGTAATGGTGGTGAGGGCAACTTCTGGTAGCCTTTATATACGTTTACTCATAGAATTCTTTTATCTACAAGGAGGCCCACAGCCGTCTAGCATGAAGGCCCAAAGTGAAAAGAAAATAATATTAGTATTATTGTGTCTGTGAATAGATCCTCTATCAGGCTCTTATTAGTGCAATTCAAATATTGCTTGACATGACTTCTCCCAAAATTTCACGACCTGGCTCCAACTTCCTAATCCTACCAACCAAGAACGCTCTCTATCTTTCAATTGCTGAAGATTCTGATGCTAAGGAGACGGCGTCAGTATCGGAAAGCTTTGCAACAGTCAATGGGCAAAATATCAGCTCCAAATCCTGCACTTTACGTCGTTCGATAACCTGTACGGTAACATTCGCAATGAATAGTTTCTGGTATACCTGCAATACCATTCATTATAAGCTTTTGGTTAGAGTCAATGAGCGAGTACATATCTTATAGATTGCAAAAAGACGATCAAGGACTTCCTCAGAGCTATGGTTGTCCATGTTGGGATCTACGCGGTCCGCGAAGAGGGTTTGCTTAGATTTTCTAGCTCACGTTGAACCTCTGCTGGGGCAGCACTAAGTTTTCCTTATCGATATTTTGAGCTCTTCCCTGTGCTGGTCATCATCTCGCTGTCTGATCTTTGCCCTGGGTTTGATAAGCTCTTCCAGGGGACCAGCTGCGTTGATGTCCTCGCTCTCTGTCGATTGACTCTTCCAAAGTTAGCGCGTCATGCCGGGCTACTCACTGGTCTGCCTTGGATTTTCCTCTCTTACAGGAAGCGCGTGTTTCTATGCGCAGTTTCTCTCTATCTATGGGCTTTTTTTTTTTTTTTTTTTTTTTTTTTTTTTTTTTTTTTTTGTTTTTCTTTTATGGCTCCCGAGCACAGTCTGTAGGACCAGAGCAAAATCTCAAAGAAAGCAGCATTATCGATTATGAGATATATTAAAGAGTCAAAGCAGAAAAAAGAGTCGGTCCAGGCGTCAAATGACTCTAAATGAAGCTCATATGTTATCGGAGCCCAGGAACCCGAATGTGTAGATTCGAGTAGATAAGATAGAAATTATATGCCAAAATAGGTTGGGGTGAAAGGAAATGTGGTGAAGGAAAGCAAGCCGTTCCACTGTGACACTTGTGGAGACTATGGCGTCACAGCGTTTATCAAGTTGCTATTACAGAAGGATCGTACGGCAGCAGCTCCCTTGAGATCGTTGGTCGCTAGGAGGTTTTCCCTGTTCAACCTCGTATTTCCTCATGTGCTCGTAAAAAGAGTTTTATTACATACAAATGGAACCCCCCGAGACGCAAATACCTGAGCCACCTGACCGCGGCGAAGACGAAATCACGTCAATAAGCCACTTCAATGCGACTACGTAAATGGAATGACATCATGGAGCTACCTATTAATTAACAACTCTTGAGAGCTGTGGCATATCGCGTGATTTGTTGTCAGATATTATATACTGCTGGCTACCTTGCCATGTGTATGGCAGCATAGAGGTGATCAAATGCAGCCTTTAAATCGTCGGAAGAGAAGATAGTACTTATCCAGTAAGGGCTCCAAACCAACTACCTTTTTTCCAAATAATCTACACAAGGTCTGTAGATCAGACTTTGAGCCTGGGTTTATTCCTCGACGATTATCTCATGAATATAAAATCGTGAAGGGTTGAAGATTGCTTTTAAATTCTTAGACATCTTCTAAAAAGTGTACAGGAGCATCACTACTATCCAGCTGACTGGATAATTGTATCTTCTTCGAAGGTCCTTCAGCAGCGCCATCCTCAGAGACCCAGTTTCGCTTTCTGGCAACGCAGTTACGACGGGGTTCTTCAATTGAGTGAACGTTATGAAAGTGGCGTTGCAGATCCAAAACTGACGGATATGCTTTGCCCTCGCAACAAGGATGAGGGCACAAAATTGCCTTTCCCCTGTCTATCGTTGCTAAGTGTTCACTGTCAATATGGTTGATCAGTGTGGCTTTTTCGCGCCATTGCTTGAAACGATGTTCAGGTTGCATGCTCTCGTCGCCCAAGCAGAAAGGGCAAAGCCCAGGGGAGACTAATGTATGACGAAATGTCAGTAAACCACAACGCAGCGGAAGATTTTTGAGGTGAGAGCAACAGTGTTCCTGCCACTCAGACTCAGTGTGGAACCATTTTGCACATAAATAGCACCATTCCAGAAACGCTCGGTTGGTACGGCGATGGGCCCTCTTCCCATTTTTATAGAATTGCTGATATGGCGCAGCGTTAAGAGACTTTCTTTTACATTGGAGGATATGCTTCGAACGACTCTGTAGTTCGATACTGCAAATATCAGTAAGAGAGTTTATGAGTAAGGAAAACCTGCAACAAACCTTGACATAAGTTTCGAGCAAGTTGGGCATCTTCCGTCAACTGGTGATTCGCCAGGATAGTATGCTACTCTCTCAGTGGACAAACAAATAGCCACCATATCTAGTAAGCACTGTCTTCCAGTTTTGCTGTCAATTGCCACTTCTGTGAATAAGTGGTCCCGTAGCCTGTCACGCTCTGGCAAGTATTTGCGATAGATTGAAAATAGGCATGTTGTATCGCGCTCAGTAAAGTCATTTCCTGAAATATATTCATCGTAGGAGGTCCTCCACCAGTGCTGAATAAAATCTTTGGTCTTGCTGCGACGTTTCTTGGCCACCTTGTTATATAAGATATCTCGCTCACTTGCGAGATCTGGATGTTCATCTGGCTTGCCATTGATCTTCTTTGTCAAGGTTTCAATACCTGCATACAAGCCTCTGATCTCATCATCATTCTCAAACTCAGCAACAGCAGCTGCATCGAGCTTCTGTGGGGCGTTGGGATCACGGTGATGGGCCATGCTTTCTTCCGTATCGAGGCATTCATTATCAGGCTCCAGGTTCCAGAAGTGCGCCTGAATATCAGTGCGTTTGAACTTTGATTGATACTTAAGGTAAGTATCTGGATTTGCATGGTCTAGTGCCTGGCTACGCATAGCTTGAGATGCCTTTGCTGTAACACAGTTAATATAATATTATTAAATCTTGAAGGGGAGAATATACCATCAATAGTAGTTGCTACCCGGCCCCTTATCCCGTGTATTCTCAACGGGTCTCGAAAATGTTCTCGTTGGGCAAGAGAGGTTAAGTGATTCCGGATTGAAGAGAATGTTAGGGCTCTGGTAGCATGCGGTCCATCTGCGGTAACCATGCGAAGAACTGGCAGGCGCTTTACATGATCTTCCCATTCAAGAGTCCAAGATTCTCTTCCCTTAGGTGGCTTCATTGACAGCAGTTTATCAACAGTGCGAATTCCTTTGAAAGCTTGGTCGGCTATGCCTACGACCATGACATAGAAGATAAAATTCCGGCCAAGCACCTTCTGTTCTGTAATCCAGTTCTTCGGACTAAGGATATTAACTTACGTAACAGTGATATTCTAAAATAGGTACTTACATAACTGCTTCATCGTCGTACCGGTGGCCTTTGAGAAACTCTGGATCGATAGTAACCCATCGTTTAATCTTATTGTCTTTATATCGGATGTTGAAGCTCAGATGCTTGGTATAAACAAGTTAGCTTCTTATACTCGGATCCTATATGGTTGAGATATGAACATACCTCGTAGAAAAGGCACTCATTGCTACCTCTATATGAGCTTGACTCGACAATAGCTCCAGCTCTAGCCCCAGAACCCGAGAACAGTGACAAGGCAAACCCATTCTGAAATCGAGCCCGTTCATGAACGTAGTCATGATCATCGTTTTGAAACAAGCGTCTAAGAAGAAGATCGAGGTCTGTTGCTGTAACATGGAATTTCTCTCTATGTTTCGTCTTGAGCCCATATTTTGGTGTCAAATGATTGCGTACATGCTTTTGCCGAAGTAAGTAAGCATATGTGCCAAAACGAGTGTAGAAGATGTAAACCATACATTATTGACATCATCCTTAACAGCCTTCGGGATGGTTCTCGAGGTTTTCCTTTCCCATTCAGCAATAAAGCAGGATGTATGATTAATCACGCTATGTTGAGAAGGTAAGTCTCCTTCACGTAGACAGATATAGCTCTCGGAGAATAGTTTCAAGATCTGGCTGGGAGGATCTGGCTCTAGCTCTGAGAAATACCTGTCCTCAGGTTCGTTTTGCGTCATCATCCATCTAAAGTGGAATTAGAACTCTCGCTTTTATTTGATAAGAATTGCATACTAACGTTTTCCAGTTTTCAACGGCTTTGTTGTACCGTACATCACTAGCTGGAGTTCTCTTTTTATGACATATTTCGTTCTCTTTCTTTTTCACATCTTGTTGGTACTCTGTAGTAAAACCACGTGCTTCTCCGAGTCTACGGAGCTCAGCAATCCTGCTCTGCTTCCGCTCTTTAGAAAGCTCGGGATCTGTGTCACGTGACATGGTTGTTCTTCGTATAGGATCACTTTTGGAGACGTTTTTTCTAAAGAACAATTTTGAAGGAGAAAAGAGATGGACGGGCAGGGCAAGCGCCCTATTTAACTTCATAGGATTGTTAGGGGCCGGCTTGCATACCTACTTACCCACTCGCTTACCCACTCGCTCACTCTGCTCACCCTGCTCACCCACGTCGTTAACAACATCACCCAAATCACCCACACTCACCCTATGACTTAGCGTTGCTCACCCATAAAGCAGCAACGCACAAAAGGCTCACTTTCCAGTCGGCCGCGTTTAATATGTGGCTTGAGTACGGCTGAGCGGACGGGAAGCCCTATTTTCCACACCCTGTGGTCGTATGTGATATTACTCATAAATAAGATGACCTATATCTAGCATACTGCTACACAGACGTTCACCAAGTACTCGGAAAGCGGACGGACTACTCTGAGGAATTGCGTAGAAAAAGTCGTCTGGATGATCTAACCCGAATTTGATGGTCTTTGTGGTACTGTTGACAACGTAAATGAGTGCGGGCGGTACGGGCATGGTAAAGTACATATATTATGTTGTAGTTGTTGTATAATCAACCTCAATAATACAGACTACAACTGTTAGAATTATCAGACTGCTCATGAATGTAAGACATTACTACCTGTATACTACGTTCTTCACAGCTTACTTATCCACAAGAAGCCTAAAAGCTTTCCGGATGCACTAATCATTGAGACTCTTGCAGTTATTCTGCTACTAACCATGGTAAGCTCTAAAGGACCACCAAGATGGAGGCTTGTCGGGGCCTTGTAGCTCACTTCTGCATGGTGGTCTTAGATCCCGTACTTAATACAAGTACTGCCGTCAATCAACATATATCTACGTACATGGTGCTAGAAGTATAAGAAAAGAACAATAACAAAAAAGTGAAAAGAAAATAATTCTAATTTACTGCAACTAGCTAATGCTGCCAAAATAAGATTGACAAAGGATATATTGCAACGTGAAGTACAGAAAGAGTCGGAATAGGCAAACTGTCAAAGTGCATGGAATCTATGTGAAATGCCTTCTAGCTATGTACAGGCGTAAAGTCTATGCTGCTGTTGCCCTCGACTTTGGCGGCCATCTCACCCGTCGTTCTGCGCGTACGTACAGATTATTAGGCCTGATCAGCTGGAACATGGGGTCGTACTCGATGGGCCCGTTGTCCTCCATGGAGAATTTATAACGGTACACCAACTTGGGCAAAAAGACCTTGACCTCCTGGAGTGCAAAGTTGAACCCAATACACATACGCGGGCCCATTGCAAAGGGAATATATGCCGCTTTGTGCCTAGACTTCACCTCCTCGGTATCCCAGCGGTCGGGGTTGAAACGAGCAGGGTTGTCCCAAAGATCAGGATGATTATGGATATGGTGCAGTGCAGGCACTATGACTGACTCTTTAGGTAGCTTATACCCTCCTGGTAGAACCAGATCAACCTTTGCTGTTCGGCCCGGTTGGAAAGATGGATTATGCCGGCGTTGCGTTTCTTTGATATACTTATCGAGAAACTCAAGTTTATCCGTGAAATCCGCTGTGATTTCGGTATTTTCGTCGAATCCATGATCAACCAATTCTAGGAGAAGTCGTTCCTGCATGCCTGGGTACACACAGAGACCATAAATGAGCCAGGATAAAAGGGAGCTTGTTGTAGTGAAACCAGCACCAGTGGCAACGACAAGGGCCCATGTCAGACTCGACTGTGGCAACTTCTGGCCCTTGTTGTCGGTTGCACGAATGGCATAGTCTGCTATGAGTCAGCTTTCATGGTCTGTCCAACGGAAATACCTCTGGAATTGGCGTTTGGACTTACCAACCATGTTGTCAGCTTTCAGAGCAGCGTCTTGCAAAGGCAAATCCTCGTGGCCTCCTCGTGAAGCCGCCTCCATTGACTCCGCTACCATATTCTCGATGCTGGTCCTCAAGCTGCGGAGTCGCTTGGGATCACCAAATGGCAGTCCAGCATACCAATTGCCCATGGAGGTAACCTTCTTATTGAGAGAAAGCATTTCGGCGATATTGTGGACCATTTCGTGAACAGGAGCATCCGGTGCTTCGAAATGCTTAAAGTCGAGCCCCAGAACGAGCTTTCCAACTGCCTGAGAGCCCAGCTTGAGCATGTATTGATATACGTTCCAAGCCTCACCCTGCTCATCCAGCGCATCAAATACCTTGAACGAGTCTTCGACTGTCTTCTGCATAGTTGGGGCGTAGTGGCGGACCGCCTTCGGACCCAACGCCGGAGGCAAGAACTTGTGAGCGACTCTCCATTCCTCGGTATCAGTATCTCCAAGAAAAATGCCAGCGGAGGGGGTCTTGAGCCCAGCCAGGGGGTGAGCTTCGTTAATTTTCTTGGTAAAAAAATCTGACTCAGCAAATGCAATTGCAGCTATTTTTGGATCATTTGTCTGGTAGGTGACACGACCCAAGTTGTTTGTTTTCACGATGGGGCCATATCGTTCAAATAGACGCTGATGGTTTCCGAGATGGTCGGGGTAAACTTCGAAAAAGGTGCCAACGAAAGGTAATTCCCTGGGACAGGGAGGTTCGCGCACGGCATGTCCGTCGATCGTAAGCGGTAGAGGACCCGGTGCTGCCAGCACCTCTGAGAACTCGCTTAGGGCAGCATCATAACCCTGGAAGCCAATTCCTAGATACCATACGTCAGAACTGGAATGGTTAAGAGGTTGATTGGGGAAAGGGAGGCGCTTCCTCCACACTAGACTCTGCTAATGCCACACACTGCCGCCTACTATGTCGAAGCACTATCCGCTAGACCAAAAACGATAAACTGCTTCTGGCTAGCCAGGCGACGGAGAGATATGTGTTTCAAGGTAGTACTAGATAAGGCTTGCTTTGGGAAGCACGCAGAATCCCACTGCTTGGTGTTTTGGTCTTGCTTGAGTCTGAGGCAGCACAGCAACACCCTAGGCAGTAACTTACTACCTCAGGCAAGGATGCTTCAGCCTGCTTCAAAAAGCAAGCCTTACCTTATCAAGTAGGCAGGGGGTGTGGCATGAGCGAAGGCTGGTGTGGGGGTAGCGTTCCTCTGCCGAAGGGGCTACCGACCGCTTGGCTCAACAATTGCAAAGTGTGCTGCAATCAAGTTCTTCAGGTCATCGATAGTCGCGGAAGGATCGATCTGAATCTCTTTTGCTGCCGATGGGCTTTCTCCCAGAAGATAGAACGTTTGCGAAGGCATTGTTGAAAGTATAGTCACCCGGCTGGTGTGAAGTCCTCAGATTTGAGCCTTGCATGGCGTGACACTTATATATCTTCGCAGCGGCGAGACCTCCTTCAATAACACCGATGCTCCGCCAATTTCTGCTCGACCCACAGGCAGTCTAGGTCCTCAAGCGGTAGTGCAGTTGTGGTGTAAAGGTTCGTATACAGCGTGACGTGGTTATTCCTCGGAACTGATTGTCATCATCCGAGGTTCGGAACGAATGGCATCTGGGACGGATGAGTGGCCAGACCGGCAAGCTTATCCTCGGAATGCTGAAGGCCAACTATATCGGTAGTATCCACACTCACAGGTATGCTGTGGACTCAGTAGACTAGGTGTGTTTCAAAAAATCTTCGCATACAAATAGAACCTCAGGTCATCATTCTTAACGCGTATCTAATTTGCTGTCAAGCGCCACAAGCACTCCCCTCCGCATACGCCCTTCACAAAGCTTGTCATAATCCCACCGTTGCAAAAACCACAGCTATGCAAATATTCTCTTTAGAGGAGGTTGGCAAACATAATAGCAAGATCGACTTATGGGTTGCTATTCACGGCAAAGGTGAGCATTTAATCTACTGTTTATCCGTGATATCAGAAAGCTAATGTGCTTAGTGTACGATGTCACAAGCTACGTAAAAGATCATCCTGGCGGTGCTGATCTCTTGATTGATGTTGCCGGTCAAGATGCAACGGCGGCGTATGAAGATGTTGGCCATTCGGAGGATGCAAGCGAGATTCTCGAATCCTTCCTGATCGGGACACTGAAAGATGCGGTGGAATACAAGGCCCCCACAGCTGTCAGACTTATCCAGCCACCTCCGGTGTCTTCACCTGAGCGAAAGGTTAGCTGGGATGCTACTCGTATTGTTGGTCTCGGTGTTGGCTCAGTTGCTTCACTTTATCTTGCGTCTAAAGCTCTGAGACCACATCTCGACTTTCATCACTTGGCTGAGCTTCTGCCCAGCCTGCCGTCCCTGTCTTCCATCAAGCTTTCCCCATCCCTACCTCATGGGGGTTTTGCTACTGGGGCAGCCGCCACGGCCTGTATCTGTGCCGTACTAGGCGGCATAGTCGCGTCTCGCCTCTCGAAGCTCACAGAGATCGAGTCGGGCTTCACGAAGTATCCCCCTCGGGTCAAGAGAAAGACTATTCACCAGCAAGACCCCCACCTCATCCCTGGCTTCCTCCAACCGAAAGAATACAAGGCCCTACCACTGGTGGAGAAGACACTGCTCGCTCCCAATGTCTATCGCTTCGTCTTTCAACTTCCTCGCAAAGGCGATGTGGTTGGTCTGCCCATCGGACAACATGTCGCCATCAAAGCAACTGTCAACGGCCAATCCGTGTCTCGATCATACACTCCAACGTCGAATAACCTCGACTTGGGTAGACTGGAGCTGGTAATCAAGTGCTACCCAGATGGATTGCTCACAGGCCAGTACCTTGCCAACCTTGAGGTCGGTGACAAGGTCCTCTTTCGTGGCCCCAAAGGCGCAATGCGATACAAGAGGAATCTCTGCAAAAAGATCGGCATGATAGCTGGCGGCACAGGAATCACGCCTATGTTCCAGCTTATTCGCGCAATCTGCGAAGACGACAAGGACACCACTGAGATCTCCCTGGTTTACGCCAATCGTACGGAAGATGATATTCTCCTACGTACTGAGCTGGAAGCATTCGCATCAGCCTATCCGAAATCGCTGAAGATCTGGTACATGTTGGACCACCCACCAAACGACTGGCAGTACGGCAAGGGCTATGTAACGCCGGATGTGATGCGTGAAAGGCTGCCTGGGCCTGGTCCAGATACCAGAATCATGCTTTGTGGCCCTCCTGGCATGGTCAATGCCGCAAAGAAAGGTTTGGCTGGTCTGGGATTCCAAGCTCCAGGAGCGGTCGCGAAGATGACGGATCAGATCTTCTCTTTTTAGAATATTCTCTTTAGCTGTTTTCCTGTGTCTGCATCTATTCAAATTATGTATGTAAACCCACTTTAGCTTATATATTTTCATTTAGCTTCCTTCATTCCTAAAATGCGGTCTTTCTGAGCCTCAGTATTTTTGGAATCCATTGATATTGTAGTTTAACTAACACTTATGTGCACCATTAAAGATACATCATTAGACCAGTAGAAAAATCATTGCGCATACACAGACAGCGAGACATGATTCCGTTAAAATGCGAGGTATAATTTTAAGAGGCGCTCAATTTACCCTGTTCCCACATTAGGAGAGCGTTATGTGAATATTCCCATAGAAGCGACGAATGTCCGACTTAGTATTGCTCATTTATAAAGCATCAATCTCTCCGTACAAAAGGTTCATCGTGAAGCATTAATAACAGTATTGGTGTAGAAAGCAGACTAGCTTAAACTGTTAACCTTACCTTAACAAGTAGGAGTATGCGTGTACTTTTTCCTTAAAGAAGCCCACTTACCTTGGTTGAAATTCTCCGAGGTGAAGTGTGTCGGCATGCCGAGCACCCACAAATTAAATCCGTATCGACCAATCGGAACGCAGGAAACGAGTGCTTTTCCGAGGTAAACTTTCCATCTATACCGGCTGCAGCGGTGTTGAAGATGGCAACACGCAAGCAAGGAAACTCATGTACACCAGGGAAATCTGGAACACAGATTTTGAAAGCTCCGAGGATTTTCGAAACCGCGATATCAAGGATACCCTCGGTGGTCCAGAAGCCACGGTTAACTCGGGACAAGGACACACTTGACGTCTGTAGAACCACGAATTGCCATTCCTGGAATAGGACTGGATGAGGTTGCTACGTCAGGCATTAGTTAAAAGAACTGAAATACCCCTGCCATATTTTTCAATGAACCCTTTCTATATGCACTAAAGCCAAACTTCATACCCAGCTTCAACCGGAATATCAATCCAAAAGAACCTTATAACAACCATACCTGCAACAATGATTTCGACCTGGCAAGCACCCAAGGACTACCGCGAGCGTCCTGTAGTAGTTCTCGGTGGTGGTGTTTTGGGACGTCGCATTGGTATAAGATCCTGACCCTAGGTTGACAATCCACACAGGACCCGGCTAACCAACTACGCAGCCTGCATTTGGGCATCAGCAGGCTACAACGTCCACGTCCGTGACCCGAGCCCCGAGCAGCGCGCCGACTGCATCACCTATGTAAACGAAAATGTCGCCTCATATGCAGTACACACCGGAGCCAAGCCTGGCCCCATTACAGCATTCGAGGATCTGGCGCAGGCGATCGAGAATGCGTGGCTCGTTATAGAGTGTGTTCCTGAGGTACTCCAACTCAAGATCGACACCTTCGCAGAGCTGGAGAAACATGCTCCGACAGACTGCATTTTGGCAACCAACTCATCCTCCTATCGCTCCTCGGAAATGCTGGAAAAAGTGTCGGAAGCAACCAAGTCCCGTATCTTGAACATGCATTACTACATGCCTCCACAGGTCATGGTTGTGGAGCTGATGACGGATGGGCTTACAGAGCCGTCAATCCTTCAATTTATGGCTGAGCGCTCGAAGGAAGTGGCCACTAAGCCCTACATTGCGAGGAAGGAGTCTACTGGGTTCATTTTCAACCGTCTGTGGGCGGCTGTTAAGCGCGAAACTCTAACGATTCTGGCTGAGGATGTTTCTACGCCAAGTGAGATTGACTCTCTATGGACTGAGATGTTTATAAAGGGGAAGACGCTGCCTTGCGAGATGATGGATGGTATGCCATGCCCTGCACCTTGCTAGCTTCGTATTTTACGCTGATTATGTTATTACTGCAGCTGTCGGGCTTGACACCGTTGCTTTCATCGAAAAGCATTACGTCGCTGAACGAGGTCTTGATACCGAGAAAACCGTCGACTTTCTCCAAACCAACTACCTTAGCCAAGGCAAACTGGGGAATAAGTCATCCAAAGGCGGGCTTTATTCGCCAGCGGAAAAGTTTTGACCTGCTACTATTAGTCCCAGTCCAACTTACTAAATGTTGACGATTGACCTCAAGGTTGTAATATCAATTTCGGCCTCTATGGCTAAGGTTTAGCTAGTATAGACGCTTTGAGTATAACGCTGGCTATTAATTAGAGAAATTTGCGCTGTAATCTTTCATATTAGTCGGTGTGGCCGAGTGGTTAAGGTCAGACTCGAAAAGCTGATACGTTTCGCGTGCACAGCGGTCGCTGACTATTTCTATTTCTTTTGACTATTCCTTTTCCTTTCTTATGTTTTTCGCAAGTTGTCTTGATAATTTTGTTGATAAGACTGCTACTGTTCGGGCCGTGATACCGGAGTGTGTGGGTTGTGGTGCCTTGTCAGGGTCCACCTTTCACCGGCCATCGGCGCTTGTATTGGTATTTGTATCATCGGTTGCATTCCTTTCCTCAACCAGTCACTCCTTTATTTATAGATTTTATTGTATATCAGTATATAGTAGCAAACCAATAAATATCATCCCCATTTCTGATCAAATCTTGTTTCAGATGAGACCTCTGCAAATAAAAAGTTTAGAAAGACGAATCTCTGCTAGGACCTGTATCCGCATTTCACACAGTCCACACCATCTCAGCACCCACACACCCCAAAGTATCTCGGAAAAGAAATACCCTCTTTAACCGACTCAGCCCCTGCCAAATACTGCAGCAATCGCTCAAAATCAATACCAAATCCCCCGTGCGGCGACGTCCCCAACCGGCGCAAATCAGCGAACCATTCAACTGACTGTAGTTCTTCCCCAGGATGGAGGTAAGGATAAGGCTCCGCATCCGCCGAGGCATTCCTTTCTGGCACAGGGCCAGGTTCCTATTCCCGTAGGAACCGCTTCTTGCGCATACTATCAACCAATATATCCTGACGGTGTTCCCTTAGACCACCGCTGCACACCTCACCGATTCCCGTTAGGAGGGGATCAAATGACTCAATTGTCAGTCAGGCGGGGAGTCCTGTGATAGCGATGCTTCGCTTGTGCCTTTGGCAGCTTGGGCAGCTTGGAAAAGCCAGATCTGAGTCGGGAAGTGCGTTAAGAAGACCGCAGAGATGGAGTGGTCGCAGAGGTATTTTTCTTCTTCTGGTGTGACATCTTGTACTCTTGCTGTCGGGATGTTGCATTTTGCAGCACGAAGGCGCGCAAGAAGCTTCGTCGCATCGGCAGAAGTGATGCGCGGCCAATTGGGCGATAATAGCGTGTCCCAGCGTTGAAGAAGCTCATCGGACCCCGGTTGGACTAGTATTTCCTATCCGGCGAGACTGGTCTTCAAGCACAAGAAAGCACTGCGCAGCGTCTCCTCCATAACATTGGATAGTGGCTAGAGGGAGTCAATGTAATTCAGTGCCACCTTGAGCATTGAAAACTCATCCAGATGACGGCTACTATCCGTTCGTTCGGCTCTCCAGCAGGGACCTCATGTCCAGCTGCGATCGAGCCCTTGCACAAACCCCTCTGCATGGAAGAATCCAGAGACATTGAGCCATTTTCGGAAACCAAAGTAGGCTGTCTGTCATTTCTTTATCGACAAGATTGGACCGCTGCGTCGGGGCGGCAAACATTTTGCGCCACCTTCGCAGTCCGTCCAGGTGAGCATGGGAAGGTGTACGTGATAAAACGGGCCGTCGGAATGTTTGTCGAACAGGTTAGATAATGCGCTCGCCACGGTGGAACGAAACCGTGCCAGGATGGCAGATTGCGTAGACAAACATACCATCTTACAAATTAAGCTGTTCCTAGATGCGCAATGACCGTGGACTTCACTATTTCAGATCCCCTTAAGCTACTACTCAATTTGCACACTGATGAGTCTATGAGGCGAGATACGTTTCTATTTCTCTTACCATATATTCCCAAACGTACTTAGAGGTTCGTGGCGAACAATTAACTATAGGTAATTTTCTTCCTGATTCCCTCCTACCAGTCCAGATAGAAGATCCTCTCACCTACTCTATGAGTAAGCCGCAATGGCTTTCTTAAATGCAGCCGAGATTTCATTGAGAATCAGCGGTGCCAAGTCCGCATACGTCCCTGACAATTTGTCCTGCACCGCCGACCCCAACGCCTTCGACAAAATGCTCAACTCCTGCAGATCGAACTTGACAAGAAAACTCAATGATGCGATGCCCAACAATCCATCGTCAAAATCCGACTTTTTCGACACAATGTTGGCCAGTGTAGACGCGATCTGGGGCTCTAACGTGACGAAAGCTTCCGCTACCTTCTGCGACTCGGTGTCGGTGAAATTGGCAGACTGTCGCGTCAATCTGATTGCAGTCTTAAGGTCGACTTCGAGCTGGATGGTTTCCGCTTGAATCTGCAGGGCGGATAATGTTCCTTCAATGCCGCCCGGGTAGCTGCTCACAGTGGTGTTGAGCGTAACCAGCTGGGTGGAGATGGTGTTCACGGCGGAAACAACGCTAGAAGCATCTCGTTTGACAGGGAGGAGGACTTTGGACGGTGTTGCGGTTGCTACTGCAACCGTGGCCGTGAACAGAAGAGTAAAGAGGTAGGAGAGTTTCATTTTCATGGAGGGTGCTCACATGGCAATTGGAGGATGACTGGGTCCGACATCCATGTATTTCATTTATACACAGTTTTGATAATGACTCGATCACCTCATTTTAACCCCGCTTCCTAGGCTGCCAGCCTTCTCCGATTGATGTTACATTCAGCCGGTACAGCTAATTAATTAGTGATGACTCTCGTGGTCCCCGCATGACGCTATGAATGCTTCTACGAATCAAGCTGATTGATGATCTTCGAAATTGCCTCATTGGGAATAGTGGTCCGGGCCCTTTAATACATTTGCAGCTGGGCGGGCTGCATTTCTTCCTTGTGGCTGAGATGATAATCAGTATCTAATCTAATAGAGTTGATGTTCCTTGCACAGGATGGTGCTAAGTCAAAGCCACTTCGTGATAGCATGTGCTTCCGAGGCCCAGAGGACCCTGGTATTTATCGTTCAGTTCGCCACGCATATTGATGCATGTGACTGGCGTTCAGTCGACGAAGGAAATCCGTTGAGAACGGACAGCTCTTGCTTATCTTGACAAGTTGCTCGTCTCATATTAAGCAACACGGAGATTGTTCCGGTGGTGCTTGTGGCGACCTGACAGCTGTTCGTGTACCAATAAGTCCACCCGTCGCTCGCCTATCTATTATCCAGAGCTGCTAACTCTGACTTAAGCTTACTTGGCCATATATTATATCTATCTTTCAATTGCCAGCGAGCAATAATCAGGCCTTTTGAGAATTCTTTTCTTTGGCTTAGCCAGAATATATGTTATTAATTCATCCTGCAGCTGTAAAACTCATAGCCATTTATCTATTCTGTAAACATGATTACTTATCTCTCTACTTCGAATTTTATATGTAGAAGGCTAGCTTGCTATTCATAGGAACGTGTGATTTCCCTTTGGAAGTCTCGCAATAAAGGCCTGTCTTTCGGAGCTGTACTGTACTAGGTGGATTGCAGAGGAGTTGATAGAGAGGACTACGGATGTAATATTTAATGCAGAAACAAACTCCCCTCTCCGAATTCCCGCCTCATGGTCCCCAGAATCTCACCCCACTCAGGCGGGATGTGCTCCTCAGGCGAGATCAACTCACTGCCGAGCCTCTCGCCCAGATCTCCAACAAACCACGTATCCTTGAGGAAGTGCAATGTCAGCGGGTAAAGCAGGAAGATCACGCGTGCGATCAGGTCTCGTTCCTGTAGCAGAGTCACAAAGGTCTCTGGGAAGAAGAGCGGCCAGAGGAGGATGGCGCCCATATCTGGTCGCCCGTGTGGGCACTTGCTCGCATCGAACTTTTCGAGTATGTACTGAATTGAGACTGTGTATGCTGCGTGATGATGTGACGGGATATTCGTGGCCGGGTGTTGAATTTGGGAAAGAACTTGGGAAGCAAGGCTGCGTCGAGGGTGGAGTTCAGTATGTTTGGGACGATGTGCGGGAATGCAGAGAGTAATGCTGAGTCGAAGGAGACTTACCTGTATATCTTGGAGGCTCTTCGCTGCTTTTGGTTCACTACATCTTGCGAACTGTTGTGTAACGGAGCTCTTTCATGGTCTGTCCCCTTCTCAGAAAACCGACTGAACAGGTTTGACTTGGGACTCAACAAGACACAGCCGCGGATTAACTTCGCAATGCGCAAGACCTCATCCAGGTAACTCGTTGATGGGCGGCACAAGCGGTACTGTGCAATGGCAAACAAAACGATATATATGGAACAGACTATAGCGGCGTCGGCTGTGGCAGCGGATAGCCGGCCGATAACCTGGGACAGCATGGAACATGCTTTGTCACTGTAGTTGAAAGCCACTAGAGTCCAGGCTTGTCTTCGGTTAGGTTCGAGGTAAGCGAGATGCAGGGCGGTAAAAGCCAGGAGACTGTCTAAGGCGAACGACTGCGTGCTTGCTACTTTCGTCAGGTTGACTTGCCAGTCGAGCCGGCTGTTCTCATCCTCGACCAGTGTTGAATGGGTGTTAGTGTAGTAGTGGTGGAGCAGGGTTGCCTCCAGGAGTCGGGTGTCAATTTGAGGACCATTGGTCGCTGCTGAGACGCGGTTTGAGGCTGACAGTGGAGATAGGGGTAAGGCTGACGGGACGGGTGAAATCTTGTCGTTCGAATGTTCGGGTATTGCAGAACTGGGCCCAGGTGGCCTGCAAGCATAGTGACACTCTATACGGCGATTGTCACAGAACTTGCAGGCCGGAAGGCCTTCATCGCACTGAAGAAGCTGTCAGCAGGCTCTGCAATTTACACGGGAATACCGTTGCTGCAAGACTGGTACTACATGGTAGACCCACTGGGCGGGGGAGACATTCAACCTACCTTGATATGTCGCTTCTTGCATTCTACGCAGCCAGTTCGTGACTTGCGATGAAAACGACGATGCGGCATGCAGAGACGATAGCAGAACTTCAGAAATAGGGAGCAATTGTGAAAGGAGATGAATGAATGAGAGATGAGAGTATACGAGAGAAATTTCGTATAGGCACAAACCTTGGGGCGGCTGCTTCAGATCGGGAGACACTATACTACCTCTGGACTAGGGTACTTACTGGTTCGACCGATACGAAATACGGTCGTTTTTGATTGGCTGGCAAACGACAGCTTCATGGGATTAGCGCACGGACTCCCCGGCAAAGGTTCTCTTGCTCAATTTGGTACTACAGTAATCCACCGATATAAGCAATCAACAGAGACACGCCCTGAAAATGCTTACAATTGAGAATTCCTTATATTACAATGGATGTGAAATGGCCCGAAATTAACCAGGTAGCTAAAGTCACGTGTTTCAGTAAAATCCATCATTATCATACCACACTGTGGCTGTATATAAAATCTCTGATTAGTTATCTTAATACAGAATTGGCTAGTCAAACCCACCCTTTCTGAATATGAGGAATGTTGTATGGGAAGAGACTTCCAAGCATCTCTAGCAAACTGGGCCCTAAAATGAAGGCCATCCACCCGCTTCTTCCTTCCCTCGCGCCCTTACTCTTTCATTACCGAGCTTAAGCCATCTGATAACCCCCATTTTCGCCGCCCACTGGAACCCCCTTTTCAATAATTTTCTTGATCTCCGCTGGATGCACCCAATTTAGTACCGCGCACGTCGCCAACATCATCACCGCATCGAACACATACGACACCCACTCATACCGCGTCAGAGGACCATCAGAGCTCTCTACAAACTCTGCGAACCGAAAGATCGACCGCACGAAGATCAATAGGCCTGTCGCGTATAATGCCAGCAGATGCTTCCGCCACGGCACAAGCCCGTATGCCCGGGATTTATATTTCGTGAGACGCTTATGGAAGATAATTATCGTGACGAGAAAGAGCCCGAAGAAGACGATTTGCACAAGGACACCGAGTTTCATGATCGTTTGGCCTTTACTAGCTGTCGTGGTTTTGGCGAGCATTGCGGCGCCTATAATGGTGTTATCATGCGGTCAGTTGACTGCTGTGTAACGCACAGCTACCTCTAGTAGTTGAAGTTGGGATCGAAACGTCCTGACAGGAATGAAGACTTACCGATGAACTGTGCAAAGAAGGATATGACATCGCCTAGGACGAAGATCTTGGTGAGCCAAGCGCGCCGAATGATGGAGTATTGTTCCCCTTCGACCATGATCATAAGCCGGCCAAATTCCATGTAGATGCTTGCTGCTAGTAGCGCCGGGGCAACTAAAATTAGGATGTACTGAATGAGCTCCGGGCCGATGTTATAGTCTGGATACTGGGTTGAAGATTTTGCGCGCTGAGACCTGAGTTAAGATCTAACATTTGGAACTTGGAGACTAGGTTGACTGACCGCTATGTATCCAATGACCTCGACTATAAGGGACAGATTGGTGGTTAGCTTGCTGAGAGAAAGAGGATGTGGCCCGTGAACAAGCAACTTACAGGCACATCCGATAAGGAAAGGGATGAAGAACCACACCCGCCAGCGGAAGGCCTGGTAATAATGTAAAATTGTGGTGATAAGAAAGAGAATCGCAAATACAATGGCGGCCGCTTCAGAGGGCACAAAATCATACATGCCCAGGTACTCCACGTGGACTGTCATCTTTATGGAAGGAAAATATTTTCTATGTCGGTATAAAAAGAGACTGCTGTGGAAATGATGTTCAAAGTAGGAGAGTGAGTAAAGGGTAGAAAATTAGACAATATATCTAGTTGCCATTGATACCTTCACCCAGAGTTATATACCGCTTTGCATTATGAAAAGTTTCCCTGGTGCCTGATTCTCATCCCTAAGCCATCATCAGCCATTCTTAGGCTCGAGCTAATCAAAGATACACTACTAACTATTCCAGATGTGAGATCCAGTCAAGAGCCTATCATAAGTGCGCGTATGTCGTAAACCGGCGGATAGTTCTGTGCTGGCCGGGTAAGCCCCACAACCCAACGCGATAATAATAGAAGATCTACTTCAACAGAGTCTGGCCGAAGGGTTTTCAAGGCGTTTCCGTTGACTAATCCGCTATTGGTGCTGCTGCTCTGTTAGGGCATATACTTTGAGCAGCCAGCACCTCGAGAAATGGGGCAGTCCTCCGAAATCCTTGACGGGAAAAAGTTCAATGCTCCAAATCTACAGAAATCGAGGAACTTTGCTTCCAGAGGACCCGCAGACCCACTGCACCTTGTGAAAACGTGAGTAGCAGCAATCCAGCAAACTCAACAAGCCAATCAGATAGAAGTATATACGCCGCTAAACGAGAACCTCTCATTGGACTCTTCATGGCTATGAAGCCCCGTTTCAGAATATTTACTCTAGGAACCTATTGAATGCAATGCTCTATTCCTTGAATTGGAAGATGTCTACTGTGTTATATGGTCATAGTCTCAGGCAACGCATTCTGGTTTCATTGTAATCATTAGTCTAAGGTTTCCCCTACACCCACATTACTCCGAGCTTGTCTTCTCGCGCTGTGTGTCATCATCAGATGCCGACCGTATAATCTCATGAGTTCTGAGCCTCTCTAGACATTGCGCGGTCTTGCACTACAACACAACTGAGCAACAGCTTGAAGTCCATCCAAAACAGCCTTTCCATATTCCGATATCATGTCCGAGCCCTTTCCGGAACTCGAAGCTGACGAGTCTCTTTCCTGCCATGTACGTGCAAGGCTATACTCACAGGCAGCAGCAGTCCTACACCTCGAGAATGTTATTAACTACTGACTGATTGGGAGGGAAAAGCAGAACCATCAAGTACATATATCAATCTTTCCACGCCACCTAAAACAACACAAAACAAACTTCCTCTTCCCAATCTTCACCATAACCTCCCTCTCGAACATCTGCCTTGAGCTCGAGATCCAACTACATGCCCTCTGGATGCACATTATGGCGCAAAGACCAGCATCAGCCATTGATTACAAAAGCTAGGGGTTATGATTAAACCAACGCCGAGCTAGTTCATCCCCCGTGCTGATCATGACGCAGATCCAGCAGCTCGGGCAGCGATGCCTTGAGATCCAGGAAGATCTGGAGAGGTGCCGAGCGCGCTGTGAAGAGTTGGAGCGGATGTGTTATGATTGTTTATAAAGAGTGCCAACATATAGGGTTTTGTATGATGCACTATATTACCAATGCTTGGTCATAGTTACTAAAAGAAATTGACTGATACATAGAGGGGTCTTATTTATCTCCAGTCCCGTGCCCAAGGTGGCTTAGCTTGATTTCATGTTAGAGTTGCTGAAGCACCTTATAATCGTAATGTAAGTATAAGTGCATGTTACTATCTTTGACCTAAGTGGCTCTCACCGCACAGGAGCGACTGTTGACAGATTTTCTAATCAAGCCGCGCTCAAGAAGTACACCAGAGAAACCTAAAAGTTATTTTGAAGCAAGCGGTCAAGTAGACGGGCGATGGCTTTCTTGAAGTACTACTATACAATATCTTTGGATTAGGTACGATTGACGGTACTAGTTCTTTTGATCTGATAGTAGGAATTTTCTTTCAAAATATATGTGAGCTTGTGGTATACTCTGTAGTAGTTTCTAGAACAATGCATCATTCGTATAATATATCAGACAGGAATAGTCTCTGGTCTCAGGGAATAATTAATGGGATGTCGATATATCTTTGTATCTTAACTTCTTAAATTAGTATTTATATAGATTCAGATAATTCAGGAAATATTCTATGTATTTGAAAGTAGTTGTATATAATTGATATGAGCGATGTAGGAGACGTGACAAGGTTGATTATATATTAGGGTGCTGGCTACTATACTGCTTTAACTAATGACTGGTCTTCTATAGGCTCCAGAAGATCCATGCGGTGAGAAGTGGGAATAATTATATAATTTAGAAAACTATAACTAGATTATCTAAGCTAGATGTAGAGTGGTTAGAGTGGTTAACGGCCATAACCACTCTATTTGCGGGATCAAAACTGGTAGCAAATGTGCCTCATTACCATCTTCATCATCTACTCCCTCTTCCTTATCTTCCTCGTCGAACGTCTGGTTGTGCATTGACGACCGGTCTGTTCTCTGCGAGCATACCCTCTAACTGATACATCAGGTTCAGTATTGGTCTCAAGGGCTTAACGTTCTTCGACCCTTCAGTATCATATATCGACATAGTATTTACTGCGCTTGTTGGGTGCTTTATCCTTTTCAATTGTCACATGGTTCCTGCTCTCCATTGAATTTTTAATGGAAATCAACTGCCGTCCCTGTAAAGTGGATTTTCTTTTAGCACATGTACTTCAGCTTTTCTTAAGTAGTCTCTTCACAACAGAATGCTCGACGCCAATGCAGGATGTCTCGCAAGTTATCGAAACGCCTTTCTGCGCCGACACTGGAGGCTGAAATGGAAAGTAAAACCTGCGAAAGCCTAGAAAACACTGCGAACTCACGACATCAGACGGGGGTACGAAAGCATGTTATGCGGCCGCAAACTGGTCTTTGATTTATCTCATGGTTGGCCCACGACCTGGATTTACTTTTGCACTGGGGACGCTGAGTTCTTTGAAGGGCTGGAAGCAACCGCATCGTGATGTGAATCTAGTATATAACAAGAAATTGTCTTGCAATGAGTTTGACAGAGTCCGTTTAAGTGAAGTTGGGAATGACTTTTGTCAATGGTAGTGATATTTGAGCTTATTTCACATAGTAGAACTGGCAATTAACTTGCTTCTGTGAAGCTCCAAGGTATACTTTCCACAAACATATCTGGTACAAGCAGTTTCTCATGGATCAAAAGGGCATTGAGATAATCGTTGCCGTCTACTCTTCGAAGCCCTTCCTCCAATGTTCGCTCAATGCCAGCATGAACATGACGCTTGGCCACTCGCGATCGTGCTTCTTGTAGATCAATGTTGATAAAAACGCGATAGTCAAAGAGACTACTTATATCTCTCCATCCAGGCTCGTTGAGAAGAAGATAGTTTCCTTCTAGGATGATTATCGAAGTATCTGGGGTGATAATAATGCCATCTTCAACGGGATCTTTCACTTCGTGGTCAAACGTCGGAGCCGTCAGCACCTCCGCGTCAGACCAACCTTTTACCGACGTGCACAAGGGTACGGCATTAGCCCAGGTATAAAGTCGGCGCACGAAATCTTGAAACCGTGGCAAATCAAATGTCCACGGCGCACCACGCCGGGCATGCGCCATTTCCGGGTCAGGTAATTTGTCTAATGCCGCCCTTGACAGGTGAAATCCATCCATAGAAATGAGCGCCGTCCGCTTGACGGAGCCCTTGTTGAGCAGATGAGTGACCATTTTAGCAGTGGTTGTTTTACCAGACCCCGGACTTCCCCCAATTGCGACTAAGTAGCGAGGTTTGTGATGATTCTGTGCGAGTTGGTGAATTGTATCCGCCAATCGAGAGCATTCAGTTTCCATCTACACCGTGTCATGGTTTAGCTGAAAGCAACTGCAGTATAGTGCTTACTTACCGTGGCTCGAATACACCAAAGGATCCGTTCTGCTGCAAATTTCGATAGAAATAGAAGTAAATCTATTCGTTTACCGCGGTATTTCCTGACTGACAATGCCGCGTAATAAGGAAATTGGATTGCCGCTAAAAACAACAGTGTTCATTGATGGTGGGTCCTGGCCTAACCATAGTATATAAGATATCCCGGAAGCCAACGCTCACAGCGGATGCCGGATGCCGTCTAGTGGGACCACGGGGCATCGCGTCCGTTTTATGAAGAAACTGCTTGAGAATATGGCTCATCACGATACTGACCTCGGTTTCAGTTAGGGCAGTCCAGAGCGGGCAAAAGCTTGACCATTTCTCTGTGTATCCCCATAACTTCATCGTATATTAGTTAGCAATATGGCAAACTCTTTGCATTTTCAGGTTCCGGACAGTCTTAGCTCATCCATATTGAATAGACATTTAAATTTGGACAAAGAAATTATCTTGACTTGATTGCTAATACGAAGGGTGTAAAGTGGACAAGCTTCAACAGCCACAGGGCTGGAATATCATTGATCTAGTTGACATTTAACTCTATCCATTGCTGATAACCAACAATTCTGTACATTGTAGGTCTACAACAATCTTCTGAGATCATATCAGGTATAGCTAAACAGTTTGGACACCCTGGTGGACTTTTGTTCTTCCACTATTGAGATATTTATCATCCAGAGACATTCTGCATCTCCTGTTTTCCCAGGTAGGCCTTCAAGAAAACCCGAAGATAAATACTGTGAATTGCAAGTGTAAGGAAGCCTCGTATATTTATCGACGCATTACCTCGGATGGCTCCGTATATATTTCCATAATGTAACGGGCCAGAGCCCGATAGGGATGACGTACATGTCCTTGATCCTTCTTATATCCGTATCATTGGGCCGCAGACCCTTCTTTTATCCGGTTGGGTGTGATTCTCGGCTCCATATTGCGGTCGTGTGGGGTTTCAAGCCGAAAATGGCAAAACGTATGCGCCCCCACACGGAGCGGGTTGTCCGCCTAGGCTCTAATCGCGGAGCGGGATGTCCGCTGAGCATTAACGGGAGAGATGGAGTTAAGAGAGTAGTCGACAGAGATATATATATCTATGTATCGTTTTTGGCTTGTCAAATCTACTACCATCCATGTCCAAAAAGCTACTGCTCTTGAATATACCCCTCAGGATAATGGCTGTAAGTATGTCTTATCATTATTTCCATAGACCCTCTGATTCCGGAGCTATCCCCAGGAAACGAACCGATCTTTCGTCTTGCACGCTATAAAGGATGTGGTTTTTGAAGACCGCCCGGTGCCTGCGCTGAAAGATCCTTGGGATGTACGAGTGCACATTGCGCAGACCGGTATCTGTGGAAGTGACGTACACTACTGGCAAAGAGGGCGGATCGGAGGTACATGAGCCCAAAGAAATTGGCAAAGGAAGCTATTGAATATGACTGACGGCCACTGAACAGACTTCATCCTCAAATCCCCAATAGTACTTGGCCATGAAAGCTCCGGTACTGTTGTCGAAGTCGGTTCTGCTGTGAAGAATGTCAAAGTTGGGGAACGAGTCGCCATAGAGCCCGGTGTACCATGCAGACAGTACGTATTATCTACAATTTGATATACGCAAATATCAGCAGTGACTAAAGTCAACCAGCTGCGACTTCTGCCGCAGTGGCTCCTATAACCTTTGCCCGGACACTATTTTTGCCGCGACTCCCCCGCATGACGGCACGCTTTCAAAGTACTACACTACGCAGGCGGACTACTGCTACCCGCTGCCAGAGAACATGGACCTGGAAGAGGGCGCGCTCGTGGAACCGGTCGCTGTTGCCGTGCAGATCACTAAGGTTGGTAAAGTGAAGCCAAACCAGACGGTCGTAGTCTTTGGATGCGGGCCCATTGGACTTCTCTGTCAAGCCGTGAGCAAGGCGTATTCTGCGAAGAAGGTGATCGGTGTGGACATCAGTCAGTCGCGTGCAGACTTTGCCCACAACTTTGGTGCCGACCATGTTTTCGTGCCTCCTGCTCGTCCCGAAGGCAAAGATGACACCGCATGGAACGAAGAGGTGGCAAATTTGATGAAGGAGAAGTTTAATTTGGGCGAGGGCCCAGATGTCGTCTTAGAGGCTACTGGAGCTCAGGCATGCATCCAGACCGGGATATATTTGACCAAGAGGGGGGGCACATATGTGCAAGCCGGTATGGGAAGCGAGGTGAGTTCATATTAATATTTATTAGCTTAAAGTAAGCTGACATGAATAGAATGTTGTCTTCCCCATCACTACCGCTTGTATTCGTGATTTGCACATCCGGGGCTCCATTCGGTATACGGCTGGCTGTTATCCTACGGCCGTGGATTTGATCGCATCTGGGAAGATTGATGTCAAGCAGCTTATTACGAACCGATTCAAATTTGAAGATGCCGAGGAGGCATTCGAGCTTGTGAGACAAGGAAAACAGAGCGTGATTAAGGTAATTATTCAGGGCGTTCCGGCATAATGTCGGAGGTATTGCACATTTAGAATGTAGTAAAACAAATTTATGCCCCATTAAGAACGAGTGGAAGGCTTGAGCTAGATATTGTCCATAATGTCATTACGTACTTCACCAAACAAACGCAGCTGCTTGAACCCGTATGTGGGTCGGATGAGTGATATCTTCATGTAATACAGTATAAAACAGATATCTTATGAACGAAAGGAATCATCTGTAGAGAGAATGGTATCATATGTTTCCGATAATCATTATGAACGTCAGTTTCGGAAGGGAGGGCCACAAATGGATAAATTGAGAGCTCCTACTCTGACGATGACCGTCAAGTAATTCTTTTCATATTCTAACGCATCCGTGCGCTGCTTGTCCTGCCGTGAAGAACCTCGAGTATCAGCGGCTATCACGATAACTAATGTGTGAAATTCGTTGAACAGGATATGCTAATAGCTCAGAGAGCCAGGGGCTCCTGGGATCGACGGTTCAAGGGCATTGTTCCGCACTGGTTAAAGCCTGTGGGTAGGAGTGCTCCCAAAGACTCGTCAAAGACTCGGTACGTGAGGGGATAGTCATGGAGCTTGGCCCATTGGCAGTGCCTACAGCAAAGCACTTGTTTAAAAACACCGTGTATTCTATTTATAGTATGGGCTCTAGCTCGCATTGTCTACTGCCTCATATACAATGCGTATGATACTCTCTGACCAGGATTCCAGGAGGCTAAGGGTCACCATGCCTTGAATTTCCTCCACAAGATAGGCTCTCCTATAGTGCTCAATGTGTCTGAAAGGTGTCGATAGAAATGTTATTGAAGTATTTCATGGAGCAGAGGTTCACTGCAAAGCGATTTGTTCCGCCTATTCTTCTGGACACAGCAGCTGGTTGGTCCAATTTTCCTGAGAGTTCAGGTGTTAGTGGGTCAGGCAGGCTGACGGGACCCCACCAACGCGAGGGCCACTCAACTTCATCTCTCGACACGCAACTCAATCAGGCCTGTCATGAGATTTTAATGTCCAGGATAACAATATGCCCATGTCATCTGAGTCATCTGCACGCTCTTCGAGTGGTAGGGTGCACGAGAGTGATGTGCGGCCCACAGCCGAACAGGCATGCAAGGAATGCCGTCGCAGGAAGTCTAAAGTAAGTCGCAAAGCCTACCATGCGAATTCCTATTGACAGGTCTAAAGTGTGATCGTATGGTGCCAGTCTGTGCCTTGTGCCACAAGTTCAAGCGGCGATGCAGCTATGAAAAACAGACAAAGACACCGCTTACCCGGCGCTACCTTAACGAGGTCGAGAGTGAACTGGTGCGCACCAAGGCGCTGCTTCAGCAATTCATGAAAAACTCAAAGGATGGTTCAAACGTGAACTTTGGGGCGCCAGCCGAAGATATAGGTCAAGTATCTTGCGTGGTAGATGCCGCCGGGTCTCAGCTCCTGAGCCATCCGGAGTCAAGCGACCGGCGAACAAGGCCTCTGGGACCTCCGGCCAGTCCTGAAGTTCGCTCCGGACACCCAACCAGTCAAAGAGCAACCCAAGAGACCCGCACCGATCAGCAACTTCAGTATCGGTCATCGGTCTCTGAAACCGGACCACAGACACTTTCCTGCCTATCGCTGGAACCCCCTTCCTCTCCTACTAATTTTGAGTGGGATGAAAGAAATGGGAACTCCAACGGCGAAAGGTTTGTCGATGGCATGGCCAGCTTGACGAGTGCATCCCATGAGGGGGGCTATCTAGGTTTGTACGATTCTTCCTTTTCAATGTGATCATATAACTGATATTGAATTAAGGGGTTGCGTCAGGTGCTGCATTATTGCGCGCTACTGATGCCGGAATCAGTGGAACAACCGAGGTTTCGGGTTTGGAACAACAGTCCTGCATCCCAAACGATCAACCTCCGCGTATTCCGTTTGCGCTGAGTTCCCTGGGCCAGCTGGAACCATTTGTGGACGCCTACTTCTCTCTTTTCCATCGGTCGTACCCGATCATACATGAGGCAACCTTTAGAGCTCAGCTCATGGAAGTGATTCCCCGACCAGCTGGCAACGCCTGGCAGGTTTTGTTATTCATAGTGTCCGCCATGGGAATGTGGACAACGGCAACACAACCGACCGATGCTGACCTTGGGCTGTTTGAAGCTGCGAAAGCACGGCTTTCTATCGATATGCTAGAAACTGGAAACTTGGTCCTGGTGCAAGCACTTACGATAATTTCGAATTATATGCAAAAGAGAAATAAGCCAAATTCGGGATACAATTACACGGGCCTGGTGCGCCGCATTGCGATGGGTATTGGTTTGCACAAAGAGTTTCCAAACTCAAAAGCTAGTTTGTTTACAACTGAGGTGAGACGACGGGTTTGGCACTGCCTTTACATCTTTGACGTCGGTGCAATTATTACTTTCTCAAGACCATTTGACTTTCCAGACGATGGAATCGACGTGGCCCTCCCAATGAACATCCATGATCCGGTCAGTGTTGAAGTACTTCAAATTCTTTAACCTGCTAACTCTTGCCTCAGGATTTTACACAAGCAACCAAATCCCTGCCGATGTCTGCCGAGGAAACAACTGTGTACACTCATATGCGTGCCCAAGCCGCTTTCCACATGGCGACTAGTAAGATTTACTCTAAGATAATTTCATCTCCATTTCCTTCTGCATCAGACTTGCTAGATATGGATGAAAAGCTTATCGGATGCTGGCACTGTGACCTGCCTCCATACTTCCGTGAATCCGTTGTCCAAGAGCCCAGGTTCCGGTTATGCCACTCAATTTTACGATGGAGATATCGGAACTTTCGAATACTCATGTACCGCCCGTTCCTGCTGAGCAGGCTTATGGCACGTCCGGGACAAAGCACCACTCAGGACAACCATGCCCAAGTCGATGCCACCATTCAGCGATGCTTGGACGCAGCCCGCGAGTCTGTGGAGCTTATATCAAATTTCTGGGCACAAGAGCAGCATAATATGATGGCCTGCTGGTACGGATTATACTTCTTGTTCCAAGCCATCCTTATTCCTGTAATCTGTCTTCGCAATGATCCACAGGGACCGCTGGCGACTGGATGGCGTGAGCAGATCCATCGAGCCATGAGCACCCTTGAATCTATGGCACTACTCAACCCCACTGCATACAGGTGCCTGTCGGTCATTCGAAGCCGATGCGGGACTTATCTTGACACTTCGAGCGAGGGATGGGGCCACCCGACGGAAGAGTCACCGCAAACACAATTGGAACATCTTTACCCATTAATGTGGCCAACGCTGGAGATGGCCCAGCTTGATGGGATAGATTCAGTTTTGTAAGGATCTTCTACAATTGACTCGCATGGCTTACTGAACTTTCACGCAGACAAGAGTCTACCATTATGGACTTCATGAATCAACTTCCGGACATGTAATGAGCGTTGCACTGAACTTCAGGTGACGGAAACAGGATGAACCGTCAATCCCATGCTACTTACAACCAGTGAATGATATCAATGTCTAAAGATTCAATTGTAAACCATGGACCCTTTCCCAGTTCATGGCAGAGTGTAACCACCATCAATGATTAAATCACCTCCAGTCATGTAGCTAGATGCGTCCGAAGCACAGAAGACGTAGGCCTGGCGGTTCCAATAATTAAAATTTGTAGTCATCAACAAGTAGGGACCACTTACGCCTTTCAGCTCATAGGTCTGGGCCATGCGGTGGGCTGGAATCATGTCGTACCACTTGTTACGCCATTCCTCAGGGTGGATGTTAAGAATCTCTGTTTCGATGAAGCCAGGAGATATACAGTTAACACGACAAAAGTCTACCCATTCCACCGCAAGACATTTTGCCATCTGCACCACACCAGCTTTGGATGCATTATACTGTGTCCAGTTAATTATTTAGTCAAAATACATGTATAAGCAAGGTATACATACAGCGGCCTGCTTCTGAGGCACATTAACCAATGTCGCACTCACAGAAGCTGTGAAGATTATATTTCCATAACCCTGCTGTTTGAAAATACGCGCCGCCGCTTGGGCGGAGTAGAATGCGCCATCAAGGTTGACTTTCATAATCTCACTCCACTGGCTGGGTGTATAGTCTTCGGCGGCGACACAGGTTGCGATGCCAGAATTTGCAACGAGAATGTCTAGCTTTCCAAAATCTTTGGAAATTTGTTGAATGCCATTCTCGATCTGGGTCTGGTTGGTAACATCGGCCTGGTACGCAGCTGCACGCACATTGTTTGCTGATGCGATTTCGGCAGCAGTGGCATCAGCCGTCTGGGATGAGTTATAGATCACAGCCACCTGCATATGCGTCAGACAATCGGTATCTCCCAAGACTAGCATACGTACATTTGCACCAGCCTCTGCGAGCCCTCGAGTAACTTCGAGGCCGATTCCCTGAGCACCACCAGTGACGACGGCGACTTTGCCCGTCAGGTCAAAGGCTTTGGTAATGTGCAGATTCTTGGGTTGCGCGAGGACCATCTTGATTGTAAATCAGATGAATATGATTGAGCTTAGAGTGAGAATCGTGCTTATAATCTGTCTCAAGAAAGGAATAGCCAGGGTGGTCGGTACAATCGAAGACGGCCAACAGAATCCGTTATCCCGCATCGGCGGTCTTGTCAGTCGGACAACTGGGGCCGGGCGGACTCCGGGTGTCCGTAGCTTAGTTTCACTTCCACAACTTCACTTGCCCTGGTCCAGGGAGCGCAAGGCATCGGAATTTGGCATCCGGCTGCTTCGAGACCGCTATAATCGTATTGCTTCTCTTCGCAGGTGGAGCAAGGGTGTTTTGCTCCATCGGGCCTTTGTCTAACTGTTGAACTGACGTATTAGGTCTATATTGAAGACGTGATAAACGCTTGATTCTCGCTATCTAGGCGCGCTCGGACGGAGCGGTGGAGTACGAGGTTGCGGGGTTTCCGGGTCACGCGACCTCGACTACTAGTTATCTCCTGGGATCACGTTCCAACAAATGCGCACGTCAAGAATCCTTACAAGAACCTGGGACCTGAATCTCTCATAGCGGCAATTGTACGAGAATAGTTAACGGAATTTAAGTTGGCAAGGTGTCCGCATGTTTCGGAGGGTTTATTAGGGTTTCTGAAAGCACAATAATCTTGGATCCCATCTCGCTCGGCCTTGCCCACCAGCCCATGTTATGCCGCATGCTCAGTATGTTCACATTTCCCGACCGCATCGTCATCCTTGGCAAAAACAATCCCGCTCGTAGCAGGTAATGGCCCGTCAAATACTTCGGCAATCTCTTCAAGTGAATGGCTCTTCGTCTCGGGAAAGGCAAGCCAAGTTACTGCCAATACCACTACATCAAAACAACAGAAAAAGATGTAGTAATGCCAGCCGATACTATCGAGAGCGATCGGGTTGACGAATGCCAGTATAATAAGGGAGCCGTATACACTTAATAGCTCAACAGTCAGTCCCTTGCTTCGGATGGAATACGGAAAGATCTCAGTTGGATAGCCCAATAGCAACGGTGTATAGGCGATGTCGTAATGGAAGAAGAAAATGAAGACAAATGCAATCACCGTATTACCAAGGGGCTTGCCCTGAGTGCTGTCAAAGACAGCTGAGCAGGCAGTCCATATTATGAAGGAAAGGAGCATTCCCGAAGCCGACCAAAGAAACAGGGTACGACGACCCAATCGGTCAACCAACATAGCAGCACTGCCAGCTGCAATGAAGTTAAATACTTGCAGCAGGCCATTGATCATTGTCTGAGTGCTTGGATCTTTGATACCGACCGTGTCGAGAACGAGTGTGAGATAGTAAGATACGACCGCAACGCCCTGTATTAAGTGGTTAATCTTCCTGCCAAAGGGAAATGAGGTCTAGATATACTTACGTTCCATTGTGCAAAGGCACCAATGCTGACTGCGATAAATGTGCGCTTGCGGTTTCCAGGAGTCTTAACCAACGTTGTCCATTTGGTCTCCGCGGCTTGACTCTCCATTTCGATAGTACGCCCGATCTCAGCCATTTCGAATTGTATCAGAGGGTGCGAAGTGTCCCCGGCAGTATGGAATCGGGCAAGTAATTCTTCAGCCTCTTCCGGCTGTCCATTGGCGATTAACCACCTATATGGCTGTTAGTACGCGAAAGTCAAGGGTTGAGGGAGAACAACCGTGGTGACTCCGGAACAGCCCACCAGAAGAGAACCTGAACGATCGGAAATCCAGCTTGAAGTATTGATGGAACTCTCCAGCTCCAACTGGATTTATTGAGGTGCATTTGAGTTCCATATGAGGCCCATGAGGCCAGAATAGCTCCAAGATAGTACATGGTCCAGAAAGCGCTGGTGTACTTCCCTCGGTGAGTTGGATACGCCAGTTCAGTGATCAACATGGGCGACGGCTGCACGACCAGCATCGAGCCGACGCCAACCAACACACGTGAAAATACAAAATGCCATAATGAACTGACGCTGCTTGAATAATAGAGGCGATGATGATCACGATTGCACCGGAAAGCAAGGTTAGGCGTCTTCCAATTCTGTCCGACAAGACAGCGACAAAGGGCAACGAGATGACGCTCCCGATAGACTGGGCCGCATTTACAACTCCCAAAACCGAGCCAGAGGGGTTGCCGAAATAGTCGTTCCACTCAGCGATGGACTGTAGAGCATTCATAAGAGAGCCTACCAGCAAAAAAGAAAGCGTGAGAGAGTTCCATCCCAAATGCAGATCCATAGACTTACCATCATATCCAGCCACTGACGATGATAGTAACGGAATGAGCAGAATGAGATTGAGATGTAGTAAATGAGATACCCGATACCAAGGGCGACCATATTGAGGAAGGACAGAGGCCAGGGCCTCACCAACGATGTCTTGATTTCTCATTGTTCAAGTAAGCCCAAGGTTTGAAATCGGACAACGTGATTGCATCACGCTGGGTACCGTAGTAATATATGAAAGGTTTCCCCCTCAAACAAGGATGGTTACCGCCATGAAAAACGGGGCTTGAACTCTAATTGCTACGAGCTTTCCCCATGGGGTTCGGGGCAATGAGAACTAACTAGTTAGTTAACTGAGTTAACGTTAACCAACCGGTGATTAGTCACACCGGACTGGATACTCCGTTACATCGGACGGTGGCATCCGTTCACCTTGGAATAGCATCCCGCTCGTCGTTCGGCTGCGATTGCCCTAAGATCTCCATATGGCTTTTCTTTTTCCCATGCGGACAGCTACCTCCGTGGCACGGAGATGATCTGAGTCGACTTCAAAGGCCTCTCTTATGGAGCAGTTATATGAGAGAAGGCGAGGTCCATGTCAATTAAGATTTCTTTTCATTGACAAATAGACCCGACAACCCGTCAAATTTCACAGTCCTAGAATTATTCTCGATACGTACCCAGCATGGCTGACCAAAAGAGCATTCGGCGACCGAACCCGACACTTTCGGACAGTGTCTTCAAAATGTTCAGCCTACAAGGAAAAGTTGTTATCATCACTGGTGGTACCGGTGGAATCGGCTACAACGTCGCTCGTGGTCTAGCTGAAGCCGGTGCCAACATTGCCCTCTGGTATAATACATCTCCCCATGCAGATTCTCTGGCTGGCGCACTCCAGGAAAACTTTGGTGTTAGGGCAAAGGCGTATAAATGCGCTGTGCAGAACTTCACTGAGGTACAATGCCCTCCTTCCCAGAGAAGCTCAATTATGAGACTCATTATAATCTTTTGAATAGGTACAAGCAATGACTGACGCCGTCGTCCGCGACTTCGGCCGTTTGGATGTCATGATTGCAAATGCGGGTATTCCATCCAAGGCTGGTGGCCTAGATGACAAATTGGAGGACTGGCAGCGCGTGGTTGATATAGATTTCTCTGGCGCATATTACTGCGCTCGCGTCGCCGGCACAATCTTCCAGAAGCAGGGCTTTGGTAACATGATTTTCACGGCATCCATGTCGGGTCATGCGGCGAATGTACCCCAAGAGCAGGTCAGTTGCGATTTACCCAGAAGTTTGCCCTGAGGTTCGCGCTTAACTAAAAGCGCTATAGGCTTGCTATAATGCTTGCAAAGCTGGTGTTATTCACCTTGCCAAGTCTCTCGCCGTGGAATGGGCCAGTTTTGCTCGCGTGAACTGTGTTAGCCCTGGCTACATTGACACCCCAATCAGTGGAGACTGTTCCTTTGAAATGAAGGAGGCGTGGTATAGCCTTACACCCCTCAAGCGTGATGCAGACCCTCGCGAGTTGAAAGGTGTCTATCTGTACCTCGCCAGTGATGCTAGCACGTACACAACGGGCGCTGACATTGTGGTCGACGGAGGGTACACATGTCGGTAAATACACTTTCGATGAATTGGTTGATAGAAAATGCATTCAAAGAACGGTTCCTATACGTTGCTCAATCGAATTTGATTCTTTTCACATATACTAAAGGTCCAAGGAATGCGGCACCAGTGGTTGAGCCCTACTTGGACAATCCCGCTTTCCGACAAGGACGAAGATATGAAAATGGATCACCCCGCATCATGTGGAGAAAGTCTTTGATTTGATCTCTCCGTAGAAGCAAAGAAAGTGAGGTCAAGAATCAATAAAATCCAACCCCGCCTGGTTGCTATGTGTCTCAATATATACACTTTTAGTTCAAAAATCTCGGGATACTCGAAATCTCCTGAAATTCCACCTATAATAACATTCTGAGTAAATGGTAAAAAAATCTCTGATCTAGATCTAAGATAAGTAAGTATAATCTCTATAATAGAATCAAATAAATTATAGACTATACTGATTATTCAACGGATAAATTCTAATTAAAAATTTTCAATACTTTCTTTCGGAGCGAGTATGTCAGAAATTTTATATAACATATTATATTTTTATTTTATATATCTTCAAACTATTCGTCGGTCAATTATAGAGAATCTTTCTAAATATTATTTCTTATAAAACTCAAATCTGACAGTCGTATACTTCTCTGAAAATGTATACTATAGAAATCTTCATTCCGCGCAATCCAAACCCTGACTTCCTGATCGAATAAATCTCTAATTTAAGACAGGTGTAATGTACCGGATCAACCTCAATTTGAAAAGAAGATGTGTGTATTGAACGCAGGTAGTAAGGTTGAAGAAGGGAAGAGTATGGGGTGCGGCCTCCGATACGTATCCACCGCAGAGGCATGTTCATGTGACTTGCACCGAGCAACAGCGAGTGTATTACACCAGCCAATACTTGTTGCCATAATTTTCGGCTCCGCAATAGAAGATCTATGGAATAAATCAAGTGGCTGTCTAGAGACATATACATGATCTCTACGGGCGATTGCTTCATTACAATGAAAACTTGCGTTTATCTGTGGGTGTTCCATTTCAAAGTGATATCCAAACTGATGGCCACAGAGACCCTGGACCCTCTTTCATTCCACTCCTCTGATATTGCTTTTGGGAATGCCCATAATGAAATAAATCTTCCCATAGTCATGCAACTCATTGAACATGGGGATGATCCGGGGATGGCTGATTGGAACACGTCTCTTGCAAAATAACTCGCACAGAGTTTGTGATCTTCCATCTGGCCGTTCGATTTCCCTACTATCCATGTCTTTATTTAGGTGTTCTCGCTCCATGAAGGTTCTTAACGCTGATAAAGAAACAAATCGGTTGTTTACCTGCAATCATTCGAAGCATAAATAATCCTCTCATTTGAAGTGTTGGGCCTGTGGAACATAGGTTTCTGCTGCTGTCCATGATCCTACCCTGCCAGTAGTGTAATTTGAAGTTGGTGCAGATCGGGAACAAAGTAGCACCCATCGAAAATAATTTTCGAAGTGGCTTAACGAAGAAGCAAGTTTCTTAGAAATGAACTTTTTCTTTTCGTTGTATATATAGCCTGACCTATTATGTCTGAAATACTAAAGCATCAATTACTTTCCTCTGACTACAGCAGGCAAGATTTGGGTTCTTCGATAATGTGGGACATAAAAAGTGGTTGGCTCCTTGTATACGACAGATGTGCCGGAACCTTGAACCTAGGTGACACGGAGCCATATCCTTTGCCTTATCTGGTATATTGTAAACTTAGAAGGTTGTGCTCTCGCTCCTTTTCTTAATGCCCAACTACTCAACATTCATCTACATTCCACGAGTACCACGTCGAGCGCATGTATGGGTTCAAAATCAGCATTTAGTTTTGCTTTCAATAAATTCCGCACTGAAGGGATAATCTGTGTAGCCATTCTCTTGCAAAGGCGTATAGAAACTCTCTCGGTCGTAAGGGTTAAGATGAACGTCATGACGAATGCGAAATGGCAAGTCAGGATTGGCGATAAAATGACGGCCGAAGGCGACTGCAACCTTGTAGTTCTTGTATTCTTCCTCCAAAGCATTTTCTACATTCTCTGGTCTATATCCGCCGGCAACAATCACAGGCGCTGATTTCCCCCAAACGTCGAGTAGGAACTTGATACTGCCCTCATTTTCGCAGTCCACGTTATTGATGACGCGAGACTCAATTACATGGAGGTAGGCCAGTCCTAGCTGTTGCAGGCGCTCCACGAAGTAGGTGAATTGAGGCACAGGATCGACCATCTTCATGCTCTGCCATGTGTTCCACGGACTGAGGCGAAAGCCGAGTCGGTCAGCACCAATGACATCGGCCACTGCTTTGGCGACCTCCAATCCAAATCGTGCTCTGTTGGGGATACTACCACCCCATTTATCGTTTCTCTTATTAGAAACGTCTTGGAGGAACTGGTCGACCAAGTACCCATTAGCCCCGTGGATCTCAACGCCGTCAAAACCAGCACGAATAGCGTTTTTCGCGGCCATTGAGAAGTCATTGATGATTCCCTGCACCTCGAGTTCATCTAGCTCCTTGGGAACCGGCATCCCCGGCTCAATAGGAATCGGACTAGGAGCATGCAGCACATGACCACCTTCTGCATGCAACTGAGCTGGGTCAGCGGCTCTGCCAACAGCAATTAGTTGACAGAAAATGAAGCTTCCTTTCTTATGCACCGCCTCAGTAATCTTTTTCCAGCCGTGAACCTGTTCTTGGTTCCATATTCCAGGCGCATGAGGAAGTCCGCCAGCTGAGGGTGAGATCAGTGTTGCTTCTGCGATGAGCATAGTGCCCGGAACTGAAGCACGTTGCTCATAGTATGTTGTTGCCATGGGGAGTGGGACATGTTGGGAGTCCGCGCGGAATCGAGTGAGTGGTGCCATGACTACTCGGTGCTCAAGATTGGCTTTGCCGATCTGAAGAGGCTGGAAAAGTTTGGAGCACATGTTGACCGGCGTGGACGTATTATTGTCGAGATAACTCGGTTTGCAGAGCAGCAGGTTCGATAGAAAATTGAGATATGTGCTGAATTAAGAATACGTTTTCCGTAGATATCTGTCAAATTTCGCTGTATATGTAGAATTTGCATTTGGAGACTAAATATAAAACACCTCTGAGCGTCTCCAACACCACCTCCACGCCAAGTTGTTCGACTCAGATTTAGTAATCGTAGCTGAGATCAATACCCAGTGACGTATTGATGCTCTTGGAATGCTATAGGGCATATATCAACTGAAGATACCTGTTTTTACTTCTACTTTTGTTTCACTCAAATTAACCGGGTAGAGTCATTCCTAAAACTAATGATTTTATGAATACCACTATAAAGCTATTCCGACTGATCTCGAAACTATCTTCGAAATTTACCCGCATCATAGAATCACGTGTTCCAGGAATTTCCAAAATGCTTTTGTACAGCTGTTCACTCATATCTTAGGATTCTGGCATGTCTATCAGGCATCTTTTGCCCAGACTACCATAAAAGATGGCTGATTTATTGGTGGCTTTTTACGTGCCGGAAAACCAAAGAAGGGTTTTCGAAAACTCAATAGATCTAGTGACCCACTTGATTTGGGCCCACTTGTTTGGAGGTACTCGGACCATTTTGGAGGTGATTACAAATTTCGCTACATCCGCATCTGAGGTGCTCACAGAGACTGAAAGTAAACCACTGAAGCGCTGTCGTGTGTCTAGGCGAATACCATGTCCCTACATCATGTTATATCAGTTACTATTACCACTATCGGCCTGGGGGTTGTTTTTGATCCTTAAACTTTCTCTCATTCACTGCCAACAATAACAGCCATCAGTTATACAACAGTCCATTCTGAAAGAATGTAAGCAGGCAGTGGCTTATGAAGTGACCCTTCCATTACAGCCTTCTACCTTTACACTGCAAAAGCTCGTCATATATGGTGACAGACCGAAGTTAATAAGCAGATCAGTATCATAATGTCGACTAACTCCAAACATCTCCAATAACGCCTCCACAAAAAAAAAATTAATCAGCTTCACTGTTGTAAATCCTCATTGACAAATCAATATGTTTGACGTGATGCCATTCGAAATCCCTGAGATAAAAATGCTTTAAGCATGTAATCCCTTTCTCAGAAGACTTCTGCCCGAATTTTCCAACTCTGCTCACAATTAGATTAGATTGTGCCTTCGTCTAATCGCCATATCTGTTCTCGGCACCGAGCTGATTCTCCCGATCAAATGCCTGTCCAATGGATACGAGATAGCTTCCTCGGCCAGACTTTGCGTCTAATCTGTCGACCATCCTGTTTGGCGTATGCCGAAGAGCAAGAAGGCTGGATAGATACTGTCGAGATGAAACCCCTACCGCTTAGCAACGAAAAAATCATTTGCGTGGAATGGTATTCTGCCGATGACGAAGAGAACCCCCATAACTGGTCTCAATTTAAGAAAGCATATATCCTTGGTGTCATTGGTGCGTACAGCTTTGTGGTCTACATGTCCGCACCAATCTACACACCGAGCGAAAATGCCTTCATCGAGGAATATCATGTGAACAAAGCCGAATCATCCCTAGGACTCGCTCTTTACGTGTAAGCACATTTCATTTAAGCATTTACTTCCCCGCTGCCCCGGATAAGTTACTGACTGTTATTTAGTCTAGGTTACGGTGCAGGCCCCATGTTCTTCAGTCCCCTCAGTGAGATCCCGCGTATAGGCCGTAGCCTCCCATACGTTATATCCTTCATCTTTTACTGCATATTAAGCATACCCACGGCTTTGAGCCCTTCCGCTACTGGCTTCTACGTTCTTCGCTTCCTCCAAGGATTCTTCGGAAGCCCTTGTCTCGCTACTGGTGGCGCCTCAATTGCGGACATTTATTCCTCCGATGTATTGCCTCATGCAATGACGACCTGGGTACTGTCTGTCTTTTGTGCACCTGCTATTGGTGTGTTAGTGGCTGGGTTTGCCATCCCAGTTCTTGGATGGCGGTTCTCAATGTGGGAGATCCTGATCGCCTCTGCTCCAATCCTCATCCTCCTTCTACTCCTCCCCGAAACTAGCTCAGCTACAATCTTACATCGCCGTGCCCGTTGCTTGGAAAAGAACAACAAACCCGGAACACACAAATACCAGACAGTGGCTGATATCCGTCAAGGAGATACGTCCTTCCATGCTGTCCTCCGAGAGTCGCTACTCATCCCCTCAAAAATCACCCTTCTGGACCCGGCCATCCTATTCCTGAACTGCTACACCTCTCTCACGTACGGCATTTACTACTCCTTCTTCGAAGCCTTCCCAATAGTATACCAAGGAATATACGGTTTCAACCTAGGAGAAATGGGAGTCGCTTTCCTCGCCATTGTGGTTGGATCGATCATTTCCTTCCTCGTCTACAACTTCTACATCCACCGCGTCTATGCGCCAACTGTACGAAGCAGTGGTCTTAAAAAGCCTGAGGATGTCTTGGTGCCCGCTCTTTTTGCATGCTTTGGGCCGTCTATTGGGCTTTTCCTCTTTGGCTGGGCGGCCAGATCTGATGTCCATTGGATTGTCCCTACCATCGGCATTGTCATCTACCCCGGATGTGTCTTCATTATAATGCAGTGTGTGTTTCTGTATATACCTGCTTGTCATCCACACTATGCGGCGAGTGTCTTTGCTGCCACTGACTTTACTCGAAGTGCTTTTGCCTGTGGTTCTGTGATGTTCTCGCGGCCACTCTACGAGAATTTGGGTTTGGGTCCAGGGTGCAGTCTCTTGGCTGGGTTAACTATTGGCTGTGTGGTCGGGATTCATGTCCTGTATCGCTATGGGGAGGCATTGCGGCGGAGGTCGAAGTTCAGTCGCGAGATTTGATGGTAGGTACTGAGATATCCAGAATATTTTGGATTGTTTATAGCGTATATAGAATCTCAATAACATTTAACGTGACTCGGACATAGCTGTCTGAGAATTGATAAGGTTCTGCTCACAAGTGTTGGCATAGAGGTCCAGTCCATCACCAACAACCTCGAATAATGACCATTGGCCATTTCCCTTGATCAGACGGGCCCATAACTTTACGACGGCAAACCCTAGGTAAGAACAATCGGACAGATCTGAAGGCCGAGACCACAGATCCTCATCTGCTGATGTTCGTCCTTCTTCCACAATATCGCTGATCCAATTTACGAGCCGCGCTTCATGTTCTGGTAATACGTATTAGAAAATATCAATCCTCTCCAAGGGTTTGAACTCAGCAAGGACCGGGTACCCCTTGGGATAAAATAACCTACCATCTAGTGGTCTTCGGGTCTGGTTGTCGGCAATACAAAGCAGCCATTTACTGAGAAAGATCGCGAACTCCAGTCCACAAAGAGAGTGTTGTACGCTCCAGACGAACGCATGGCTTCGAGCCACATAATTTACCCCTAATTTGACAGGGATGCTGAGAGCATGCGTCGCATGTAGAATTGCTGGGAGAAGGTGAGGGCCAGATGGCAAACGAGGTATTTGTAACAGTCGGTTTGCTATTTCTCTAGCATCGCGAGACTGAAGAATTCTATATGAGCCTAAATCGAGGCCAAGTCGAATATATGCAACACCCAGCAGGGCAGTTGAAGTATATGTCACAGGGCCATTGGGATTTCGAGGGTCCAGACTCGATTCAGGTGCTTGTTGCCAAAGAGAGGTCCATGCATAAAGAGAGTTGCTAGGAGAAAGGTAGCCACGTTAGTGGTTAGGGGAATGTAGCTGTTGAACAGATGGGAGATCGCGTACCGCATGACTTCCTTTTGCCCATTTAGTACGGTGTTATTCACATCATTATATGGGCCAAGGGTGTGATATGCGAGCAAGATCCGCTGGATAATGGCGTGTAATAGGATGTAGTTCGACAACGGTGAAGGAACCGGGAGGGTGCCTTTCAAATTAGTATCTCGTGTATTCTTCATAACGTGACATAGAGCATCTTGGAACAACATCTGCTCCTGATGGCCAGGTCTTCGAACGTGTTTCCACTTCTGCTCGTTCGGAGCAATCCATTCGAGGCAGCTACATGGGAGACGAACGTTGATTTCATCGGCCAGGATGGCTGGTGGTGTACCAAATGCTATAGACTGAAGAGTCAAAAAAGAGAAAGAGAAGAGTTTTACCCTCCTGTCGGTTTCTTGCTGGATCCACAAATGCCAGCTGTCAGCATTGGTAACTGAAGAATCATCGGCCTCTTTCAATTGTGACTCTCTAACGCATCTAGCCAGGAAGCTCTGGAGATCGAAAGCCTCGCGGTGTATGCTTTCCTCGCGTTGCCAGGTCGCAAACGCAACGAGGAGAAACGCGCACCGGGCTTCACGCATATATCTACGACACTGCATTATTTTGTCGGTGGAATTGAAGGCTCGCTGGTTTGGAAATGTTGAGCTTCCTTCTGAGGCACCTGAAGCGATTTCAATATCTGCCCACTCTTTACCCCGTGCATGCAGTATGTCCTTCGCTGCATGAAATAACAATGCTGCTTTGCGATTCTCGTGCCGAGATTCTGCACCGAGAGCACACATAGCCAGTAGCATTTCTGGTTCACATTCCTCGATCTTGAATGTTGGAATGTGCACCATCGGTAGGTGGGGATAGAAACCATCAAAGAACCCATTGATGAATCTTGATAGCGAGTGGCAGGATGGTAGATTGTTAGCTGCGTGAGTGGAATGGCAAAGCATCAACGTCTCGGAAAGACGTTCTCTATGGTGATTCGTAACCACGAGTATTGGAAAAGTGAGGACTCCGAACTCCGCTACAATCCATGCTTAGGATTTGCAATCAAGGTGTCGAGTGTCATGTGAAGGAAGCTTACCAACAGCTTCTCTGTCAGTTGGAAGCTTGCTCAGTATTTGTTCTGCACCTGAAGGATGACCATTGGGTGGATTGGCGATGGATGTTGTTGGCATGTTATTAGACGCAAAGTCTCCAGGAAATATTCTAACAAGGCTTGGCTCAGATGGAAAATACCAGTCGTCGTTAAGTCCCAGGTTGTTATTGAACATGTCCAGGTCTTGGAAAACTGAAAGGTCCTGGGGGTTGAACAGTAGATTGGCTGTATATGTTTAGTATCGTGAAATAGTCCTTAAGAGCTTGGTAGCGAGGCTTTCTGTTAAGTCACCCAGCAATAAGGACTTGACGTACCTTCAAGCCTTTCCTCTTCCACTTGGCCATTACGGCCGCTTGAACCTACTTGTGTAATTAAGGACTCCGTCGACTCCAATAATGGAGGCCTCACGCCCAAGTAGGTTTCATCCTTATTAGATAGAACATTGTTGGGTTCGTAGACCGCAGGTAAGGACGAGAAAGGCTGTGATGATGGGGTGTTCGGAGCATGGCCAATACTTTGATGGCGCTTCAGAAGATCACGTCTGCTAAAGGTCGCCCCACAATCGCATTGGTACGGTTTTTCATTAGTGTCTATGATTTTACTCCTTAGTTCAACATTGAAACGCATACTTTCTAGGCGGCTATACTAACGGATTCGGAGATGTCTTTGGAGGTGCTCGTGGCGACGGAAGGATCGCTTGCAGTAAGGACATACCCGGGCTTTCTTTCTGCGCGTTGGTGAGACTGGCGTATCGTCCACCGATCTAACTTCATCCATATTCAATACCAGCGAAAATCGCAGATGGCGCAGCGTGAGCAATGATGCAGGTCCGGCAGAGGCAGAAAAAGGTTGCTGGTGAATACCTGATTGCTCAGCAGCGATGATGATTAATACACTCACCGCACTCTGCCATTTCCTGGCTCATATCATGTGATTTCCCATCCTATTTTTCGAGCGATGGCCGTTGAAAAGGACCATTGTTCAAAAGATCGATTGTTTCAATATTTGGATTGTCCAGCAAATATATTCATAAGTACTACGTGAGTTTATCTAATACCATATACTCACCCTACCAAGTATCGCCTTGACGGAGACAGGCTGAGTCATGAAGATGTATTCCGCCTTCTCTACCCAGACAAAACACAGAGCATTGCGCATCTGAGTTTTTTTTCGCTGGAAAGCTTTATGGTAATACAAGCCATGTTTCCAAATAAGGAAGACCAAAGCCTACTGCAAGAGATCGAGGTGACGATTTTGTAATCAAGGTTGAATAGAATACCACAACTTTTTATCTCGGTTAGCATAGGTGGGAATGCGAGACAAGGAATAGCGACAGTAGTTCAGACAGGACGCTGTTCAGGTAGACGCGACTTATGTCTATCGACAATACAATCATAAGACAATCTCATGTGGGCGTAACCTATGAATTCGAGCCAAAGGCCCCTAAGATGAAACACTCTTGGTCGATAAACCATGGCGTTGCGCTGGAGGCGCGGAAAGCTTGTGATTTGGTGAACTCTTGGCATTTTGGAGGTGGTTCCCCGAGCAGCAGCAAAACCATCTGTTATATCTCGACCGGAATCAACAGAGTATTAACATATGCTCCGTAAATAGCCTTGGTCGTTGAGGCGAAACGGCCTTGCTAAGTATTTTGTGATTAGTCATTTAATGTATTTTTGCTACTACAGTCATCACAGTTTACCATCCCTATGTTCTTGGTAAAATACCCCGTCTAATTATATATGTCCAAGCCGTACTCTTCCAAGTTCACATAATATACCAAATGAGCGCCCCAGTTCTCCAACAGATTGGATATTCAGACAGACTAACGGTGCTTTAATGTGTCTTCTATTTCTATATATTTTAATTCGCACTGTAAAATTTGCCATCCAGTTACTGTTTCCCTTGATATTCGTATATGGCTTCCATGGGTTCTTGATTCGAATGGATTTTGGAGTATTACACTGCTTCATCTAAACGGTTGATAGGACTTGAATTCACCTATATCTACCGATTTAATGGTTCTATTTAAGATCGTTTGTCATCGCTATTTCGGAGTTCTCAGGTCCAAATTGGCATCTAAAAGCGAGGTACAAGGATGACCAGGGTATTTTGGTATGGGTGGTGAAGTCCCGCCAATCGATACGAGATGCCCTGTTCTGACAAGTGGTTGTTAAGTGGATAATTTACCCCCAGCCTTGTCTTCTCGCCACTGCCTCATAATCTCCAGCCCTTCCTCAACATCCTTTTCATTAAATGGCCGTGATTGCCATGTAAGTTCCACCATCTGGCCATTCGGGTCTATGACGTAGATGGAGTACCAAAGACCATCGTGATCGATTTCGCCCTTGACATCGACCCCGCAAGATTTGAAATGGGCCATCCAGTCATACAACTCATCGCGGGAATTGACCGACAGAGCGAGGTGCTTTGTAAAGGCGGGGATGCCATCGTCTGTCTTCGTAAAGTTGTTGGCGAGTTCGAAAAAGGCCACGGCTGACCCGTCCGCTAGGCCATAGAAGCAATGCAGGAAGCTCCCCAAGGTCTCTCCACTGTATTTATCAGGCTCCCCACCCTGACGCTGCGCTCCAAGGAATTTACAGCGCATGACCTCTGTCCAGAATTTGTGTGTTTTGACCATATCGTTGGTAGCGTAGGCATAGTGGTTCAGACCTCCAGGTGCTGTAGAAGTGGAAGGGGCCATTTTCGTAGAGAAGAATTAAGAGATTGCAGAGTCCACAGAATGAAGAAGGATAGAATGTGTAATTTGGCTTGACCTAGCAAAGGCCACGGCCTGATTCTTATCTTTATCTGATACCTGGCGGGGCCTTCGCATATTCTGTAGTCCCTCACTGGAAGTCCCGCAGATCACAATGGCATGGGGTCACCCAGCCAGGCAAAGTCTTGAAGAATTGCCGGTTGCGGGGCCAAGACCAGTTTGGGTGATTTGTGTGCGGGGCCTACGTGTTGCAGTGAAGAATCCCTGATAGTACCCGCTTCAAAGCCCGGAAATAATGCCGGTATATAACAGGAGCCCGCAAGCTTTGATGAACGGTAAGATATACACATGTCCGCAAATCTTCTCTCACATACAGAGCGCCGTCTTCACCGACCGATAGACACAACACCCACTTCCAACCGCACCCACCCCGCCCAATGCCTCCCACTTCTTGGCCAGGCAGTGCAAAAGCTGCAGTGAGCATCACATTTGATAATGTGGGTGAATCAAGAGACGTCGGAGTAGGAGCATGGCCGAAGGAGAAACCCGTGGGACAGCATCCGTCGGTACTGGAGGTGACCCCGATTATTCTCGACATTCTTGACAAGCACGACGTGAAAGTGACATATTTCATGGAAGCATGGGGTATTCAGACGTACCCAAAGATGCTCAGCGAGGTCCAGAGTCGTGGCCATGAAATTGGATATCACGCATATCAGCACGAGGAGTGGAAAACCCTGTCACCCCTACAAGAAGAAGAAATCATAAACAAGAGCCTCCCAATAGCGCAGGAGCTTGGTGTCTGTTACAAAGGCTTCCGCCCTCCCGGCGGATCGATGAACGCCGGTACCAAGGATTTGCTCCGTCGTCACGGAATCAAGTATGCTTCAATTCTGGGCCAAGATATCAGCACGGACAAAGATGGCTTCGTGACTCTGCCGTTTCAATGGAGGGCTGTCGATGCGTTCTACATCCTAGATGCATTCGACTTTCTTAGAGCTGAATACGGAGAGCAAAAGTCTGTCTTCACTTGCGAAGCTTTTCAGCAGGCGCTCTTTGACCAGATCGATGCTGCAGTTGAGAAGGGGGCCTTCATTGATATTCTTTTCCATCCTTTTCTCCACACGTCACCCGAGACCCGTGCGGTTATTGAAGCAGTTGTTGCGCGAGTGAGCAACGATCCAGACATATGGTGTGCACCAACTTATGAGGTGGCAGAATGGGCTGCAGCACATCAATAGCAGAGTGGTACTTGGGAATTTAAACCATGTATTTCGTTTCTTCCATATCAGGTATAACAACAGGCTACCTTATAGGTTGCGTCCTACTGTCCTAATGCTCTCCCTGTAGATATCTATCCCCGAGCATGTTTTTAAATACCTTGGAGGGCTTCCAATGTGGTCGACCATTCATATTATCTTCCACTTTCTCTCGAGCCTCAATACCCTTAGATTACATTCATCGTCCACATGGATCTCCATGAGCATCTCTTCGAAGACAGTCATCTCAAATCGCAGACTTGTGCCTTCGAGTCACGGTGTAGGATATGGATGCTTCGAGGGGTAGCGGAAACTCTCGAGTAGTTGCTTCTGAACCCTCTCCATCCAACGTTAGCGCTCAAGATTGATCTACTAGGCGAATCTCTGCCGTCGATCCAATAATTTGAACTATAGGCCCCACGTGGGGACTATGATACTCTATGATACAATGTGGTGCCTTTTTCCATTCCAAAAACGTCTCTTCCCTACAGAACACCTTCCTATCCATAATCTCAATTACAAATTGCCAAATGCCCAATTATGGAACTAGACTCTACCATGAGTCTAACGTCATGAGTCCGTGCCGAGGTTGGTAGTGGAAGACTTAGTCCCCGCATCCATATACTGTCTGTCTGCGGGTAGAAAGCGGTAGGCTATCCGTGACCATTGCCGCCCCATTCCATTCGGGTGTTGTCCCAACACTGAAGCCTTGCTGGCCATTACTGAGTAACGTAGTTCCTTGCCGACCAGGGCACCCTCGAAACACCATAGCAAATGCATTACTTACAACTTCAGATTCAAGACTCAAGTCTGGGTATACGAAGTCTTGCTAAGATTCCGTTCTCGCCGTATGGATGCAGAGTATTGGACGGGTACATAACTCAGATAAGTGGGAGTATTCACGCTGTAAACAGTACTAAGCTGGTAATCCCAACAGCTTTATATCCAGATTACTTTCGCATAACTCTCTCCACCATTCTACATTTGTCACATACACAGGCTGTACCTACGGTTTGTCAACATCTTTCCTGGCTACATTTAGAATAGCTTCATAAATACAAGTCTACCGCCTGTTTTTGCGACTACGCCCGCGGTCAGAGTACAGGCGTCCCGGCAGCAGTGACCGTGACCGCGGTCATACACACATGCTGGCAGACGCATCCTGCCGGTAAAAGCTGGTCGAGAGTCTTCAACAACGTGTACAGCCAAGGATATTGCCAACCACTGGATTCTTGGTAGGTGTTTCTTACCCGCCTCCAAACTCAAGCAATCCTCACTGATGAACCATATTGGTAGGACTTTTGCCTTCATGCGTATTTCAAGCAGTTTCAGTCCGTTTTTCCGCTTATCCATGTGCCTACATTTCGCCCATAAAGAAAAAGCCATTAATGCCCTTCTCCTCTTGCAGACTTGCTCTATTAGTAGTCTGTTCCTGGGGTCAATGGATCACGGATTAGTATGTTTGAGAGGCTGCAGAAGTCAATGCCTGCCTCCGTATGTCCATTGACGCAAGTCACAATGGAGAAGGAAAATTGACTCGAATAGCGCTCTGGCAATAACGGCGTATTGACCAGGATGTAGGCAGTCTGATGCACATATGCCTGGACGCCGGATGCAACTATGATGGAAATGCTTGTCGACTAAACTAGAATAATCTGCTACATGGCGAGAGAGGTTTCCAATTGTGTGTAAGCCTATGTGATGCTATTAGGAGATGGGTGGCTGTCTTGTACTTTCCTGCATCGGCGCCTATACGAGTCTTAAAATACACACATAAAATCTATAACTCCCGGTTCTCTGACTACAGATATTTCATCTTATTCTTCACACTCGCCACACCTCCCAACTTGACCTCCACCACATCTCCATCTTGCAAGAATTCCTTCCGGAAAAAGCCCACTCCCGGCGGGGTGCCAGTCATGATGAGCGTGCCCTTTCTCAGGGTCATTCCGCGCGACAGATGACTAACGATTTCGCGCACACCCCAAATCATATCACTGGTATTGGTGGTCTGTTTGACCACTCCGTTCACCTTGGTGACCAGGCTCAGCTGCTGCGGGTCTTGCACCTCTTGCGCGCTGACAAGAACATGTCCAATGGGAGCAAATTTATCGAATGACTTGGCGTAGCAGAATTGACCCCCCGACGCCTCCGGCATCTGGAAGTTGCGCGCCGAGAGATCATTCCCCGCGGTGTATCCGAGAACATAGTCGAGAGCATCCTCTGCAGAGACATTCTTTGCATCTTTGCCAATGACGACAGTCAATTCGCCCTCGTAGTCGAGGTGGGATTGGGCATCACGGTGGATGGGGATGGTTTCAAAGGGACCCGCGAGGGCGTCGGCGGGTTTGGTGAAGACTGGAGGGTAGGTCGGCACATCCAACTATACAGATCGTTAGTCAGGGAGACGGGTTTGTGTGACTTGAGTGGGGAGAGGCTTACACTGGCCTCCTTCGCGTGTTGTTTGTAGTTGAGGCCGATACAGATAACCAGGGGAGTACTCGGGACGGGCGGTAGAAGCTAATTGATCGTTCATTGTGAGATTTGAGTGAGAGTAATTGCAAGGCTGGCATAACATACATCAGTCACAGTGTATGTTTTGTCTGTCAAAAGCAATTTGTCGAAGGGAGTACCATCGAACTGCTGCACCGTGTACTTATTGCCGTCGGTGTTGATCAGCTCACCATAGTGTGTCTGATCACCGACGGCGAATCGAACCAGCTGTTTGAACGTAGCCATTGAGAGTAGATGGAATTTGGTAGGGAGGAATATATTCAGCACAGAATTTTGAAATAGAACGGAAGTGTGTGACCTGCACGATCATGGACGGCCGGATTTGTCACGCATTTTGATCCTGGCGATGAAGGGGTGGGACCTATCCAAAGATGTGGGGACAATCGCTGAACGACGGCTGACGCTTATAAACACCCCACCAGGTATCAGAATAGGCCCTACCAGCACTCGACTGTTTATATCAGCAGAAGCCCTCATTGCAGAGAACCCAACATATCCACATCTACAATCTAGCGAACTCCGGAGGATTGCTTCTCGGCACCGAGGCGATGGGAAAGACCAGAAGTCCCAGTCCAGCTGGCTGCAGGAGAATCACTCCAGCTACCCATATCAATCCAAAGAAGTTATCACATGCCCACTACCAATCGCTAATTTAGATGAAATCTATCATTTATGCTGACTTTGGGTTTCAAATTGCGTACCAGACCAATGAGTAAAAATTTGGTACCGCGGATACGGGCCCAGCTACTGCGTGTATGATGTGCGGAAGGGTCCCCGCAAGGAGGCGCCTTCGAAGCGGCTAGGCTAGAAGACTTCGAACGGTAAGCAGCTGGGAGTCTCTTGACGATAGATGTCCTATAAACCCCGTCACGTTTATAAGGCTCCAGAGCAGCAGCCTTGCCCAACGCCGTTTCCGTGAAAGAGCTGGCGAATGCCATAGCTGCTGGCCCGTTGGTGACGATCGCCGACCGCAAAAGACTTTCCTTCGACGGGATCTATAGCAAGGAGCCCATCCACCACTCGACGCAGGATATCGAGTCTCAATTCTATTTATAGTCCTTCACCTTCAACATCGTGCCAACGACTTTGTCGGCATCGAGAAAGATGGTCAGCGAATCCTGGCTAAATAGGAGGCAATTGATTTTTTGTTGTGGACTGTTTGACACCGTTCGCCATAACTCTGTAGAATGTTTTTGGCGGTGTACGCTAAGCCTCCAGTTCTCTGAGTAGACCGCATATTTGACAAGGCCGATCAGTCCGTCTTCCAAGTCGTCGTCGTATTACTTCGCGACATGAATGGATTACGATTGGCTATGGAGCAATTGAGCAGTGTTAGCATCGCAACGAGTCTCTACCTGCGTGCGGACGAGGCGACATATTTCGACCCCCGCACATTCGTTCAAGCCGGCAGGCCGTACCCGGATCTGGACCTGATTCAAGGCCGTCTGTTCCGGTCAGTCATTGCAGAGGAGTCCGTGCAGTCCCCACTGTGTGTCAATCGTCCGGAGCCCCGCAAGCACAATGGAGAACTCCTGTGGGACAGCCCGGGGAAGGATGTTGTTTTCAAGCCCGACCGATTCGTTGCTGCGGCCTGTGACAGCGACGACGAACTCGATAATGTAGCCTGTAGATGAAAGGAGTTTTATTTTTGTAGACTACACAGATAACGTATATAACCTTGAACAGCGTGTATGTCACATATCGGACCCTTGTAATTGCGGCCCGCATCAAGGGATAGGTCCCGCATGGCGGACGCTTACCCGAGGTATAACCCAGCCCCTCTCCATATACTAAAGTACCCCTGCCATCCCGAGAGGTTTCCTCTATCCAGAACACCTGCTAGCCACCTACTTCACTCTCACTCGGTCAATGGCGACTCAAGTCTCCCCACGCATGCTCTGGAAGCATCCGGACCCGGAGTCTACCCACATGGGACGCTTCCGAAGGGCTCTAGAGCAGCACATCGGGAAAGGTTTCAAGGTCGGTGAACCAGATCGATATACACACCAGGCCTTTCTGACGAGCCTGGACTAAAGAATGCGGTAGGACTACCATGATCTCTACGAATTCTCCATCACACAACCAACGACCTTTTGGGATTTCTGTTGGAAGAACTTCAATCTCATCCACGAGGGAAGTTATACCGCCGTTGTCGATCAATCGGCTCGAATGGACAGTATCCCCCAGTGGTTTACCGGTATCCGGTTGAACTTTGCCGAAAATCTGTTATTCTCAGCCAGTCCGAATGGTCCATCCACGAGAGGAAAGGAAGATGCGAAGATCGCGGTGGTTGAGGTCCGCGAGGGCATCTCCGAATCACACGTGTCCCTGACGTGGGGTGAGCTCCGAAAGCGCACCGGACGTTTGCTCCAGGCCATGAAGGCCAACGGGGTGCAGAAGGGCGATCGCATCGCCGTTTGTGCGAGTAACAGCATTGACACCCTGCTCGTGTTCCTAGCTTCGACCGCGTTGGGGGCCCTTTTCTCTTCCAGCTCTACGGAAATGGGGGTGAAGGGAATTCTGGACCGGCTCGTACAGATCAAGCCTCGGTTCTTGTTCATGGACGACCAGGCCGTCTACAACGGCAAGACGATTGACCTCCGAACTAAAATGGAGGCGGTCGTGGACGGGATGCGTTCTGTGCAGGAATTCCGTGGGGTGGTCTCTTAACCGCGCTTTGCTTCCCGGCCGTTGGATATCAGCAAGATACCCAAGGCGCAGCTGCTTGGAGATTTCTTGGCCAAATCTAGCGATGACCGGCTTGAGTTCACACGCATACCCTTCCGCGATCCCTTTTTGATCGTCTATTCATCAGGCACCACCGGTCAGCCCAAGTGCATTGCGCACTCGGTCGGCGGGGTGCTCATCAGTGCTTTTAAAGAAGGGCACCTGCATTCGGAGCTGGACGAGTCCAGTACGACGTTGCAGTACACCACAACCGGCTGGATTATGTATGTCTCAGCTATCCAAAGCCTTTTGTTCGGGTCCCGGGTTGTTCTTTATGATGGCAGTCCATTCATGCCGCGGCTTGAATCGTTGATTCGGCTTGCAGAGCAACAGCGGTAAGCAATAACAATATACTTCTGTTACGCAAAGCTCCAACGAAAGCTGACCTGTCAGGGTAACTCATTTCGGCACATCCCCGCGCTACATGTACGAGCTTCAACGCGCAAAAATCCAGCCGCGACAGATTGCCGATTTGAGCTCGTTAAAAATTGTGACCAGCACGGGGATGGTGCTCCCCGACGCTCTGTTCGAGTGGTTCTACGACCAGGGCTTCCCACCACATGTACGGTTGAATAACATTTCCGGAGGAACTGATCTGGCCGGGTGCTTTGGAATAGGGAACTCCCTCCTCCCTGTTCACGTGGGTGGCTGCGCTGGAATAAGCCTCGGTATCCCGGTTGACGTCTACGACGCCAGCATTGAAGGAGCTGGCGCGAAGGGAAGGTCTGTAGAGGTTGGCGTCGCGGGTGAGCTGGTAGCCACCGCCGCTTTCCCCAACATGCCTGCTTGTTTCTGGGGCCCAGATGGGAGTAGACGGTACCATGATGCCTATTTTGCTCGATTCGACAGTAAGTTCATTCACGTCCTTGAGTTAAATTCCCTACCCATCCCGACGTTCTCTATCTTCACCATCCTCTTACTAACCGGGGATATCACCAGATGTCTGGACGCATGGCGACTTTGTTTCCATCCATCCTCAAACCCGACAACTATTCTTCCACGGCCGGGCAGACGGCGTCCTGAACCCATCTGGAGTCCGCTTCGGGTCGTCGGAGATCTATCAGGTCCTCGAAGCGGAATTCCCAAACGAAATCACGGACTCACTCTGTGTCGGCCAGCGGCGACCTCAAGATACCGATGAGCGGGTGATGCTGTTCTTATTACTGAAGACTGGGGCCAGTTTCACACCGGACTTAGTTGCCAGGGTGAAGGCCGCCATTCGTCAGAGACTGAGCAGCCGTCATGTTCCGAGCTTTATCTTCGAGACTGCTGAAAATTCCGGTACGTACCTATCTAGACTTGTGACTATGTAGTGGCATAAATCGTCGACACTAACGAAATTCACTGTCAGGTCACCGTCAATGGAAAGAAGGTGGAGCTCCCGGTTAAGCAGATCGTATCAGGTAAGCGGATCAAGCCGTCTGGCACGCTACTCAATCCTGGGTGTCTGGAGTATTATTACCAGTTCGCTCAGGATGAGCGGTTGGTCACTGCGCGGGATAGTAAGCTGTGAAGCGGATAAGAATATATATACCTCCATGGAACAAGCGGGGCTTACTGTATTTTGTATGTTCACTGTTTCACGAAACCTTCAAGGTAATGAAAGATGAAACGCATCACTACAACCAAATGGATGGCCCCGGAATCGCAAATCCGCCGAGAGCGAGCTGAATCTTCGTTTCACCTCTATGTAGCTCCTTCAAGTCAACTCCCTTCCTTGTCCATGGTGTCATATTTGTTTCCACGCTCATGAGGCTCTAGTGGACGCATTATGCTCAGTAGCCTGAGAGTCCTGCCTTGCGTCGCCGAAAGAGGAGGTTGGGGTGTCAAGCAGCGTGGGGCAGAGGCCCATATTAGGATGTAAAATATGCCATTTTGAAGCGACCAATAACGAACCCATAACTCGGAGTGGGGCTTAGTAGCCATGGATAATCTGGTCGCTCTTTGCTATAGCAAGGCTACACTTCTGGAAGCGCCAGAGGAGTAAAATAATCTTGAAAACCAAAAGTCTCATTGATTCACCCATCCATGCCAGAAAGAATATGTTATAGCAAAAGCAAACCTATAGCCCTTAAATCCACATAAAGTCTATCAAGCCTTATAGTATAGTCTCACTCCTTTTCAAAGCGCGCGTTCCCAGAAAATGGTCACGCTATTCACTCCCTAGCGTAGCCTTCATCTTCCGGCTCCATTCCTCCCGCTTCATCCGCAGAAGGATCAACGGAATGCCACTTAGCAGACAGAAGAGACAGGCAGCCGTGAACGACCACCCAGTCCCAATGGCATCAAATAGTGGTTGAGCGATGACAGCACTGACACACGACAGGCTGTTCCGCAACAGGTTGTTCACCGCCACACCAACGGTCGATTTCTTAGGGGTGAACTCGGTCAGCATGGTCATGGTCACGTTGGTGAGGATCATTCCACTGAAGCCATAGAAGAAATTTCCGATCAGCTAAGTAGTATCAGGGGCATTAGTCATTCTGTCCGTTCTGGAAATGTCGATCAGGGTATAACATGGCGAACTCACCGGCACCAGCCAGAAGACCTGCTTCTCGGCCGTCCATCCCCACCACAAAAGCGCCCCAGGGAAGAGAATGCCCGCCATCAGGCAATTCTCTCCCAGCCGGTCTACGGGATGCAGTATCAAATCTCCTACATCGTCATATCGGCCCTCCTTGCGCGCCGTGCGTGCCATGATTGCATCCTGCCAGCGACCACCGATGATTGCCCCGAACAACAACCCCAGCCCTCCGGGAATGTAGGCGACCCCGACGATCACGGGACTCCAATAGTAGGGGGCCACGGCGAAGGTATCCTCGATTGAGACACAAATAAGATAATAGGTTGCAAACACAACCGCTGTATAGTAGACCGTGATCAGGATAGGCGGGTACTGTAGGAGCTTGGCAGCCTCTATGGGCTTGAGGAGAAAATGGGCGGCTTTCTTGGCAGGGCTTCTAGCGTTAGCGCGATGGTCGCGCTGATTCTCTGCCAGGTTTGTCGCTGTCTCTGGTAAAAAGAAGACCATCACCATGAACACCGTCCAGCCGTAAATTACCATGAACCATTGTGTGCTGCGCCATCCCCACCGCATCGTGAGCGCTCCGCCGATGATAGGGGCAAACATGGGGCCTAGCATGGGTCCTAGCATGAAGGCACCCATGGCCTTTCCGCGCTCGTGCGTCTCAAACATGTCGGAGATTGTGCCTGCGCTAACGGATTGTAGGGAGGCGCTTGAGGCGCTGCCGAGAAGGCGCATGGCGATGAACATACCGATATTGGGGCTGATGGCTGCTAGGATACAGAAAATACCGAGGAAGAAGAAAGATAACAGATAGACGAGACGACGACCGTAGAGTTCGGCGAAGTAGGACCACCACAGGGGTGTGATGGCGACGGCCAGCGAACCGAAGGCAATAGACAGGTTGACAACGGATTCGGTTGTATCTAGGTCGGCGGCGATTTCAAGCAAGCAGGCTGTTGAACGACCAGCACGTAAACCTCCAGACTGTCTGAAGAAAGTAATGGGGATAGGGTACTTACGGAACAAGACGCCGCTACTCAACGGAACGACTAGACCACCAGCAGCAACAATGAAGGTTAAGAACCACTTTATGCCCGAGCTGTAGGATCTGGGATCCTGTACAGATGGGACCATACACAACCACGGGAGAAACCCTCTGCGCACCCGCACTGGAGCATTTAGATCGATTTTCTCACGCCCATTTCCGAGCTCTGTCTTGATGTTAGGCTGGGCAAGTGGGTCGATCGAGTCCATTGGCTCATGGTCTGTCTTGGTTTCCATGCTCATGGTTGCTGGAGCTTCAGGGAAATTGCTTCTATGCATATCTGACATATTGGACGATGTTTTTTATTGCTTTGTAATGATGGTGAGTATAACCTATATCACGAATTTAACGAGGGAGATGCTTGCTTTTCTATTGATATTGAGGCCGAGTCCTTCATACTCTGGGATCTACCTCGGCCGAGTTGTGGGGTCGCCGCACGGTGTGCTCGTACGAGCTGTGGGTCCAGACCACCGCTCCAGATAATGTTAGTATGTACCTCGTACGAGGGGATATCCATCCTCAAATCGAGTAGCAAGCAAGGGACAGGGACTGCAGAGGGATAAATTGCACTCCCGCTAACTGACAAAGTCATGGTCACGATACACCCCAAACATTAATGCCGTTCATTGAGAGTGGATGTGACATTCCCCTACTTTTTTCTATTGTCACATCTCATGCCAGGAGTCGATAAGTCGTCTCTACGTTTTATTTCGGCTCCAAACGTTCAATAGTCTGCCCTCTCACCGCGAAAGCCCCGGCAACCCCATCCCATCCATTACAATGAAATCCGAGAAATCAAAGTCTTCTAGATCGATCAGCCCCATGAGATCTCCGGTGTCAAATTCCAACCCTGCCGGGCCCACTGGCGGAGCATCATCAACACCCCCAGCACCGGCAGGACCAGCCGGTCTCATAATCGAGGGCTGGGTATCCGACGGACCACCAGGCCCAGTACCACCATTACCGCCGACAACAGCGCCAGCAGCCATCAGAGGCCTTGAATCTTCAGCCGGATCCTGCTGGAATCGAATACGACTTACCAGCCACATGATTGCAGGCCAGGCGCCCGTGGTATGATGGCCGCGCAGGTCGTAGATGGCATTGGCGAGTTGAAGCCCACGCTGGCGAAGATCCTCCCATCCAGGCTTCCGAAATTCGGGACTGCGAAGCTCAGAGAGAACGTAGAGAATGAGGTTAAAGCCGGCGTGTGAGGTTATGTGCCATTGATAGGGTTCGCAGGCCGGGCTCGAAGAAATGGTGCACCAAGTTTCTACGGCGGTCGCAGCGTCGACGAATATGCTATCAAAATCAGTTTGTTAATTCTTCTCGAACCAATCTCCTACTATGCTCTTCTTCTCGAAGTGGACAGACATGCAACACCTTCTGGCTATAGGAAAGTGGAGGCAGAAGTAGAGGAGGCTCACTTTCGTCTCATAGCAGGACTTATGATTTTCTCGCGATTCTGTCGTGGGATCTGCATCCAGAACATAACCCAGAATTTGGTCTTGAGGTGCTGGCTAAGATCCAAAGCCATCGATTGCATAACCACCCTCTTATCGCAGTACCGAACGAGCTCGTCGAGGCCCCTCTCTAACTCACCTGCAAGCGCAGTCGCCGTCTGCAACAGTCCCTGTAGCTCCGTCAAGGCTTGAGGCTCGTCAACAGCCAGACCATGCAGGCCGTTCCGCAGCCGCTTGCGCGACGCATGCGTTATCTGGATGATGTGCCCGTAGTAACCGGCCGCTGTGATGCGCAGAAGGTAGATGGTCATATCGGTGAATTTAGAGGCATCAGAGAGCCCGGCCAAGGGGGCCACGCCTTCAATCAGATCCACATCGTCCAGACTGACGGGCCGACGCGTATCGAAGTCCGATGCGTGGATCGACGGCGCGAATCCGTGATCTTCCGCAGTCCGGAAATCCAAATAGCAGATCTGAGCCCACAGGCGACGGCGCAGCTCCACCTGTACGACGTCGATCGTTCCGAGTGGTAGGGCTAGGGGGTCCCTGTGGAGTCCCTGAAGCATTGCAATCCGAATGGCCAGGCCTGTCAATGGCCACACTTTGCCCATGTCATCTTCTCTGTATTGCGCAGTCTATAGCCATGAATTAAGATTAGAATAGCGATTGGTTTTTGAATTTCTTTATGGGTTGCTTACCAATAATATCACAAATGCCTGCAGAACCTCAAAGATCCTCGAGGTCATAAATTTTTGGCGCTTGAGAAGCATCTCTGTTCCCATCCGATACCGATTCAGAAAAGAGACTTTGTCCATACCGAACATGGTGGCTACGTCTGTATCCTTTATACTGTTGACAGCCGCGTAGAAGATAGACATGACCAGTGGTTGGAATGCGTCAATCTTTGTCGGACCGCAGCTCGTACCGCCGTTGCTGTCTCCCCCTTGGCTCGGTGTGTAATCTCGACTGTCAGGATATTGAGAGCGCACGAAGGCGTCAAAGCGACGGGCCAAGCTTGGCCGGTGGATAATGCGAACTATCGGGTCGACATTGGCTAGGTACACATTCAACAGCAAGTAACAATCTTCCCGGGTATCAGGCCAGAAGTTGTTGCTAAAGTTGCTAATTGATGCCCTGGCAGGTGAATCGGCCTCCCAAATAACATCGTCAAGTGTCCCTTCCGGAGAAGAGGACATTTGAGATTCCGTGAGAACTGATTGGATGTCTTGGAGCTATAAAGAGGGAAAAGGAAACAGCGAGACTATGTTAGCATTCTTCTGTGTTCTCACTCCTGTTATTCACGCGAGCCGCATGCTGTGAAGCGCACCTCTGCTGCCATCCAAGCCCAGTGTTTGCCGGAAACAAAGTGGGGGACTCCGTTATCCAGGATGAGGGCATCTTCCTCCGATCGCGGATTGTGGGGAGGGGCGGAAGTGTTGGCTGCTGGTGTCGGTTGCGTTGTCGATGTAGACGAGAAGGAGTCCGGAGACGACGAGGAGGGACTTTGCGATGAGGATGCCTCATATGCTTTTGCTTGCTCCATGAATTTGGCCAGTCGCTGCAGACCGGGATTAATTCGAGCCAGTGTCGACGAAGACAACCTGGAGCCACTGTTGCTGCTGGCTTTGACTATGCGATTCGACTCTAGGGGCGAAGCCGGCGATTGTGGCTTTGATACATACGAGCAGGCATGACCGCCTCGCTCACACACTAAACATTGCGGTTGGCGACGGTCGCATTTGACTTTGCGATGACGGCATGGTAAGCAAGAGGTGATGGGGCGAGATAAACCACTTGGGGATGGAGATGGAATAGGTTTATCAGGAGACAAATGCGCATCTGGGTAATGAAAGGAGGGAGTATCCGTGTTCATAGCGAAGGTATTGGGACTGATGAATGGCGTGTGGTTGAGAGGTTCAAATTCTAATAGTTATTAGCAACCGCCAAAACGCTGCTTAGCTCTAGCGGAATCGACTTCTCCCAAAGAATCTGCTACAAAAATCGCAGATTTAGCAACAAGGTACAGTGCAGCATTAAAATCTGAGTGCTACCAGAGCCACTGACCTGCGGAAGGCGAGCTCAGGCGGTACTGTTTGGCCGCCATGTATGGGTAACCCGAACCAATAACTTCCTTAATAGGAATAGTTCTGCCGTTTAAGACGTCACTTTGGTGTATTTCTGTGGTGGCCTTCGTGGTCCGGGTGCTAGTCTTAGTACTAAGGCTCTTAGAAGAGAAAATTAGACTATATTGCCCAGCATGGCCTAGTCACTCCTAGATGTACGGTGCTAATCTCAATTAGGTGATTGTACGCACCGTTTGGCCAAATGTTTACGCCAAATAGCAACCGCTTAGACCACTAGCTGTTAAAGTCCATTTGACAATACGTGGAGTCCAAGTAGAAGTACGGAGTAGTTCGGGGGGTGAGGCCCGGGGGGAAACCCAATCGCTTTAAAAATAAACCACCCGTTCACCCTTATAACACACTACGCAACCTATACGTTCCACCAAAATAAACCTTATCAAGAGTTTAGCCTGGCTTAGTATTCTCACCAGAATTGATCAAATACTGGCTATTTGTAGGTTTTCTTGCAACTATATTTGCAACCGTATGGAGATTACCACGCACGATACTGGAACTTCAATGCTTGGGAGCCGGACGGCTCGACCCGCCAGGAACCGGCCGATCTTCTCGGACGAACTTTGCTCTGTTATAAAGGGCTGGGGTTGGAGTAAATTGATTACTGCTGAGGCTACGTACTTATCCGATGGCTGATACATCCAGTCAGAAGCCGCAGCGCGCACTTACTTATTCCCAAGCGATTCTAACGTTGTTTGATTCGACCTGATCTCCCGATCTTCTTGGCAGTTCTATGCGGAAAATTAGTTCGGCTAATCACAAGCTCGATAATTGGTCATTCCAGGGAATACGGAGGCAGCACATGGCCCCCACTTCCACCACAGACTCCGGCTGACCTCGATGATTTTATTAAAATGGTGGGGAGGTAGGTGCAGGGATTTAAATCCTTCGAGTAGTGAGTCTCAACCTGTTAGGCACGGCCGTTCGTGCGAAGTGCGACTGGCTGTTATATGCACTATCAGTATGTAACTAAATTGCTTAGGGAGTTTGACCCCTGACGGGACTAAACATAGTGGTCTTGTTGGGCCAGTGATATAATTCGGACCCTACGTCGGTTCGAGAACACAACCAATACCACGCGTCGGTATCGCAGCCCAGGAGTCCTCGAGATCGGATTAAGTTTATTATGGAATTGGGAGCCAAAATGTGATAGGCTGTACGTGCATGCATTAGCCCACGTAAGCCAACAGGTCCTTCTCTTCCAATCCTTCCCAACATCCTCTCCAGTGCTCCACCAACGTCTATTTAGTGTGCCTTCCTAACTCTTGCGTTTTCTTTCCTACAACCACACTATCAACATGGCCATTAACGCTTTGAGTATAGCTATCTCCCTGCTGGTGATTGTATGCATCGCTTTCCCCACCTGGCAACTTTTTCTCTTACAGAACCAATCACTAAAACTATTTGCTCAGTATCCCATAAGCCGCATTGTTTACAATGTGTTTTTCAGTCCATTGAGCCATTTACCCGGGCCAATTAGCTGGTCTGCCACTCGTTTGCCGTTTACCAGGGCACTACTTCGGGGCACGATTGTCCATGACTTCGAAAGATTGCATCGCAAGTACGGCCCAGTTGTTCGCACCGCCCCTGACGAGGTCAGCTTTGCCAGCGGTGACGCTTGGGCCGACATCTACGCGAGTCGGCCTGACGATCGGCAATTTCTCAAAGATCCCCTCTGGTGGCGCAGGCAGCCTGGCCAGCCTGATACTCTGTTGAGTGCAATCCATCCGGCGAAACATTCCCGCATGCGTAAACTACTCGCTCCGGCCTTCACCCCGCGTGCCTTGAGGGTGCAGGAGGCTGTGCTACAAAGATATGCCTCACTTCTTGTTGACCGTATCAAAGACCAAGTCTCAGTCGCTGGCACAGACGGGGCAGTGATTGACATGGGCCCCTGGTTCAATTTCACAACATTTGACATTTTTGGCGACCTCGGCTTTGGCGAGTCATTCCATTGTCTGCAGCACTCACAGTACCACCCCTGGATTGCACTATTATTTGGTAGTGTTAAGGCGGCATCATTCATTGCGGCAGCGCGGTATTACCCCCCGTTGGAAACGCTACTGATGAAATGCATCCCCCGCTCGCTGCATGAAAAGAGTCAACGCCATTACCGGCAAATCATCGACAAGATCGACCGACGGCTCAGCTGGGAGCTTCAGCGACCGGACATCATGTCTCACCTAATGGATGAGAATGGCCAAGTGGCATTACCACGGGGAGAGCTCAATACGACCTTTATGATTTTGACTACAACGGGCAGTGAAACGACTGCCACTGTGTTGACGGGCATTCTGACCTATCTAGTGAATCAACCAGAAGTTTTGGGGCGCCTCATCGGGGAGATCCGTGGAAGGTTCGGATCTAGTCAAGACATCAGCCTGTCAGTAGCGGCGGATCTGCCGTACCTCACTGCAGTGATTCAGGAGGGTCTCCGACTGTGTCCACCTGTGCCGTGGATGCTTCCCCGCCAGGTGCCACCGGGAGGAAGCACGGTGTGTGGGACTTGGTTACCGGGCGGAGTAAGTCAAGCAAACCCCTGGGGGTCCCTCACCCCCTTTAGATATGATCGACATCAGTATTGACAACGAAAACACGGCCAGACCGCGGTTTCCCTGCAGGCTTACACTCTCAATCGCGACCCCTCTCGGTTCCATGCAGCCTCCTCCTTTTTACCCGAGCGATGGCTCCCGGATGCTTCGAGTAATCCCAACTCCAACTTTTACCAGGACGACCGTCACGCCGTGCAGCCGTTCAGCATGGGACCGCGGTCTTGTCTAGGTCAGCACCTGGCATGGGCGGAGATGAGGTTGATCCTTACCAAGTTACTGGTCAATTTTGACTTCGAGGCGGTAGAGGGGAAACAGTTGCGATGGGAAGAATTGCGGACCTTCTTGTTGGTGGAGAAGCGCCCCTTGGAGGTGCGAGTGCGGCTGGCCCCGGTCAATTGACCCCGTCTTGGTGGGGCTGAATCCTTCTGAGCTTGGTCGAGCTTGTTTCTACGCAGCTAATATAGAGGTCACTTGGCGGTATAACTAACGTTGTCACTCGTAACCGTTCGTTTCAGAACTTCGGCCAGCAAAATCTCACACCATATGGTTTCGAGCAACCTATTCTTCAGCAAATAACATTTCTGTCTGAGGATCAGGTATCTAATAAATGTCTTTCGGCAAATTAGAGAATCTCATTACAACGTCTTACTCCGCATCTCTATCTCGCAAAATCCAGGGCCGAATGGCTGTACTGAAAACATGGAAGTTCTCGCTCGGAAGGAGTGCAACCCGCGCAGCAGCTTCCGCTCGTTCAAGTCTGTCTCCCGAACAGGAGACTTACCTGTGTCGTTCCTGGAAGAAGAGTTGTTAATCAACGACCTACTCTCCGCGTCCTCCCGGCGTTGAACATACTCTTCGCGACCCAGTTTCACACAACTATCAACCCGGCCATGCTAGACCAGGCTTTCAGAGAATCTGTTCAGGCGTGCGAAGTCTTCCTCTCGCGCTACAAGCAAGTCCAGGGGAAATTCATCAGAAACCTCGTCTATACCCCGTCTTCCCTTCGCCACTTTTCAACAACTGAGCTATCTATTGACGAATTCCTGCATGCTGCCCGGAACTACCGGTTTGACCTCGCCAACGAACAGCCCGTACAAGCCCTTCTGTACCAGCATTCCCCTACAGAATCCACTCTCGTGATCCTAATGTCCCACCTAGTCGGCGATGCCATCACGATGAATGGGTTCCTCAACAGTCTCGCCGCCCGCTTCCACGCCATGTCCAGACAAGAACTCACCGACCCAGGTTGCTTTTGGGCTGATCCCCGACATACATACACCTACATAGACTGGACCGCATGGTCCACCACTCAGGAGCACCTCTCAGCGGAGGCCTTAGTCTTCTGGAAAACCTATCTCGACCACCCGCCCCTTCAAACTGGCCTGAACCAGTCCCGTCGACCAAGGTCCTACACCGGCGGGTTTGAGTCCTGGACCCTCCCGCGCGACCTCTCCAAATCCCTCCTCCACGCCTGCACCGACCTATTCGTGAGCCCGCATCAACTCATGCTCACTGCTGTCGCGCTTGCCACGCAAGCCCTCCGACCCAGTCAGGACATCGTCATGATGGCCCCGTACTCCCTACGCACGGAACCCCTGACCGAGGATCTTGCCGGTTGTCTGCTAGACCGTGTACCCATTCGCGTCAAGTGGGACCGACGCCAATCGCTACTTGAGCTTCTGCGAGCTGTCCAGCAGTCCTCGCAAGCGGCAATCGCCCACGCTGTTCCCTACTCCTCTCTGTGCAAGGGCCTGCACCTTTCCCCGACCCTCACAGAGCCCTTTGCGGAGATCATGGTGACGTTCCACCCTCCGGCCACCAACAAGGCTGGATGTTCCTTCGGCCAGCCGTTTTCCCTCCGTCCGTCTGGCGCCAAATTCCCCATCCTGTTCGAATTTTTCCAACAGTCCCCAGATGAGCCAATCACCGTGGTTTTCGAGCACGACAACGCAATCCTCAGCGGTCAAGACGGCGAGGCTCTATTGTCGGCGTTCCAGCTGGTCTTGCAAATTATTGGCGATAATCAAACAGCCCACGAAATGGTGGAGACAGTGTGCCGTGAGGTGCGTACACCTGAGAAAAGACTCAATGGTCTGCTGGAAGATCAGATGTCGGAGTCTTGTTCCGAGGGGTCAAATAATGAGTTCCATGAAGAAATCGTACGGAAGGCGTTCGCCACATGTCTTGGTGTGACGGTGGAGGATGTGGGCTCGCATACTTCGTTCTTTGATGAGCTTGGGGGTTCTTCGGCTGATGCGGTCCGTCTGGTGTGGTTGTTGAAGGAGAGAGGCGTAATTGGAGTGGATGTGCGGCAGGTGTTGTTGGCGAAGACGCCCGCAGCGCTCGGGAGGATGGTGTGGTCTATTGAATAGCTCGTGTTGTATGAGTGGATACCTCCTCAGCAACCCCTGCTCGCCCTTCTGTTTGGTACAGGAGTTAAAATAAATACTTCTCTATATTCTACCTTACTAAACGATAGGAAATGTCGTGATCAAACCTGGTTTTTTCAAACCATGTATCCATTGTTATAGCATTGCCACTGGACGGCTGGACTCCTGTCTCTGAAACACGGACATAGTTTGACAAATCGGGAAGACTATAGGAACGAAACAGTTCACAAGGAACAAAATGCATCACCTAAGTAATAAGCATACAGTCCCCGAACATATCAAACTCATAATCACCCTTCTCCTGAATTTCCTTGTAGCTCCTCATAACAAAGTCGGTCCCCGCGAAAGCAGCCGTAAGCACAATATGGCTAGACCGCGGACGATGCAAATTGGTAAGCAGCACATCCACAGCATTGAACTCAAATCCTGGGTAGATATAGAGATCGGTCCATCCATGCTGGGGCTTGATGGTACCCTTGCGTCCGGTCTCACGGGTAATGGTCTCCAGCGTCCGCATAACAGTCGTGCCAACAGCAATAACACGACGACCTTCGCTTCTTGCTCGATTCAGCTGCGCTGAAGTCCTTTCGCTGACCTCGTAATACTCCGATCGCACCTTGTGTTTTTCAATCTCCTCGACGCTGATGTGCCGAACGGACAGAATCTCAGTCGCCCCCACATGCAGAGTGATGTAGGCGATCTCAACACCCTTGGCGGAGATTTCAGCGAGGAGCTCATGAGAGAAGTGCAGTCCAGCCGAAGGGATCTCGAGAGAACCGGGCTTTTTGGCATACACAGAGCGGTAAGCATCGGGCTTTTCCTTCCAGTAAGTAGGGTTCAAATGGATGTTTTCGTCGAGCCGGGCTCCGTATTGATCGAGGGTTGGGAGGAGCAGCTCAGTTGGGGTGAACTGGACCTTCCACAACTTATCGGGCTGCTGGTCAAGGAGCGTGCATTTGAGCTTCTCCTCGTCCAGCGAGATCAGGGTTTGGCCTCGTTTGAACGTGACCTCGGGCTTCTTGAGCTCAACGATGGTGGTGCCGTCTGGCTCGTGGCCGTAGACGGTCAGTTGCAGGGAGTCCTTGTTGCCGTGCTCAAACCACAGCGTGTTTGACAGCATGTAGCTATCGTTCAGCACGAGAAGATCTCCGGGGCGGAAGTATTCTCCAATGCTGGAGAATATAGCATGATCGATCTTAGAGCTCTCGCGATCTAAGACAATCATCTTTCCGCTATCACGGGTTTTGCCGCGAAGCTCAACAGGGTCATGGGGCATGACCTTGTAGTCAAGATCGAACTCGAATTCAGCAGTCTTCATAGTGATAACAAAAGCGAGTAGGTAGTTTAGATAGATATGATATGAAGATATCCAATATCTTCGGAGAAAATAGCAGCATGACTAGCAAGGCGTTTGTGCCCTTTTATCTCCCACCGCAGCTAGGAGTGCAACATTACTCGCACATTGGAGGCCGAAGGGCATGCAACTGTAAGATGCCCCAAGAGATGGATAGAGATTATCGCTATGCAACATTACTCGTACATCGTACATCGGAACATATGCGGGGAAGATTGTATGTGTAGTATTGCCCCATCCCATCAAGACCCATAAAGCAATCAATAACGGGAGACGCTATTGCCACACCGGCCAGGCTTCCTCCACACCAGCCTTCGCTCATGCCACACCCTTTGCCTACTCTGGGAGGTAAGGCATGGGGTTTAAATATATTTAATCCTTTGAACTATCCTAATAGACCAAATTCCTGCCCAAGATCCCAATTCTAATGTCCAAGGCTGGTGTGGAGGAAGCCTGGCCGGTGTGGCAATAGCGTCTCCTGTTATTGATTGCTTTATGGGTCTTGATAGGATGGAGCAATACTACACATACACGGGCGGCACTCTGTAATCCAAAACCAGGCATGTAATGCTGCTTCAATTGCACCCAGGATGATGTTTGCTGCAGGCCGGCCCTGCCCTGATATCATCGGTGTGGCCTGCCATGTACAGTCTGGAGGTAAGTGCTTGTAGCTCACGTTGAAGGTTCTGTTGATGCATCTTACTTAACAAGTCATATACACATCATCCTTGGTTCAAAACGGGAACTAAACCGGCTGCGGGTATCATACAAATTGCACTGGCGAATAATAAATGTCCGCGGAGAATTTCTGGAATGCGAACCATGAATCATTCCGGCAGTGTCACTGGAATCCTGGACATCCCTCTTCAATCCCCGCATCTAGTCTGCTCATGTCGAGTTTTTCGGTGACTCTGTCATCGCAGGTGGAAACTCTGGAAAACTAGGCTGCTTCTGAATGTCACTGTATCCGATCAGAATACGCTTCTGTGGGTTCTACGACCAGCCATGGCCTTCTCGACCACAGTCATGAGGCGCACATCCCAGCATGCTACTGTAACATCCATAAAGACGAGCTGTACATTCAAATAAGAGAGGCAATACCAGCCCACATACAAACTGTTACATGCCCATTACTGACATCAGGTTACTTTCACCTCGATAAGGGTTTCATTATAGCTATGTGAAGCATCAGTGGGAGGGAAAAGTTCAAGGGGTGCCCGAAAAAGGTATCCATTCATAGATTTCGGGGACGCACAGCTGCTGCAGCTTCCCAGAAAGTCCCTTCTTCTCAAATCCACTAGCTTTTACAGTCTAGACAGGAACCTTGTGAATTATTCTTATCATGTCCTCAGTCAAAACAGCTGCAAGGGATTCATTGATACTGCCCCTTGGGCTTCCGCACCACCGAGCCACCACAGACAAATACGATATCGATTCCAACGACAATGGGAAACCTTTAGCTGACGAGCAGCATAATACCAAAAAATGTCTTCTTGTAAATGGCCACCAACAAGCCAATTCCAGCTCTCCGTTCATCTCAGAACGTCCTATCGATCAGCCCCGGCCACTGAAGCTCATCTACATCGGTGCAGGCATTTCAGGGATTGTCGCTGCCATTCAGTTTTTGAAGGCTGTACCTCACTTGGAACTGACTATTTACGAGAAAAATCCCGAACTAGGAGGGACATGGTTCGAGAACAGATACCCTGGCTGCGCATGTGGTAAGCCTAGCAAGACCTCAGCTAATAAGTCAACCCATTACTGATTTATTGTACGAATAGATGTACCATCCCACACTTACCAGCTAAGTTTCGAGTCGTGGACTGAATGGAGCCACTTCTTCTCCGGATCAGAAGAGATTCTCGAATACTGGAAACGTGTTGCCCAGAAGTACAATGTTCGGAAGCATATACGGTTCAACCGGCGATGCGTCGAAGCACGCTGGCACGATACTAGGAGCCTATGGACTGTTCAGGTCCAAGATGTACTTACGGGGAATATTTTCGAGGACTCAGCTGACGTGTTGATGATTGGAACTGGCCTGCTGAACGAGTGGAAGTGGCCTTCGGTTTCTGGTCTGCAATCCTTCAAGGGACAGCTTCTGCACAGTGCTAGCTGGGACGAAAGCTTTGATCTTAGGGTGAGTAAAATAAGACACTTCCTTGTATACCCATAGTTTTGCTAAAAGCTCGGACTATAGGGAAAGAACATAGCCGTAATCGGCTCGGGAAGCACCGCAGTCCAGATAGTACCCGCAATTATCGACAAAGTCAAGTCCATGGACCACTACGTCCGTGGAGGGACATGGATATCCAACCAACATGGCAGCCCCCACCTTGCTGCGCGAACAAACAATCAAGCTATGAATTTCCGATATACAGAAAAAGAGAAACAAGAATGGCGGAACAATCCATCATCATATCTCAAATACCGCAAGGAATTAGAGCTTGAGATTCAGAGCCAATTCGCCATTTCCCAACGGGATAGCGATGTTCAGAAGACTGCGACAGCACAGCTCCGAGCAGGCATGCGGGATAGACTAAAATCGAAACCAGAACTACTGGACCTCCTACTACCCGATTTCCCTCCGCTTTGCAACCGATTGACTCCCGCTCCTGGGTATCTGGAGGCGCTAGTGTCACCGAAAGTCAATGTCATCGGTTCACCAATTACTCGTATTGATGAAGCCGGTATCGTCACTGCAGATGGAGAACACCGCCCCGTGGACGCGATCATTTGCGCAACCGGCTTCGAAAAGAACCTAGGGGGCAACTTCCCAATCATAGGTTGTGGTGGCAGCAGCCTTCGTGACAGATACGCCAATCGGCCAGAGACATACCTAGGTATTTGCACAGATGGATTCCCCAATTTCTTTCAGTCCCTGGGACCCAACTCCTTCCAGGGCGCAGGGAACCTGCTCATCATGATAGAGCACACGCATGCGTATGTCGCACAGATCTTATCGCAAATGGCGTATGGCAATGTCGGGCAGGTAGAGCCAAAGCGAAGGCAGGTTCTGAATTTTACTAATTACGCTGAGAAGTATTTTGAGCGAACTGTCTACAGCTCCGAATGCAACAGTTGGTACAAGTCGCCTCCACCCGGTGCGACAACTCTGCAACAGCGCAAAAAGGGTCGGGTTACTGCTCTTTGGCCGGGAAGCAGCCTTCACGCTATCAAAGCACTTGAACATGTGAGGTGGGAGGACTTTGAGACCACAGCATACGATGGTAATGAGTTTGGATGGTTTGGAAATGGTTGGGCGGAGGTGGAGAATTCTTCGGAGAGAGGCAATCCGGATGCAATGGCCTGGTATCTAGACAAGACAATTTTTCTTGATGCTAATTCCTAGTTACATGATGTGAAATGGACCATTAATTCAGGGGCAGTTCAAATTAAGTGTTTTGGTCTCAATTTCTACTTAGACAGAATTGAACAATGTCTTACTGTCGGAATCAACCCGCTGACTTCATCGCAAAAGCCGAGGGGTACAGGAAAGATGTTTGTAACACGGCAAATATTATAGGTATAAATTAGACAGACATGAATATTTATTGCGGCGGATCGGCCATTTCTCCACACGTTCCTATGCTTCGCTTTCACCACTAGCGATGTTCCGCTTCCTACTTCCAAGCCATCTCTACTACCGGGGCTGACCGCTTTACTGACCGCTAAAAGCGGCAGAACCTAGTCGACCTCGCTGAAAAAGTTGCGGATATAGACGGATATAAGCGGATATATTTTTTTAGCAGCTCCCAAAAGACTGAGTCGGCATTCTGTACGTTTTTTTACCGCCTTGGGGTGGGGTGGCAGAATCTGATATCACGTAACTATGGGTGGCCTTGGTGACACAGCAGGATCTACCCAGCATGTTCAATATATACCCCCGCCATGGCCCGTTGACATACATGCTTCTGGCCGTGGTAGGACAAAACTCAGGGTTGGGCTCAAACTGTCCAAGGAAGCATGTTTGAGGTCGTCTGAAACACGACCTTGATACTCATGTCTACATGTGCACCAGTGGTCACAATTGTGATACACTTACATACAAAGGTGGAGAGCGTAAGTATTGACCTACATATGTCTAAGGAACTCTTAGCTCCGGTGGGGCAGCCCCCACTAAGCCATTGTTGTCGCTTTGGTGGACATTGACCGTTAGACCAAGCGGAGTGGTGATTCTGTCCTTGAATATGTAGTATGTAGTGTGGCTGTATGTATTTCCAGTCCATTGTGTGTGTAAGTGTTCCTACAAGGCCCTGCATTTAACTGCTTTAACTGCATTGAAGCAGATCTCGCCATATAGAAGCTCACATTGCATTGTCTGGCTAGTGCTTATCATATCCCAGCCCCACGACCTCACCTACCGTAAGCAACAATTACCCACTGAAGGCTTATAGCCTGTATCTAGTGCCAGCCTCGTGAGAATTTTGCCATATTCTGGATCATACAAACGTTTTACGGCCCAGTGATAAAAGACGATTCAAATTACAGACTAATTAACTAAGTACTCATAACTATATGAACCGCAGTCATCAAGCAACAACTTTCCAGTACTTACCACTAACCTTCCCTCTTTCCACCCACCACACGCAAAGAAACCAAAAACACCATGTCCACCACCACTACCACCCCCAAACCAACCATCGTGCTCATCCACGGAGCATGGCACACTCCAGCCAACTACACCCCCCTCATCACATCCCTCCAATCCCTCGGCTTCAGCGTGCACTGCCCCCACCTCCCCAGCTGCACCAACACCCGCCCCCCACCAGCAACCTACGCCGACGATGTCTCCGTCGTCCGCAGCCTCATCACCTCCCTCGTGGAAAAGGGCGAGCGCATCCTCATGCTCATGCACTCCTACGGCGGCGCCATCGGCACCGACGCCATCCAGGACCTTGACCTCCCCACCCGCGCAGCCAACAACCTCCCCGGCGGGATAATCCACCTCCTCTACCTCTGCGCCTACATCCAACAACCCGGCCGCTCCATCTGGGATGTCGTCACCGAAGCAGGCATGACAGCCTTCTGGCCGCAGTTCGTCGAGAATGCAGACGACGGATCTACATTCCCCGTTGATCCGGTGCAGCTGTTCCTGGGTGATTGTGATGAGGCGCAGGTTGCTGAGGCGGTGAAGCACCTCGTAAGGAGTCCGCTGAGTGCGTTTCAGACGCCCGCGGTGGGGGATGCGTGGAGGAGAGCGCCGGTTACGTATGTGAGTACGACGAAGGATTATTCTGTTCCGAGGGTTTATCAGGATTTGATGTTGAAGAGGGTGAAAGCGGAGGGGGTGGATGTTAGGGTCGTGGAGGTGGATACGGCGCATAGTGTGTTTGTTTCGAGGTTGGGGGATGTGGTGCGGGTTGTTGAGGAGGTTGTGCGGGATGGGAGGGATGTTTGAGGGTGCTTAGGAATTCAGTTATAGGCGAAGAGCAGTTGGTTGTTGGGTAGGGGGAAAGCTAATGTTTCAAGTTGATCTGTCGTATAAAATTACTTGTACTGGTGGTGGTAGTATAGTGTGACGGGAGCCGAGAGTAAATATATATATTGCTAGACGCTAGTATTTTGGGCTTTTTATATAAGACACCATGCAGGACCTTTGAGTATCGATTGATTATATGTATTGTAATCGAGACTCATCGTGATGGGCAAAAATTGAGTACTACTCTGGTCTTGTGCTTCAATATGTAAATCGCTTGCATGGCTAGCACCACAATAATGAACCCAGTTAAGCTACTACTAATGAGACATGAGTAGTTAGAGTGATAGCAGTATCACAAGCCATTCATTATTGGCATTTATCCATTATGATATATAAGATAGAAGGCCTGCATTAACCGGGATTTGAGATTGTACTACCTCTGCATCTCATCCTCACTATCCTTATCCTCGGGCATAGCAATCGGCAATCCCGAATTTGAAGAAATCCTCTTCCGCTCCATCTCCACCGCAATCTCATCCAGCTCATTCTCGATATCCAGATGAATCCGCAGCCCCTTCTCAACAAGCACGTTGTACACATGCCTGAGTTCATCGAATCCCATACCGTCACCCTTTCTACTATCTTGCGGATACTGCTCCCGGATCACATCCGCCCGGAGATGAGTAAACGCAAGCATAATAAGCTCCTTCGACCAGGGGCACGCGCGCATTCCGCGGTAGAAAATGTTCTTAGCCCGTTGAATGTCGTTACGAGACAGTTCGAAGAGTATGTAGAGTTTCCAGATGGTGATGCTAGAGTGGCCAGTAGAGGTGTTGGATCCTTGGTGGACGGTATCGCCGATGGCTTTTTCGAATGCAGCGCGGACAGAGTGCATCGTTGAGCCGGCGTAGGTGGGGCGGTTTAGTTCGGTGTATATGGAAAAGAGGTGCGTCGTTATGGGGACTGGAGCGGCTGTGAGACTGTCTGCGTTGGTGTTAATGCTAGTGATGTCTCGTATTGTGTCCCGGACGCGTTCTTCGATGCGAAACCGCGATTCGTTCCAGGCGAAAAGGGAGAGGAATATGGTGTTGTGGCGGGAAATTGATATGCTTTCAGATAAAAGGGAACGAATGTGTGAGGGTTTGTAGGTGCCGCTGGTGCGCATGTGGTGATAGAGAAGTCGGGCTCGGGATTGATGGAGGAGTTCGGTCGTGAAGCTTGCAAAGGACTTGGACTGGTCGGGTAGAGAAGCCAGCCTGGCAAATGCATTGTGATAGTAATCCAGGGGCCTGATTAGGTCGAGGGAGTTGGAGAGGTACGATAGAATAGCTAGGCAGTCTATGCACGACGTGAGGACGGTTGGCTTCTCGTTTGCAAGACCAGTTTCCTGCGCTTCGGAAAGATACTGGATGGAATGTTAGAGTTATGAAAGAGCGGAGAGCGTGTGCATCTGGCAAACTTACACTTTGTATCTTTAGTAGATTTGTCGGACTGAAGGAGGGGTGACTGGAAGCGTCGGAAAAGACCTTGAGATTGATGCTATTCTGGGGCATCGAAAGGAGGAGATGAGATGCTTGAGTTGCATTTCCAGCATCCAGAAGCTCCCAAATCCAGGTGCGCCATACCACAATACTGTCCACCCTATCGCGATCAGGGCAAGACTTGCTCATAGAGAGGGAGGTCGCCCAGACATGATCGGCAGCTGCTTGATTGCCAAGGCGCCGCTCTATTAGAGCATAAGCATTGTAAAGTCTCAGGCTAGATGATCGCTTCTTGAGCAGCGCTTTCGCGAATTTCCTCGCATCCTTGCTTTTACACGCGAGTTCAAGAGCCAGACCATATTCCGCAAGGTCATCATTCTCCGGATTTGCTTCTATCAACGATCGGACGACCCTGCGGACCCACACAGGGTCGACGTGGGATTGTGAATTAGACGTGGCGTCGCTCCAGGTTTTGAGGGCATAGAACCAATTGGTAGGGTCAGCGAACAAAGTATCTAGCGTAATGATGAAATTGTGATGAGGGAAAAGGACAGGGGATGTGACCGTGGGCTCAATGCCAGCAGCCACATCAGGGAGCCAGTCCGCAAGTGTTGTATAGAAACTGCTTGCAAATTCGTTCCTCACGAAGCCATCTCCATTCCAGCGACTCGTCGTACCCAAGTTCTCAACCGATGGAATTGGTGGGAGATGACAGTAATGGAAAAAGCTATTAATCAGCACTTCTGCTGGGGTTGCCTGCCAAGCCAGCGACAAAATCTCTTCAAGATCGGATGCGATGATGACTCGGTATGGATCATCTTCCTCCGAGTCATCAATACTGCGGGCTGGCAATCGAGCATTGACGGTTCGCTCCTTTTCGCAGGGTGCCCAAGACGCGAATACGGCTCCCGAGTTGAGTTGAAACCCAGGCTTCTCGCTATAACTAGCATTTTGCAGGACATTCTCATCGTTCTTCCAGCCTTTAGCGCCCGCCTCGCCAACGCGGGAGACCTCCGACTCCCAGAACTCCAAGAAAGCTGGTATCACCTCTTCTGAGCTTTTGCTTCCGTCAAGCGAGTCAGGTCGGTAGAACGTCAGCTCCAGAAGACCTTGCCAGAGAGCCGCAGCATGCTCCGTAAACCCAGCTTCCCGGATGAATAACGTCAGCCTAAGGAACAAATACAAGTGGACCCGGGTCTTCTCGGGTTTCTCCGGAGAAAACTTATTGAGTCTCAAACACTCCAGAAAGGTCGCAAAGCACCGCTCATACGTAAAACCCAGAAACTCGGTTTGACGGAAGTCAAGATATCGAATCCAAAGGCTGATGTACTCAGAATTTGACTTCAGTATCGTCTGCCACTGAGCAGACAGCTTCTTGGTGTCCCAGAGTTTTGCCCCTTCTTCGAGGAGGCCGAGTAGAAGGCGATCCTTTGCAGGGCTCGATCCGACTTTTTTCAATGCTTTTTCGTAGAGCGATAGCTTGATGTCGGCTAAGCCCATCTTTTCTGCGTACGTCAGAGAGCCAGATTCCCTCTCCGATCCTCGGAGGAGCGACTCCTGATGGTCGATAAGCGTGAGCCACGCGGAAATATCATCAGGGCTCTTTTCAACATTCCTAAGCAATTCCGCATTGCGCTGCTTGATCTCCTGGTTGGGGTCACTCCGGCCACCCTCTCTATCCGAATCTGTACCGGATACGGCTTCAACATCACTGGGCAAGTCATCCTCTGGCTTTGCTTTGCCATGAATCGACCGATACGCGTGTTTTTCATCATCAGAGTCGACTTCCAACAAATCCAGGCGATTTCCTTTGCTGGACACACTCAAAGGAATATAGTCCAGTAACGTATCTGCGGCTGCATCCACCAGCGACTCTGGCCGTATCCGAAGTAGCCGGGATCTACCCTTGTCTAGTCCTGCGAGAAGATTCTTCGCCTTCTTCTTTGACTTTCCCCCTTTGTGTTCGTTCGTGACGACCAACACGTCCTCGACAGCGCTTTCCCGGTCGATCTTGTAGCTGGAAGGCAAGCCCAAGACGTTGCCTCGACCGACGCAATAATATTGTGGAACGCTATATCTATGTAACGTGCCATAGATCAAGTTGTAACGATCGCCCTTACTATCAATCACATACAAATCGGAGGCTTCGTCGGGAGGTTGCTTCACGGTGCGGGTCCGGGTCGACGTAGATGGTCTGGGAGATTCGGAGGTGGGCTCCCGGCGGCGATGACTTCCTTCATTTCGAGAGGAACGATGCTCCCGGTGGCCCCTGCGACGCTCTCTGGACCTCGAGCGGTCATGATGGCTTCTATGTCTTGATCGATGTCTCGAGCGGTGGCTAGACTTCTCCTCGCGGTCGGAGATGTCGCGACTGGGGCGCCCGGGCGGCCGATCAGCTTCGGGCGGAGGTGCTGGCCGAGGCTTGAAGCTGGCGAAGCGCGGGATGTTTTTCTTTTCCTAATGCAGAATTTGAATTAGCATGAGGCGACTAGCTCAAGCTCTTTATTCGATTGTAACATACCTGGGAGCCAGACGAATCCATGCTCCTGGAGAGGTGAGGCCTGCCTTTGATGGGGAGCTTCAACCAAAGGCGGCGGCGATGGTAGGCTGGAAAAACTGGATCCCGCTTCCCGCACTTTTTCCGGTTTGGTTCCAACGGCCTCAAAAAAAAGTTGCTCCGAGCCTTCGAGATCTCCACGCTGCCCGGGGAATAACTGCCCGTCAACGCTTGGGGTTTTGTTAACGTTACCGGCTGTCGATAATTGAGGGATGGATGTGATTTGCAATTCTCGATAAACAGATTTTTCATAGTCCAACATGGCCTCGTCCCTCGCCGCGCAGCTGTCGCAGATTGCGGCAAAGTCGACAAACCAGTTGAACCTCAAAGCACAGCGCATTGCGCACTCGCAGTCTCTCATCTTCGACTGGAAGACCGCCACTACACAGGATTTCGATACCGTCTACCAAATATGTTTCGAAGGTTTCCAGGAGTTATGTCAGCTCGATCCTCGTTTCGCGCCGTTCGAGCGCACCATCTTCAGCGAACAGAGCAAGGCGGAGGACCGAACAGAGATGAACGCGGCTCAGAATAAGGAGCTGGACACTGTTGTGGAAGCATTTCTTGCACTTGTTGGAGGTCACCTGCTACTCAGCCCGGCCGTGAAGGCCGTTGACTGGCTTATTAGGCGCTTCCGGTAAGACTGGCATGGAAACTCGATCTTCGTTCAACCAGCTAACAGGCTTACAGTGTGCATGAATACAACACAGAGTTCACGATCCTCACTTTTCTCCCTTACTATACCACCCCACTCTTCCTCAACTTGCTTTCGATCCTGCCCGAAGACCTGACACCGACCTTCAAAATCCTCAACCCGTACAAGAAGAGTCAAATCAACCCTCCACGCCACCCTCTCGTTCACAGCGCTACTACCAATAAACACTTCCTCGCCGCTGTCAACAGATACACCCTTCAAGTCAGCAAACAGCGGGCGCATCATCATGCGCTTCTGTCGTTTTGGGCAGGAACTTTGACAGAGGCAGTTGCTGGGATGTTGGACTCATCGCGCTCTGGTCGGCGGGAAGTCGAGAAGGAAAAGCATGAGGATGTTGTCATGAAGGTTCTTCCGGTCCTCAACGATGGCTTAGCTTTGAAGGATGTATCCGAGCTGGTCATTGGCTGCTACATGGTTTGCGTGGTTCTTGCACAGAAATCTTCTCTCCAAGACAAACTTCTCGATGGACTGATGGAGGCCGTTGCCGGATCATGGACGGACGAGACTAAGGAATCGGGCTTGATTTGCTTGTCAGTCCTTGCACAGAAGAAGTCTGATGCCAGGATCCCCAAGCGCGCCTTCAAGGCAGTACTTCGCTTGGAAGATCCCGTGCAGCAGCTCTCTGCAATCTCGGCACAGTATCCGACATCTCACTTGCTTCTTGGCCTGGTTGCAGGATGTGTCGATGACCTTTCGAAGCAAAAGGATTTGTCACGTTTGGATTTGCTGTCCCTCTTGTTCGAGACCAATCTTTTGGGCGAGCAGGAAGCGGGCAAGGCCATGGCTGTGATTCTCCAGGCCGTCAGCCATGCTCATACAGAGGGTGTGCTTTCTTTGGACGCTCAGACTCATCTCGCAGAACTCGTGCAACACTTCACTCAGTCCGAATCTCTCCAACCCATCTTCCAGAAAACGATCGAGGACTCCTCCATCGATGTCGCGGCACTCGAACATAACCTACAGACTGTGATCGAATCCGTACCCACCACCACACCGGCCATTGGAGACGTTGAGATGGAAGATGTTCAGCAGGAAGCCGTCGAAGACAACTTCGCCTCTGTCCTTGAGTCAGTGGCAGGCAAGAATTTGGAATCTTCGGCTCTCAGTGCGCAATCGATGCCCGCCTACGAGAGCCTGGTGCAGACCTTCGCACTTGCTGTCGGTTCCCAGGAGAAATTGCAGGCTTTTGTCGACTTGCCCGCTCTGAAAAAGGCAGATGCCTCAACATCGCCACAGTACCTGTCATTCTTTATCCGCACTTTCTCCGGCTCGTACCCCATCGGCACCAGGATCACCGCACTGAACCAGATTTCTTCGCTACTTAATTCCGCTACTCCCGATGTCGATCTTCAGGCACTCCTGCCCTTCCTACTGGTGGCCCTAGCAGATTCCTCGGAGAGAGTTCGGCGCGAGGCTGCGGGAGTTCTAGCCGCAATTGGAAGCCTGTACAAGAAGAGCAAGAAGGGTGACGCTAACGTTTGGGCACGCGACACCATCTACGGCAAACAATCGAAGAACGTTCAGTGGATCGCCGGTCGCGATGTGCAGAAGATTGTTGAGCGTGCTTTCCTTCCCGGCCTCGAGGAATATGTCCTTGATCAAGCCCACATCGGCCGGGTACTTGAGGCTACCTTGCGCGGATCTTCGACTTCTGACTCTGGCGCAACTGAATTGAAGAAGCCGCTTCGGTTGAGTCTCTTCACCTTCCTCTGCTCCCACGCTGTCCAGATGCCACTCTATGCCCCGAAGTTGTCTTTGCTTAAACTTCTTAACCGCATCGATAAGGCCGGCGGAACGACCCGTACAAAGGAACTTGGACCTTTCTTGAAGACGTGGCGGGATATGAAGGAGCACACAGCCAAGGATGTCTGTGAACGGGAGCGTGTCTCTGTCGCAGATATCGACCGCGAGGCTGTCTTGACGGTAACCCCCAAGGACAAGGACGCCATCTCTTTGCTCTTGTCCAATGTGAGCCCCTACTCTGATTCCCTACGCCCCTCTTTCGTCACAGCCATCTTCAACCGTATGAAGGCTATTTGGGGAACTGTTGCGGAAGAGCTGCAGGTCGACGCCGCAGAGAAGCTGTTCGAGATCTCTCTCGAAGACGTTCAGAATCCACTGGTCCACGGCTGCAGGGATGTTCTTCGCAGTGTTCAACTTACTGGTTCTGTGCTTCTCCAATTCCTTCGGAAGATCCCCGTGTCCATCACGGACATGGAATCTCTTGGACCGGCGCCCAAGCGGAGACGCACTAGTCAGAACAACATGGTCGCCATGACCATCAAGGATGAAGCCAAGCTCAGCCAGCTCATGGAGAAGATGACTTTCATCCTGGAATTGGTTGACAGCTCGACCCCGGAGGCTCATCCTGAGTTGGCCGATGGATTGTTCCAGACTCTGGCTGCACTCCATCATTTCAAGTCCCAGATCCAGTCTGGCTTGAGCTACCTGCTGAGCTTGACGCTTGGCAGCCTCCTGGCCATCGTCAACCGGTCTAAGGGAACTGCGAAAGCACAATTCGACACCTCTGTTATCCGGGCCGACCTCGTTGTTGACTGTGTTCGTACCACCGACAGCCCACAGGTACAGAACGCAGCTCTTCTGCTCGTGGCGGGCTTGTCCGTCATCGCTCCTGAATTGGTCCTCCACAGCGTGATGCCCATCTTCACTTTCATGGGCTCTAGTGTCCTGCGCAAGGACGATGAATACTCAGTCTCTGTGATTGATCAGACAATCGATCAAGTCGTCCCGGCTCTCATCCAGTCCCTGCGCAATCAGAAGCGTGATGTCGTGTCCGGAACATCCGAGCTGTTGCTCAGCTTCACTGCTGCCTTCGAGCACATTCCTTCTCACCGCCGCCTGCGTTTGTTCCATGCTTTGGTCACCAAGCTCGGAACTCAAGACTTCTTGTTCGCTGTTTTGGCCATGCTCGCCAATCGGTATGCTCTGGATAAGGATGTTCTGATCCTGATGACCGGCTTGGTCTCTGATGCTAGTGCACCGGTGGAACTCAACGTAAGTTATTTGATGTTGCATACAGCTGTCCTCTTCGTTACTGACTCTTCAAATAGACATACAGCAAATTCTTGGACCTGGTCAAGGATTCCCTCAGCTCCAAGCCCGGCATCTCCCAGGTTCTTCTTGGAATTGGTAGCGACGATGGCCGCGATCCCCAGAAGGTTGCAGTTGACTTGCTTCGCGCACTGGCTTATCTGTTCAAGCACTCCTCTCTGAAGGTGAAGATAGCCAAGGACTTTGCAACGGAGGGAGACAAGGTAGTTGGACAGATCCGCACGCTGTTCTCTCGCATCCTGGAACAGGTCTTGGCTATCGGCGAATCCATGCAGAACGTTAAGCCCGTCAGCCAGGCCAGCGGCGATGTGCTCAGCGCTCTGTTTGGTACCCTGTCGCTTGTGGACTTCCTTGATACGATTGAGGTGCTGCTGCAGCGTCGCAACGATGAACTGCGTCGTAAAGTTCTCCGACTCCTGGAAGGTCGCCTGCGTCAGAACCCTGAACGCGACGGTGCTTCGCAACACCGCATGCTCGACTTCCTGCCCACTTTGGTCAACATCATCCAGTCCTCGCCAGACATTCTCCTTAAGCACGCTGCAGTGGCCTGCATCGATCGTATTGCCGAGAAGTACGGCCGAAAGGAGCCTACCAAGGTCATCCATGCCGCCCAAGTTGTTGCTAGCGAAGCCTGCATTGGACAGGATGATGAGCGTATTCGTATTATGGGTGTCTTGTGTCTTGCATCTATGGCCGAGGTTCTTGGAGAGGCCATGATTCCCGCGCTTCCTGACGCACTCAGCCGTTCCCTTGCGCTGCTCGAGCAGAGTTTGGAAGACGGAAAGGAGAATGCACGCCTGCACGACGCCGTCTACTCTTTCTTCTCGGCCCTTTTCATCCATATCCCCTTCATGGTGTCTGGCTCTCACCTGGATAAGATCCTTGTGCTCTCCTACAAGTCTGCTGTTTCTGAAGGTGTTGAGGACGAGAGCCGCGAAGAAGCTCTCCAACTCATGGCACGCAAGGTTGATGTCGCTGCTACATACGCTGCCATCGACCGTAACTGGCAACACGCTGTCAAGGCAGGCCCTGATGCTACAAGAGAGACTCTGGGCGTCGTTAGCCTCGCTATCGAGAAGCATCCGAAGTCTGCTACTGTCAAGAACATCGCAGTTCTCACCAGCATCCTGTTCAAAGCATTCGATCTACGTCGCGAACAGGTATCACTGGATACCCAGGCCACGTTCGAATTGTCTGATGTGGACGAGATCGAGGATATCATCAACGAGGTCACGATTAAGATGATCTACAAGCTTAATGACACTACATTCCGCCCTATCTTCACCAAGCTGCTGGAGTGGGCGACCACTGGTGTTCCCAAGAAGGATGCTCGAGGAAGCCTGGCACGCCTTACCACGTTCTACAGGTTCCTTCAAGTCTTCTTTGGCACCCTTCAGGTATGTCTCTACTTTCAATTTCCGATTCGATTCTGTGCTAACCAGTTCAGTCCATTGTCACCGGTTACTCGAGCTACATCATCGAAAATGTGGTCTCTGTTCTGGGCAAGGCGAACCCATCGAACCAGGACACCAAGAGCCTGTGGTTGGCCACGATGCGCATGCTCAAGAACTCCTTCGAGCATGACCAAGATGGTATGTTTTAACCCGAATATTTGCCCAACGCAGAGTGTACTGACTCAGTTTAGAATTCTGGCAATCCCCCTCTCACCTTACGGTGATCGCTCAGCCTCTGATCTCTCAGCTCGCCCACGCCAAGAACTCGTCGACGGCATCCATCGTCATCGCTGAGGCCGTGCCCGCCCTCACGGAACTCGCCGTTGCTGCCGATTCCACCGACAACCACAAGGAGCTCAACACGGTGCTGATGCGTCTGCTCCGTCCTTCTGCAGGACCTAGCGGCAAGACTGCAGGCGGTGAAAACCCGCATACGCGCCTTGCTGCGCTCAAGGCCCAGCAGTCTCTCACGGAGCAGTTGGGCGAGGAGTGGCTTGCTCTGCTGCCTGAAATGCTGCCCTACATCAGTGAACTGATGGAAGACGAAGATGAGAACGTGGAGAGAGAGGTCCGCAAATGGGTGAAGCAGATCGAGGATGTTCTGGGTGAGAGGTTGGATGACATGTTGACCTGATCGTGAGTATATTCTACTATCTAGACTTGGATGTTCGGCGTATCTTGGTTGGTGCTTGTAAATAAAAGTTACAGGACTTTTCATCGCTTTCTGTTCGAATGATCATATACCTGTTATATTAGACTATTGAAGCCTACTACCTTTGCAATTTTCTCCATCATAGGATGTGCTCTACAGCTCCTAAACAGGAAAGATACCGATGTCTACCTAGTATCCCCTCTGATAGCAGGTAGTCCAACCCCGTAGCAGTTCACAACATCGCTTCATGTGATTCTTACTACAATAACAATATCTCGCAGTTATTCAATAAGACCAGAATCCTCGCAACACCCAACCCCTCCCTGCAAGCGGGAGAGAAGCAGTTACCCCACCTCATATGCATGTTACATCCGCGATGTGGTATGCAGATCGCAAGGTCGTTTGACCCTGTGTACACGTCAGTTATTAAGCAAGATGATGTCACCATCAATAACAACAGCTACTCCAAATGCCTTCAACCCATTATAAAGTAGATAGCAATGTCCTCTCTAACCCAACCTTGACCCAACTCCCTGGTTAACACCCAAGTGTATAACAGAAGTCCACCAAAATGCAACCCCTCCTCCTCCACGCGCACGCCTCGGGCCCCAACCCCATCAAAATCGCCATCGCCCTGGAAGCCCTAAACATTCCCTACAACGTCAAATTATGGGAATTCGGCAACGACCGCGAAAAGGGCGTCAAGGGAGAAGTTTTCCTCCGCATCAACGAGAACGGCCGTGTCCCTGCCCTGGAAGACCCCAACACGGGTGTGGTGTCCTGGGAGTCGGGCGCTTGTATGAACTATGTTCGCCGTGTATATGACAAAGAGAACCTTCTGGGTCCGAAGGGGTCGGAGCAGGATATAGTGGATTTTGAGAAGTGGGAGTACTTTTTGCTTTCTACGTTGGGGCCGATGACGGGGCAGACGAATTGGTATAGGTATGTTTTCACTTATCTACTAGATAATCAGTAAATGTCAGAAGGAGGTTTGGGGTTTGTTTGCTGATCAGGACTAGGCACTACAATGGAACTAAGAATGAGGATGCCCTGCAACGGTACTCGGCACAGACAGAGCGATGCTATGGGGTGCTGGAGGGCCAGCTGAAGAAGTCCGGGGGGCAGAGTGTCTTGCCTGGACGAATTACGGCGGTTGACTATCATTTTGAGCCTTGGGTGCGAGAGTTTGATTTCGCCGGGCTGTCGCTGGAGAAGTACCCTCTTATTACGCAGTGGTTGCGGGTGATGACGGGTCGGAAGGAGGTTCAGCAGGCTTATATTAAAATTCAGGGAGCTGCGCCGCAGTTTTCCTAATGTTGTGTCGTGGTGGATTATCCCAAGACCCTCAGAAAAAGCTCACTGCATAAACATTTTCGTGGTATTGAGTACGAGTAGAAATCATACAGTCTCAAGGATAGCAGACCAATTATTTCTGTAACCGCGCTAACGCCCAGCTGAATTCGTCGCGGAGAGCTCTTTGACAATGAACTTGTGCTGGGCATTTATAATAAGATTGTTTCTGACTAACCATTGGAAGTTGTTGAAACGAACACTGCTCGACTGTTTAGAACAGAACTAGAAAATATTGAACAGGCATTTCACCAAGTTACATTCCAGACTAATCCTGATGCATTTGGATTCCCAATCATACAGAATCCCCAGATTTTATGGACGTAGTATTCCATCACGAGACATGGACTGAATCTTAATGCTCATCAAGCTCCCCCTCAATTGTAACAAGCAAGGTGAAAGATAACTGTATAGTAAAGCAAATTAAGGGGACTGAAATCGGGTCTGCGCTGGTGCTGTACTGAGATTTGAGATTCAGAGAGGCTGCACTCGGGCATCGGATAGTTATACAAAGATAATAGGGGACTACGATCGCTGCCCGTGGTTCCCCGAAATTGGTACAGAAATATGGTTATCACCCTTTCTCAGGCATGGTAGGGATCACCCAACCCACTAAACTTCTCGGTAGTACCGATGTCTATAGAGAATACAAAAAGAAATCTAGAACATTTGACCAAGAAGTTGTTACTAGCTATCCTAACTGAGACATACTACGATATGCATAACTCGATCTCCAAGTGGCCAAATGCAATTTCAGATATTTAAGAAATGGTATATGCTCGAGGTGACTTTTGTCCGTTTATCTCCTTTCATGTCACAAAGGAATGCCAGGACATACGTCATTAAATATGTATCGCTATTGGGCTTACTGAAGGATACACAATGTAGAGAAGGAAAAGAGTACTGTATATTCAGATGACAGAATAATATCTAGTATAGAGAACGTGGGCCGGGTTGCGTACAAGCGCACCAGCGGTAATGTAGAATACAACAGAAAAGAAAAAGAAGGGTGAGTAAGGAAATTCCAAGGAACGTGTAAGAAGGTTCAAGAGACCAAGAATCAGCTTGTTTGGCGGAAGGTGAAGTTCGTCCCCTGAACTATGAAACCTCCTTTTCCATTTGGGACTCCACCGGAGACGTGATAAGAGCCTAGCTCCTTCTGAAGGGGCTGGGGTAGATAGACGGTGCCATTCGTTCCGCTCGGAGAATTAACTTGCATTTGAACGAAGCCGTTCTTTCCGAACGACCACTTAACACTGAGAGCACCTTGGGGGGTTGGATACTTGCCCTCAGCCCAGCCAAGTTCGAAAGATTGAGGTGCAACCTGCCACTGTCTAAAGCCGGGCGTCACGGGTTGAACTCCCAGAATAAAACGGCTCAGATCAGCCGTAGGTCCCGCACTCCAAGCATGGCAGAGGGAAGTACCAATGTATAGTCCCGGGGTCCCATCGCTGTCCAGTACCTCCCAGTTACATCCCGTATAATTTTTATGAGTGGGGTCGCTCATTGGACCCCAGAGACTGTAAAGAAGGCGCTTTGCATTGGCGCTGTCATTGGCTTGAAATGCTGCCTTCAAGTGATACCCAGAGGCATAGGGGCTGATCTTCTGCGCCCACCCGTATGCAGCACTCTTATTGGAAAAGGAAAGTGCTCCAGCAGGAACGTAAAGCTCCCTTGACATACTGGCGAGGATGGTCTGTGTTCTGTCTTCTGGTCCAGAGGAGGCGGTGCCACTAAGGATGGCGAGGGCATTGGCTTCCTGAGAAAAGAAGTCTCTATGCGAGTCAGATAGGTAGTAAGCTTGAAGGGAGTCGCTCCAAAGCTCGGAATTGATTGCGTTTTGCAGCGATCGCAACCGGGATGCGTACAGAGTAGCGTTCAAGCCGCCAGCAGTCATGATGGGGAGCCATTGGTTGAGAGCGTAGGCATAGACGAGATTGAATTTGGATACAATACCGCTCACTGAAGGGTCATAGTGATCCCAGTCCCCACCAAATACCGGGTTGGAAATATTGAAAAGGCCGTTGGGTAACGTCTGCGAGTGAGCCCAGTCGAATAAACCAGCTGCCTTGGGGGCCCACTTGGACAGAAAAACAGAGTCCCCAGTCTGTTCGTAATACTGTGCCATAGCGCTCACCAGATTAAACGAATAACTGATCAACCCCGTAATGTTAACCTGAATGTCGCTGGTGCGAGGGGGTTGTTGCACTTTGACATTAGGCATGAAAAAGCCAGGCAGCATACGTGCTGACCCAAGAAGAGTAATGGTCCCATTGATATATTCGCGGCCGTACGTACTTGCAAAAGAGGAAGAAGTGGTTATATCAAGATCCCCTCCATAAGCGATGCGGTCTCTTCGCGAACCATCCACGCTTACTGGCAGTGGATTGGTTCCCACCAAGAAGTCCTGTAAGGCAGATTCGTCGGTGAGGGACGAGGAATACATCTGGGTCCCAGAGACTGTCAAAGAGACATTGGTGAAAACAGCAGCCTGTTGGAAGGAGGCCCCTAAGCCAAATGAGCCGTAGAATGCGCTGTTCTGGGTAAAGTTGAATACTGGCGTCCCATCGATCATCACTGATATCTGAGTAAGGTTGACGGTAGACTCAACAGTATGCCAGTTGTCCAAAGTCACAGAAAATGGAAGGACAGCCGACGCAAGCACTGGTGAGCCGACTTCTGTGGGACCCGCGTAGGCTGATATTGATGAGTTAGCTACATTGACAAGAATGTAGATCCCATTTCCAAGGGTGTCACTGAGCACTGTGAAACCGAAGCCATTCTTTACAGGTTTCACGGCAAAGTCCAGCTCGTAAGCAGTCAACGTAGCTGCATAGTCCGCTGCGAAGGGCTGAGGACTCAGGCTATCAACAAATGCGCCTTCGTCAGAAATCACCCAGAAGTTTGGCAGTGAGTTGGCGGGAAATTCATTCAGTTGGACAGTGCGAGCACCAACGTTCCAGATGCGGCTCAGAGCAGGGTCCGAACATGCAAAAGAACCTGGCAGGTGAGACACGGGCGTGCTGTCGACCGCCGGCTTGAACCCTAGAGCCGTGATTTCAAGCTCTCCTGCACTGGACAGGTTTAGTTTCTGATACCGCAGACCTCCCTGAATAAGGCGGTTTACTTGCACCGTCGGCTGGCTGATGTTGTATCTATTGATGCGGTAGGTGTCCATAGCTGCGGACAGGGGGATAGGTCCATCGGCCTGGGATGGTAACGTCAGCGTTTATGGCTCCCATAACTGGTCCATACACGTACCATGTACAGGTCCAAAGCTTCACGTGTCTCGCCATATGACATCTCGAAACAGGAGGTGTCACCACTCTGTCGGGTCACCTCAAACGTAGCGTATCCTTCCACATCTTTACCATAGTCTAGAATGACAATGGCAGGACTGCTTCCATTGGAAGACAACTTATAAACTGTACCATTACTCACAGGCAATGGATCGCCAGCTGCGAGTGTGTAGGTCTTCGGTTGATAGGTCGGCTGAGACGAAGGAGCATAGAGCGCTCCGCAGACGACGGAGGGTACTAGAAGGGCCAATACAGGATAAATCCTCATCTTGGCAGAATTGGGAGCGTTAAAAGACGGTCAACGCGCCTTTTGACAGTGATAGAAGTATATTTCTTTGGATCATTTGTTGCTAATGATCAAGTCAGACTCGCCGTCTTCAAGGCTTCATTTATACTTCAAGACCGAATTCAGGGGAGTCGTCAAGATAGGATTTCTTCAATCATCAAGAACTAATTATGCAACGTCAGGTTTCTAACCGTGGATGGTGGATCCACGGCATGGTTCACGTTACGGTACGACAGTACGAAAGTACGAAGGTACCTATGCAACACGACTGCGCTCAATAGGATCAGCCAAATCCCGGCTCACTTGCGCTGTGTTAGTTGTCATTCATGAAAGGGGCTGTCCCCAGCAGCCCGGTACATCATCTCGGCCCCGCTGCATATACACAGTAAGTCAGGAACACGCTCGTTGCCGTGGGAGTGAATAGCTCACTCTGCAATAGCGTGTCGATCTCTTATTCCACTTCCATGGCCCGGGATTCCCCCATACGAATACGAACGGAGGACTGCCTTTCTCTCGACTTTCTTCGGCAGCAGATGAGAGATTCTATGTATAGTTTTTGATGAAGGCAAACCCCTTCAGCAGGTAATGCGGCTTGATGATTCGCAACTGTGTACGCTTCTTGCCTTTGGTACCCATCAAGCCTGTCCATACCTTGATCATACCGACAGAAATTTTAGAGTTTGACCTGGGGTAGCTGTATCAAGAAAGCTCCACACGAGCAATATCATTTGCATCCACAGACGTAGCTAAATTCCTACCATCAGTTAACCAGAGATACGAGAGATTGAAGAGAAGAGTAAGACTCCGGTGGAAGCTTGCTCGAGGCACCGACAAATATCAGAGATTGGCCACACCTGAGGAGGCCACTTCTCGGTTCGATCCCGAGTCGCGGCTCGATTTTCGCAGGGGATCGTCGGGATCAACCAGTCGGAGGGCCCGTTCGTTTTCGTATATCTGGATTGGCATTTTAAGTTACAGGGTGTGCCACAGTCTTCGGTCTGGACTTCGAATTAGATAGGCTCTGTCTCTCGCCCTTCTTTCCATAATTTCCAGAGCAAGACAAAACCTAAAACCTTCACAGCATTGCCTCTCCGAGTACTCTGGCATCCCGTGAAATATTCTGCGCCCTTCTTCAGTCACTGCGTTTCAGTCCAGTCCGCCATGGCCAGCAACAGAAATGGGGAGGTATTCGAGCTGCCGGGGGATTTAGTTATGCCCCCTACCACGGCCAGCAACAACCATCCGGGGGTCTTCGAGTTGCCGGGTGATCCAGTCATGATTCCCCCAACGCCAATCGCTGCCGACCGCAAAAGCGGCATTAATATAACAAGTATGCATCCATCGTCAACCGTCACGGGAGAATTCCAGTCAAGTCATCGACAGACAAGGGGCTGATTCTCATTTGCAGGTGACGGGCGCATTGATATTGACTACAACACGCCACTGGTACGACGATTCTCCAAACTGTACACTTCTCATTATTCACCACGACCTACGACGCCACCGCCCGAGTATTCCGAGATAGCACTGCAAGCCGCTAATGACAATGGCCTAAGTCTGGAATCTCCGCCGGCATACACAGAAAAGACCTGGAAGATCAAATTGAATATTGTGATCCAGGTGGTAGGTAGTCGAGGGGATGTGCAGCCATTCATTGCCCTCGGAAATGAACTGCAGCGATATGGACATCGTGTGAGGCTGGCTACTCATAATGTATTCGAAGCTTTCGTGCGGGATTCAGGACTCGAATTTTACCCTATTGGAGGCGATCCAGAAGAACTAATGGCATATATGGTCAAAAATCCCGGTCTTATTCCCAATATGAGGAACCTGCAGGCAGGCGAAATTGGGCGCAAACGAGCCATGATCCGGGAGATGTTGGACGGGTGCTGGAAATCGTGCATCGAGCCTGATATGGCGACCCAGCTACCATTTGTAGCTGATGCAATCATTGCCAATCCTCCCAGTTTTGCCCATATCCACTGCGCCCAGGCACTAAGTATTCCTGTACACTTGATGTTTACTATGCCCTGGACCAACACGAAGGCCTTTCCTCACCCCCTGGCGAATTTAACTGGTGGTGGCGATGAAGACCAAGGTTTCAGAAATTTTGTTTCTTACAGTGTGGTTAACTGGCTGACTTGGCAAGGGTAAGGAATTCTGCGCATTTTTAAAGAAACAAAGGAACCGCCTGACGTGTATTGACACTTCTAGGATGGGCGATGTGATCAACCATTGGCGAAAAGAGCTTGGTTTAGACGAAGTGGCTATGTTTGAAGGGCCTCGTCTTGCAGAAATGTTGAAGATACCATTTACATACTGTTGGTCTCCGGCTCTCGTTCCCAAGCCGTCAGATTGGCCTTCTTATATCGGTGAGCTATCATCAAATGTGTCATCTCAGATGCGGTCTATACTAACAGCACCCATCTCCCCCAGACGTCTGTGGTTTCTTCTTCCGCGAATCCCCGAGATATGATCCCCCAGCTGACTTACTGGCCTTTATTGCTGCTGGTCCACCACCAGTTTATGTTGGATTTGGTAGTATTGTCTTGGAGGATGCAGAAAGCACTACTACTATTATTCTCAATGCTATACGTGCAGCAGGTGTACGGGCGATTATTTCCAAAGGTTGGTCCAACTTAGGCGGAATACACGATGACAGTAATATTTATTTCATCGGGGATTGCCCTCATGAATGGCTGTTTGACCGCGTCGCAGCTGTCGTGCATCATGGAGGCGCGGGCACGACCGCTTGCGGGTTACGAAAATCTAAGCCCACAATCATTGTGCCCTTTTTTGGAGAGTGAGTGAATATAGTAGACTATACAATACGTTCTTTCTCTTGCTAACAATCCATATAGTCAGCCCTTCTGGGGAAATATGGTTGCTGCAGCGGGCGCTGGTCCTACTCCTATTCCATATAAAGAGCTTACAGTTGATAAGCTGGCCAACGGAATTCAATACTGCCTTAGCGAACAAGCGCGCATGTCAGCAGTTGCTATAGCTGCTAAAATGCAGTCAGAAGCAGGTGTAAAGGCTGCGGTTGCCTCATTTCACCGGAATCTCCCACTTGAGTGTCTGCAGTGTGATCTAGATCCGAATCTACCTGCGGTGTGGTCTTTCTCCCAAAATCGTAGGAAACTCAAGCTGTCAAAGATTGCCGCAGAGGTACTAATTGCCCATGGATTGATTGATGCAAAACACCTGACAATGTAAGTCAAGAGGCTGACAACCTCAAGGAAATCTTATTCCATTTCGTTACGCTGAGTTTCTGATCAAACTTTGTTTTAGGCATTCCATCCGCCCAATCTTCATTGAAAATCGCCGATGGGATCCCGTCACGGGCGGAGCGTCTGCAGTGGTTGGAACAGCCACTGATGTCGCCGACTCTGTTTTGGGAGCCTTCTACAAGCCTGTCCTGGAGTATCGCGATTACCGGAAGGAGCGTGAAGATCAATCCTCAAGCATAAGATCTACCAGCTCCGTCGAAAATCTTTCAGACAATTTATCTGGCCATAGTATCTCGACAAATTACAAGGAGGAGCCATGGGATAGTGATGTTGCTGGTAGAAGCAATTCTACAGTGTCTACGGATTTGCACGCGCAGAAGCGGTCGGATACTGGCAAACGAAAGCTTCTTGGTAGAATGGCAGCTGCATCTGGTAGAAGTCTGGGCAGCATTGCTCCTACCATGATCAAGGGCACAACTGTTGACTTTCCCCTTGCTTTGACTGAAGGACTGCGCAATGTCCCTCGGCTATACGGTGAAACTCCCCGAGATCACGGTCCAGTTACTGATATCAAAAGCGGATTTGCTGTTGCTGGAAAAGGATTTGCGTGGGGAATGGCGGAGGCGGTTAGCGATATAGTTGTCAAGCCATACCAGGGTTTTCAAAAAGAGGGAGCGAAAGGTACGATCAAGGGAGTCGGCAAAGGAGTAACAAATATGGCAGCTAAAGCCGGCTCTGCTATGTTTGGCCTCATGGCATACCCTGCTACTGGTATCGTGCAGAGTATCCGGTTGTCAGGTCAATCGCAGATAAGAAATCTAATCGCCCAACAGCGCCACAGTGAGGGAATATGGTTACTGGAGAGTCGTCAGTATACGGCGACGGACAATATCGTGGCCACTTTTGGACAGAAATTCAAGAGCAAGAAAGGCCGAACGTAATATTTCAGTACCAGGGTTCCTTCGGCGCAGAGGTTGATGGTTTTATCAGTATCCTTTCTGGGAGTAGTATCTACTCTGACTTTTTTCTTCGTTATAGCAACCTCTTACTTTTAATAACCCTTCACTACTGAAAACCCTCACCTTGGCGTCGCGTCAACTATCTGAACTGGTCTGTCCCAGCGCTCTTTCGTCGAAGCACACCTTATTTTTTCCTTTTTCTTATTCTTTTTTCTGTTCGGGGTAAATTCGTATACGCATGATGGCAGGCGCAAAGTCGCATGAGCGAAAGTCCAATGCCTCGTTTGGGATCTCTATGGAACACTCCAAGTGTACCCAGTTTATCCAGCCTGTGATATTATAAAAATGTGATAGTAGAAGGATATAGTCTCGCCTACGTCAGCCTTCATGCTCCTTGGAGCTGTAGATGTTTTATCCAGGGCCTGCATCGTAAAGCGGCTGAAGCTCACCCCTCAATCCAGGCATTTAAAACAGTTCTCTAGCTGGTATGCAACAAGGCTGACGTTTTTCCGTCTTTATGAATACAGAATGACCTTATATTTACTATTTCTGAAGCTTTCTTGTCTCGTGGAAGACCATGTACCCGGAAATACCAGCTACACCGCAGGCCAAGCCAACGAATAACCCGGTGGTCCAACTGGGCCGGTTAAATCTATCCATTCCCCACATGCAACCTGCCAAGCATGCCTGAAATATGGTATTCCAGATGTCACACCATACAACCAGGTCTATTTTCCATGGAGATGTGGCCGGACCGCACTCTCTATCATTGTCACAACAGATACCTGATACAGACTCGGGGGGACGACACCACGCTTGATATATGCTAGCCAAATGTGCGATACCAGAGCGGCTCTTCTGGCGTGCGCCGAACCGCCAGCAGAACCACCAGTAAAGATTCCTGAGTCTACATGGTGCGAATCCGAACCCTGTAATGCAGAACAACCCGTTGAGGATTTGCGATGTGATCTCGATCCAGATTCGGCGTGACGAATATAAGTCGTTACAGGTGGGGTGGCACATTGCAGGGGCTGCATTGCACATTAACAGGAAAAGCATCCCTCCCCAGGCCACCACATTCAGGCTGTAAATGGTAATGAAGAAGCCTTTGGGTGTTGCTATCCAATGCCATGCATGATTGACCCAAATCCTCAGTTTCGTCGCTTTTGGAACAGGAATCTATCTCGTCCGTTAATCTCCGTACACCTAATTGACCATTCCCAGCAGACTGCGATGTAACTTAAGGTGCAGCACTTACCTCGACTTCCGATTCGATTTCCTTGTTTCCTAGAGGTGATGGTAGGGAGCCATTTTGGGGATCAATAACACGGTATGCTTGTTGAATCATGACTGATCTACCACTGGACGATCCATGTAATAGAAGATGTGGCAGACAAGGTGCCCTACCAGGCTCTATATATATACTAACGGATCTGGTTTAGGATCAGCATATAGTAACCTAACCAGAACCAGCGAATTGATAGTAGAGCCAGAGTTTACTTTTGATAACCCTGCTGAAAACTCTGTAGAGTCTAAGCATAACGTACTTTAGGCTACCACTCCATGGACGAAGAGGTTCGAAGTGTACGGTGTACGGCTGCGAGGGCCATGTTGCAGCCACCAATTACTTCGGCCCAGAATAACACATTTTAAACTGTACCAGACACTCGAGACCGTTGGGTGGCCGGTTAGGGTACAGAACAGTTAATGAACATTTGCCCCTGACTGATCGAAACGTCTACCTAAATATCTATACGAATACGAGTGGGTCTCTTGCGGCTACCTCCATGTTCTGGAACGGCGAAGGAAAAAAAGAGAAAAGCCTAATTTCACTTCGTATTCGCACCCATAGCTTATTCCGAAAATAGAACAGGAAGCGACCGTGTGGGAATTTGCTACTGTCTTATGAACTCGTGAATATCACTTCAACATTTCCGGGTTTTACTGGAGAGCAGCTCACAGCTCTCGCCACAGAACGATGTGCGATAAACAGAGAATCTGTCTCCGCTCACACATAGTCGCCACTTCTTGTGTCAGCGCAAATTCCTTTTTACTATCCCACCGAGAAAGGTCTTACAGAGTCAACAATGAAAGAACACGTCTCTGACAACTTTGTTAACAACGCATGGTGCGACGCTTCTCATAGTCCTGATGAATTACCAAGGCACGAAGGAAAGCGCAGGTTACTCCTGATATACATCCATGGCTTTCTAGGGTCAGAGGACAGCTTTTGTAACTTTCCTAGGGATGTCCACGATCTCCTTAAGGCCTCGTTGGCTCAAACCCACATTACATACACCAAGATATACCCCCGTTATAAGACGAGAGGACCTATACATGTTGCCCGCGACGATATCATCCAGTGGTAAGTAATCACTCAAGCTGTAACAAAATTAGCCCTTTTATATCGAGCATTTCCGCAGGTTATCGCCACACATGGCTCCAGATCTGGATCTCATACTGCTCGGTCACAGCATAGGAGGTCTTATCGCTGCAGACGTTGCACTTGCGCAATCCTGCCCAACGGCTGGCCATTTTCCGAACAGTGACCTGAACAATAGATTTGTCGGCCTAGTGGCCTTTGATACTCCTTTTCTTGGACTTCACCCGCGCGTCATTACGACGGCAGCCGGCAGGGTATTTGGCCGGAAAACAAAAAATGACAGTAGGCGGACATCTCAGAGTACCACAGACAGCCGAATAGCAAACGACGATCCGACGTTCGACCCAAACTTGACCAACGATGTTGACAGGACCCAATGGAAAGGGTGGAATGGAGCGCTCCATTTTCTTGCAAAGCATTCGGGTCATTTGTCTCGGTCTGTCCTTCAGTATGTCTTCTCATACTATGATCATGTCGGATGTCTAAACGACTACTTTGGGCTTCTCAGACGACACAAGAGACTCTGCCGTTGGGCGAAGGGCGATGAATCTGGTCGACGGGCTGGCTTTGTCAACTATTACACGACTGCCTGCCCACACAGCGAAACCACCAGCGGTGATGAGCACGGGAACAGTAGGCTCTGGAGTGATAAGCAGTCTACCTGCCACAAAACGTCGCAAATACACGGCAATCATGTACAAGTCCGAGACTCTGCGTTAGTGGTGTCTGATATGCGAGCTGATATACGAGGAAAGGTGCCAGCCAACCGCTCGTCCGAATCACTGTTAGACACAAAAGTTTCTTTCACCAGAATTGATACACGGACCTCATCAAGCTCAAGCTCACGCAATTCAGGCGAACACGGAGATAGGCGCAACAATTATGATACCAAATTAAGGGGGCGACTGTTCTGCTATGTTCCAGAAACAGCCCGCAAAAAGCAGCTCTGGGTTTCGCTACGTATTGAAGGCATGGATGAAATCGCCGCCCATCAGTCCATGTTTTTTCCTCTTGGCATGCACTACGACCGATTTGTTGCCGATACTGTGGCAAGAATTGAAAGTTGGCTGTTATGAGTGTGTTTGCACAATTTCCAGCGGAGTGTATATAGAGAGACACCCCCGGCGCTTAAATCGGCTTTTGATTGCCAGCCTTCGACTTTGACGACATATTTCTACAGATACCTTCGGCTCTTTTACAATGATCTCTGAGCTTTGCCCAAGCTCTTGTGTCTATATGGCATCTCATCCATGTATCATATCACATCCTTTAGAGTCCTTAGAAAAGCTCTAACAACTCAACTAATTATATAGACAAGTAGAATACATACATACTGATAATATGTCTTATTCCATTCCTCATGATCATCAAGCAGACTAGAGATGCTACGATGTCTGATCGGATATAGCTTAGCTAGCTCGAAGGCATAGAGAAATCGAGAGTATATGAACATTTGCGCTGAATTACGAAGAAGCTAGCCAGCCGTATATCGGCACCATTGACCAAGTCTACGCCCTGTCTTTCCACAACTCTAGGTATACCATGATGTAGTATGTCTCTGTAGGTAGAGTATAATACTACCTAGTACTGTACCACAAGTACATTTTCTTATATTGGCCCACAAAGACCCGAACCCTATAGGAGGGGGGGGCTCCACTTCCTCCATGTTTATTTTATCGACCCGCAGAACGCCCGATTCCCCGATGATCTGACCCGGTGGCTTGATCATTCTCAAGCACTAAAGCTTTTGCTGATGGGAGGAAGTCAGCTATCATTATTTACCAGTGCATACCTAGTTTTGAATTAAATCTGGAGCTTATTATAAAGCATGAACCATCGGAGCTGGCTTTCGGCTGGTGTGTTAATGTTGTATTTTTGAGTTGCCAGACAGGTGCGATTGACTCTAAGAACCTCATAAACAGCTGGTAGTGAGTGGAATGAAATTAAACCACTCCTTTGGCTTCAGCTTCTACATTTACTACTTTCAGTTAAGCAGAATAACAATCACTATCTCTAGTAATTACTCCTGGGGCAATCCGGGATCGCTGTGGAAATGCTCAGGACACGCACTGTATTCCCCTCACGCTCGGAGCCTCTCAGTAAACAAAAAGCAGCGCCAAGATTGACCCAAAGCAGAAGAACAAAGTCGCTCGATTTTCACAGAAATCTAGTTCACTAGTAGGCTAACTACAGAGCCCAAGCTCTACTAATATGTTATGGACCTCCCGGTAAAGACAGGCTACCGTAACAAAGACAGCTGCATTGCAGAGCCACGCCGAAGTCATGCAGCCAAAGCGATCGCCTGGAGGTATATTTGGCAGATACGAGCAATTATCGTTGCCTGGGACTCTTTCCAACGTAGCTCCAATACGGCGCACTTTTATTGTAATAAGGTTAGCGTGTTAGTTAAGGTACAGCGTGGATTGATTAAGTAAAGGGGTCGCGAACCACTCCGTTATTGTCATAGTTCAGGAAGGTCCATTGATAGGAATTTGTGTAAATGCCATAGATGACTGCGTTTCTGCGGGTATTTCTCCGAACCCGATTAATCACCGCTGATCTCATTGTTAGCAAAAGACAGACAAGATATGTCTAGCCTGGTAATTGAAATCGGACTCACAAATGGCCGTGCGGGTTCTCGCATCCGAATGAAGCACCTTATCCCTGTACACAAGAAGGTTCGTGTCCAAGGCTGGAATCGACCCGTAACACAGCATATAGTCCACTGTCTCCTGATAGGAATCAGGTATTCCCGCAACTCGACGGTCCACAACGAGAGGAACTTGGCTGAAAAAGCTAGGTACATAATCGTTGGCTTGCAAGGTTAGAGGAAATCTCTTTTTCATTTCAGCCAGCAGCAAAAAGAGAATGGCATCCAGTCTGGGAAAAGCCATTTCCACACATTCATGTCCCGTTCCAAGAGCCAGACTGTAATCTTGCATGAGGCCATCTGTACTGAATTAGCCTATTGTGAGCGCTCGATACTTGCTGATAGGCGGAGCTATACCGAAACTTGCGGGTAGTCTGATTCGTGCTAGTTCTTCCTCAATATGCGTCGCATCCTCATGTGTCTCGCCGGACACATTGGCGGCTCCCTCAATACTGTCAAGATAGAGATCGAATGTGTTGGGTATAGCATCTTCGCTTCTAGGCTCGCCTTCAGCGGAATCGATACAATTACCTTCCATGGTGTTATTGTTAGTATGATATTTGAGATAGCTGGGATAATAAGAGCTGAATACTTTGTTAGAATTGAAGACTGTGTAGGAAATCTGAGACGAAGCCGTGTAGATGTGATTATCATGAGACACCTCACCTGCCTCTTGCCTTCTACAAGGCGTCTGCTTGCGGTCTCTCCTTCCCCTTTGGCGGGCCTTTTGCAGAGAGATAACAGTAAGCCCAACCATCATCCCATATGGTCGTATGTCAACTTGGCTTCATCAGGGGCAGTAGAAGGTCAAGGGCGGAAGAAGAGCCTATACTGGTAATAACAGCACCATAATCTTCCTGCTGGTTCTTGAGCTTGGGGGGTAGTTTCTTTGCGAGGAAAGTTTTATCAGATGGAACTATCATACCTCGATATTTAGTAATGACAAATAACGAAACGATGACGTTCTAATTTACGCCATCAACCAGTAAACCACATTAGTATGGGTCGAGAGGGCTGTCGTTCCGCGATAACATATCTGTTCGTACACAAAACAAGTCATGGGCTCCTGAAGATGCAACGTGAGATTTTGGAGTAGTGCTCTTACCAACTAGACCAGAATACCGTATTGCTAGCTACTCGGAGCAGATGGGGTGACAAATGTCCCAACATGAATCAAGAGTAATAGACACTGAGAACATTCTGGGCAAGACAATGATTGCTCGGTAAGATGATGCTGTATGCAAGTAGTAGGTAGCTTGCATCCAGAATCCCGTGACAAAACTTTGACTTTTGAAATATGCTAGAAAATAACGGGGCTGGCAGGCTACCACTGCTCAATAAACATAGTAACCTGCGTGCATGTCGAGGTAAGTACTGATATGTTAGAGCAGGATTTGAGGTACTTTTTCCGCTTTTAGTGAAGAACTGGGTTTGCATTTATTTTCGTGCATTTAATAACTGCGAGACATGATAAGAACCCCTTGAATATTTTTAACTAGATAAGGTGGTACGTCCTTACTATGCATATTAGAATATAGAATAATAGTTCTCTCTTTTGTACTATATCCTAGTTTTGGCCTTCGCGTATGAAAAAATAAAGGTGATAAACATAAATATTTTGTAACCTTTGTGATAGAAGAATAATTTTAGCCAGGATGATATGCAGACCTATATTATTGTATTGTATTCGTTACTTACAAAGACATACTATAATTAGTCAGGGGATGGGGCACTGGATAGTCGTCATTAAACCCCCTGCGCACGCACCACATGGTTGGTCCCTGCGATGAGGGATTAATTAAACTGTGAGGGATCTAGCCTTTCGGCAACTATCAGAAACAGTATACAGAGTATGTGGGTTTATGCATTATATGCATTTAGAGTAGACTGCTATTTACTATTTGAAGGTTGCACATTCATCTTCCTGCTTTTGTAGTCCCTGGTGACAAGGGCCAAATTGAATGAGGTAGCTTGATAGACTAGGTATGTGTGAGTAATGGAATAATAAGCTTAGTCGCGATTTTTTTCTTTGATCATTGAATTTGCGGTTTCAAAGCCAGTAGTCTATCTGATTGTAAATGTTGGCTTCATGTTTTTAATGTAATCTTGGCTGGAACAAGTCGTGATGTTTCGAGTAATTGATCCGGCACTATACTCTGCCTCTGGTTCTGCTCGAGAGGATCTCGCTTAGGTTATGTTGTAGCTTTACGTCGTTCAGTTATGATTGTTGATAAACTGTAGGCCCATTCTTTTGAGTTGCGCACTACCAATCATAGGTCTTGATATGCAACTGCGTCGGTGTAAAACAACCTTCCTATTCGGCGTGGACTTGGCACTGTGGTCATTATTCTCCGACATTAAAAGCTTAATACACAACTAATGCGCGTATATGCAGATCAGTCCTCGGAGATACTTTGCGATGCATAATGTCATTAGCTGGAGTAATTGTGATCTGGATGTGCTATACGTTCAGCGGTTAGAAGCCGTTCGGCATCCCGATTCTGCCTTGTCGTTCCATTTAACAACCCCAGCTGGCACTATATTATTCTCACATTTGTTTGGAGTTAGTAACTTCGCTTGTGAGCCCTCTTGATATCGGATGCAAAATCTGCGAACAACGGCCTCGGTATAGTGTTGGCCGCGGAAAACAGGGACGGAGAAGCGCCAACCGGCCCGTCTCTAGGCGAGAAACAGCATCAGGAGGTGGCACCAGTGGAGAGAATCGAGATCCAGAGCGGGTACTCCATACATAGGCGGGAGGTCCCAGAAATTTTAAAGCCACAGAGAGCTCCACGAGCTCAGGAGTCGGGAATTCCGTGAAGAAAAAAAGGCCCTGATGGCGGGTAATAGCGGATAAAGCTGGGGCAAACCGGCTCGAACCCGGCGCGGCTATCCTCGCTTGGTTGCGGAATGAAGTGGCCTCCACCGATATCCCACGAGTGAATGGGGTCGGGAAACCGATGCTGGATCTATAGAAGCCGAGTTCATCCTTGGTCGCTAGTTTTAAAATTGATAGTTCATCACAACAGTTTGACAATTGATTGTGTCAGGGCGCATTGAATAAGCAAGCGAGGGTCGGAGCCAACCTAAAATAGCGGTACGAATCAGCTGGATTGACTGGCTAAAGGGACACGGCGGTCAGCGCCAATCGGGATGGGGTTTGCTACCCCGGTGGCTTGTCTACGTTGTCACATTAAGGGCGTGGGTTTTGATCCATCCGTCGTCATTCACCACCTTCGCCGATCATCCGAAGGTGCTGGATGGTCTTTTGTCGCTCCGATGTCGCAGCACACGGACACGTACAGGCTGACAAGGGACGAAGTTCCTAGATCCCGGACCATCGTATTCACATCAAATCATACAATAACTACCTACTAACTAATGGGGGTTTCTTTTGCGTAAGGATCAGAAGGTTCGTAACTCAATGGCGTGAGATCTACGACTATCACGCGAGGGGACTGCGATGATTGTCCCGTCAAGAATGTTCGAGCTGTTGTGACCAGACTCATGCAGGAAGACCAGGCTGCTAAGAGGATAGACGCAGATAGAACAACCCTGGCAACTAATAGTTTGTAGTAGACCGACAATTATGGAAGATCAACTAATGGCGTCATTCGCATTCTTCCTCAAGGCCAGAAACCTGGTTAGCTTTTGCGCCCATGCGAACCAATTTGCTGTAGGGCGTGGAAGGCTTTGCTGGTCGGCAGTTGTCACCAAAGGGCGCGACGGCGAGCCCGCCAATCGCTGCTTTCCCGACCAACTGACTTCGCACACGGACTTCATTCCATGGACTCCATCGAATTGGTCGGTCACCGTGCAGGATTCCCTTCGGCCTATCAGCTTGCTTGAACGCTTCGTTTTTAGGCTTTTCTCGTTTCTTTCGGTCCCCTAACCCGCATGTTTCTGGACCGCTTCGAACATCCCCTTGGATCGAATATCAGAGCAATCACCACGTGCACGTGGTTTCTCAGCATGACTCACAGAAGGGGTGATCGATGCAGGAGAGTAGGGGAGGCTTGCATCGTCAAGCTGGATCTAAAAAGTACATATTAAGACAGGATGCAAGCCCGAGAATAGCCAGAGACCCAGAAACAAGCCCGGAAGTTGTTCCTGAGCAGCATCAGATCCAGTTCTCGAACAACGCTGCTCCACCGCTGCTTTTCCATTACCCAACGGCAACTGCCAGTCACCCCATCCCTACATTCACCATTGAATTTTCATTCTTTTTTTATTACTGTTTTCTATTTTTTATTATCTCCTTTTTTTCAAGAAGACAATAAATCTAATAAAAAGCTATACTCCGCACTGTTTCTACCCAGATTTCTCTTTTCTCCATCATTGCAATCTACCACTACAACCTTACCAGTTGCTGATCCGTGGGTGAATTGGTGATTCGTTCGCCAATCCCCTTCTATACTACCAACTCCCACCACTGCGGGTTTCTTTGTATACAATCCTACACCTTGCAATGGCCACCTCATCTATCATCACGCGCGGCTCCAGCTCCCTGGCCAACTTTACGGTCCGCTCCCGCCCAAAAGTTGATATAATTCTCGCCAATCAAACGGATGGTCTGGTCCCTTCATTCACCACCGGCGATACCATCAAAGGCACGGTTACCATCACGGTCGATCATGACACTCGCTTTGATGATCTAGAGATCACATTTGAGGGTATGTTGGCTCGCACAATATCAGGAGATTACCAGGAATAGTCTTACTGACTGGGTCAGGAACATCGAGGACCTCGGTGGAGCGCCAATCGATGCCCGGCCGCACTGGAGCTTACCATACATTCCTCCGACTGCGACAGCCCATCGATGAGACCGCATATCCCACCCCCCGGGTTCTTGAACCCGGGCGCAACTATGAATTTCCCTTCACCTTTGTCGTGCCCGAGCGTCTACTGCCTCATATCTGTAACCACGCCAAAACAAATCTGCATGTCGAACAATCGCACACGCTGCTGCCGCCCACGTTTGGTGATCCCATGATAGCCAGCAACCGCAAATCGGTCATCGATGACATGGCCCCCGAAATGTGCCGCATCTCCTATCTAGTTCGTGTGACCCTCCAGCGAAAGCCCATGGCCCAGAACGCCTCGCCGGTTACGCTAGTGTCCGTTGGGAAAAAGGTGCGGGTCATTCCTGCGGTCGATGAGGAACCACCCCTTAACGTGGAGGACAATGATGGCTTGTACAGTGTCCGCAAAGAAAAAGATGTGAAACGTGGCTTGATGAGGGGGAAGCTGGGCCGATTGGTGGTGGCTGCTGCCCAGCCCAAGCCAGTGCAGTTGAGTCCATCCGACACCGGGAACTGCGATTCTGTGAGCACCGTTGCCACTATGCAGCTGCGCTTCGATCCGGTGGGCAACGAGCAGCCCCCTCGCCTAGGCACCGTATGGAGCAAACTCCGGGTGTCAACCTTTTACAGCTCCGATCCTTGGGGAGATTATCCGTCTGCTACATGTATCAAATCCTGGGCGCAGATGGGGCGGGCAATGTACACCGAAACTGTACCACTGTCCACCATGTGTGTTGCATCGGCACAATGGACAAAGCACACCGACGCCGATCTCGAACGCCGTGACTCCATGCACTCGACTTCGTCTACTGAATCTCTTCCCGGCCCATCTGCCTCGTTCGCCGGAAACACCTACTATACCGCGTCGGTTGTTGTTCCAATCACCCTCCCCAAAGCCAAGTCATTCGTGCCGACGTTCTATTCCTGTTTGATCGCGCGCGCCTACGCCCTGGAGCTCAGCATTTCCTATCACGCCGCTAATTCCAGGATCCTGACTCCCACCACATCATTGAAGGTCCCACTGCAGCTGACTTGCGAGGCGCAGCCAGGCGTCGGATCTAAGGGCACCGTGGTCGACATTTCCCAAGATGAAGTGAACTCCCAATTTTTCAGCCCTCGCAGCATTGCGCCCCCGTCTGTCTCCGAGCTCGTCCCTATTGCACCACCCGAGTATACATCTGTCCAGGTCTCCAACCTGTCTCCTGACCGCTCGAGAATGTTACCACCTTCGGTGACCAATTCGGGCAGTGTTAGAGTTTAGGGGCGCCCTGCTACTGCGTTGCTGCCAGGTCAACACAGAATTTCAAAGGAGCGGATCCAGCTGTTGTGTTCTTTTCTTTTCATTGGCGTTTTGGTTTCATATGGTTACAATATACCCAGGTCGCTTGTTTGCAAAGTACGAGCAGAAAAGTTTTGTCATTCGGGGATACCCAGCATGATGTTGATTTACCAGGCATTGCATTTGGCTTGATTGGGAAACTGTATCCCATTACTCATAATTAATTAATGGATAGTCGTTAGAATTGAATCACAACCAACAGTCCCTCTTGACCATTAACTTGTAGTGGTTTCCCTGGCAGTTCCATCCAGACCTTGTATGATTGCGCTAACAGTGGCGAAGTATAGCGTTTCAGCTGATTGATTGATTGACTGATCAGTTCTATTGTTCTAGTCGAGTCTCAGATATTGTCGTTGGGTGGCTATGCAAACTTTTAATGACTAGAAAACCGGCAATGTCTTGTTATGTGGGTTACTATTACACTCAGTAAAGAATCAGCGGTGGGAACAAATGTGGATAATAACTATGCGCCATGTTCATTTATTTCTCTAGATTTCCCTGATGCTGGGTGTATATCCAAACACCCCGGCCACCTAGCGTTTCAGCGGAGGGCCCCACCCATATTCCGGGGTAACAACCCTCCGAACAAAGGCGGGACCTGCATCGGCCTGCCTGATCCGGTTGTCGGCGAGGCTATTCCCACTTTTTGGCAGGGTTACACAAGCCCCTCCAATCTGTGTGCGGGTCAGCCACTCCCTCTTCGGTCTTCTTTCATGGTGCCTGCAGCACCTGATGTATCCACACTGTCGAGCAAGCCACTCCTGCCATACCGGACTTCTATCTCCGCTCATGAAGTGGTAACGTATTCCAGCATGCCTCCACCAGTTTAACATAAGTATCATGTCGATGCTGTCACGGCGTTGGGCCTTCATTAATGTCATAGTAGCACATCAACTTTGTCCTACATGCATCAAGTTGACAGGTGAAGTCTCATATAAACCCAATAAGGCAATTACTACCATGGGTCAAGACACTTGTCATGTTTCAAACATCGTCAGTCCCCATTGTCAACCAAATCAACTCACCAGGCCAATAGATTGTGTGCTGACAGGGGGAAGATGGTTGGTGACCTCTTTGAAGTCATTCACAAGAATGTTGTGGTTACATTCATGCAGGTCTGCTTTCACCGCTGGTGACAGATTTCTTCAAGCCCATCAGCAGCACAGACAAACAGAACATGAGTATAAGTACGGGAGCAGATGACCCTCCATCACTCTCTACCTGCACCACATGTCGACTGGTTCGCTCTTCATTCCTTATCAGACTTGCCTTGCTAGTATATCAAGGCTGACTCTCCTTCAACCTGCATTCACCTATCCCATTCCATTCTTGTTGATCATTTTTGGATTCTTCTTCTCCTTCTTTTGACATGAAGCTTTTCTCTCTTCTACTTGTGGCCTTGGTCTCGATGGTCAGCGGTGCTCACCACCACCGCCACCGCCACATGAATGATCCAGCTCTAGCTAGATTTCCCGGACCTCACCACCAGCACCATGGCATCCCACCCCACAAGCTGGTAGCGCGCAACACCAGCGCGGAATACAAGTCCATTGCTTACTTCGTCAACTGGGTGAGTCACACCATCCGTCTGTCAATGCAAATTTTTTGCTCTTTTACTCATTGAGCAAAGGCAATTTACGGCAGGAACCACAATCCCCAGGACATCCCCATCGATAAACTGACCCACATCCTCTACGCGTTCGCCAACGTCCGCACCAACGGCGAAGTCTACCTTTCCGATCCATGGTCCGACATCGATAAGCACTTTCCTGGTGATTCATGGAGCGATACCGGAAATAACGTTTACGGATGTGTTAAACAACTTAATCTCTTGAAGCAGAAGAATGGCAATCTCAAGGTGCTTCTATCGATCGGGGGCTGGACATACTCGAGCAATTTTGTGACCCCAGCGAGTACGGATCAAGGCAGGAAGACTTTCGCTTCTTCGGCTGTCAAGTTGCTGGCCGACTTGGGCTTTGATGGATTAGACATTGATTGGGAGGTATATATCTATGGCTATGGGTTCTTCTTCTAATGGCCGTGCTAACGTGTCTACTTCTGTAGTACCCTGCCAACGAATCCCAAGCCACAGACATGGTTTTACTCCTACGCGAGATCCGAGAGGTAAGTTTTGCCTTGCCCCTACCATACCCATCAATCACCCACTAAGCATGAGCAGGAACTAGACAAATACGGCCGCGAACACGGCAACGGAACCCATTTTCTCCTAAGCATAGCCACCTCAGCAGGTCCCTCAAAATACAATACCCTCCACATATCCAGTATGAACCTCTACCTCGACTTCTGGAACCTAATGGCCTACGACTACGCCGGCAGCTGGGATACAACCGCAGGACACCAGGCCAATCTCTACCCATCACGGGACGACCCTGTCTCAACCCCCTTCAACACGGATCAAGCCATCTCCGCGTACCTGACCGCCGGCGTTCCCGCCCATAAAATCATTCTCGGTATGCCGCTCTATGGGCGCGCCTTCACAAACACCGACGGACCGGGCAAGCCGTATAATGGTGTCGGTCAGGGAAGCTGGGAGAATGGGGTCTGGGACAACAAAGCGCTTCCTCCTGCAGGGGCTAGTGTTTCTGAGTTGAGAAGTATTGGTGCGAGCTACTCGTATGACGCTGGCAAAAAGACGATGATTAGTTATGATACGCCTGTCATTGCTAGGCAGAAGGCGGATTATATCAGAAGTAAGGGCCTTGGGGGTGCGATGTGGTGGGAGACTTCTGGGGATAAGGCTGGGGCGGAGAGTTTGATTTCTACGGTAAGATGATTTATATCCTTTCTTCTCTGGAGGAGAGTTGTGACTGACGAAGCAATATAGGTCGTGGATTCACTAGGTGGTATCGGCGCTCTGGATAAGTCGGTCAATCACCTGGAGTACCCCGAGTCGCAGTATGACAATGTGAAGAAGGGGTTCCATTGAATTGTGAGGGGCAGGCACCGATACAGGTTATCGTGAGACGATAGATTGTTAGATTTTGTGGGAAGAGATGCTTATGGTCTTGTCTGTACATCTAGAATAGATGAACTTATTGGATTGTTGTCGCGAGACATTGAGGTTACTGACTGAGTAAATCTGCATGGTGAGATGTAACAAAGAGGCACCTGACATGGCCGGTCATGGGACTTAGTATGTACAGCTGTATCTCTTCTTCCCCCACTCCTCATCTCCTCTATCCATCCCGTTGGTACCGAGACGATGAGTGTTCCTTCGCACCTGGTTCTCGGAAAGTACATGTTTATTATTCTACTGAGAACCTTACAATCAACTTTGGGCTTGACGAAGCCTATAACGTGCATGGAATGAGTAAAGAGAGCTTCAGATATGAAGGCCTCCCATCAAGTTCGAAAGTGAACACGAGGACCAATAGCCAACACAGAATAACCCACAATGAGGGGGTCCTTGCTGATAGCAAAGTTCCTGCAGGAATCGAGACCAGATAGCGGGAAACTTATCCTCCGCCAAGTACGATAAAGGAAGATCACCCTGTCAGCACGGTGGGATGCTCCGGGGAAGTATATCCGGGCGCAACTGAACCACCGTCTCGTCCTATCCCGCAACCCCTCCCCTCAATACCGCCCAAACAATCAGAATCATCATGACTGTCTCAGAATTGCCAGCCAAAGATTGGCGCATTATCGTCGCTGAAAGACGTAAAGACCTCGACTCTAAGATACCTTCCGAGTGGCGGCTTAAGGAGGACTTTGTTTCTTCGCTTCCTCGTCCTACCCATCTCTTGGCCTCCAATGCTGTCGAAAAGAGTGGCATCCTTACGGATGCCGAGCTAGATATTACTGGCAGCTATGATGCTTCCCAGTTGCTTAAAAAGCTTGCCTCCGGCGAACTAAGTTCCGTGGCCGTCACGACGGCGTTCTGCAAGCGGGCGGCTGTTGCACAACAATTGGTAAGCTGTCTGCAAAAGAACCTACATGAGACGCTGGGCTAATATGTTGTAGACGTCATGCTTGACAGAGCATTTCTTCGATTTCGCTCTAGAGCGTGCCCAGTATCTTGACGACTATCTCAAGCGGGAGGGGAAAGTCCTTGGACCGCTGCATGGCCTTCCGATCAGTCTGAAAGATAGTTACCATGTGAAAGGATACCATACTACCATTGGATATGTGTCATTTCTCGAGCATGGCCGCGCAACTACAAACTCGGCAGTAGTAGATATGCTACTGGACCTGGGCGCGGTGCTGTACGTGAAGACAAATGTCCCTCAAACGATGCTGGTAAGCCTCCGCCATTGTGTTACCTATACAAAACTGACACCTCCAGACCGCCGACTCAGACAACAACATCTACGGACGTACCCTCAACCCTCACAACACAGACCTCACGGCTGGTGGTTCCACCGGCGGCGAAGGTGCTCTTCTAGCCCTCCGTGGCTCCCTCATCGGCGTCGGCACCGACGTCGCAGGCTCGATCCGCATCCCTGCGCTCTGCTGCGGCATCTACGGCTTCAAGCCAACGACAGCCCGGATTCCCTACGGCGGCCAAGTCAGCTTCCTCTACGAAGGACCCCCGTCAGTTGAGCCCTGCGCCGGTCCCATGACCGCGACATTTGAGGATCTCGAGCTTTTCATGTCCACCATCCTCGACGCCGAACCCTGGCGCTACGACGTGACGACCCTCGCAGCACCCTGGTCCCGCAACCCCCAACTAACGGAACCTCTAACGATCGGTATCCTCGCCGCGGATGAGAAATACCCCCTTCACCCACCCATTAAACGAGCCCTACAATCTGCCATCGAGACCCTGTCCCGAAAGGGCCACCGCATCATCTATCTCGAAAACGACACCAACAAAGACCTCGACATTGCCTATGCCAACCGCCTCTTCTGGCAATACGGCACTTATTCACCACACCACGACCACGTCACTCCCAGCGGTGAGCCACTAGTTACCTCTGTCGCTAAGGGGCCCTCGCCGATGGTTACAGGAGACTTCCCCGTCTCCAAGGAGCTAGGCATCTTCGAGGAGATTCATGAATTACATCACAAGAGACAAGACTACCGTGACGCGTGGCGCAAAGTGTGGGTTGAGACCGGCATAGATGTGATTCTTGGTCCAGGGGCACAGAACACCGCTGTCCCGCATGATACGTATGCGTGGCCGCCCTACACGGTCGTTTGGAACCTACTTGACGTGAGTACATCCTGGCGCCTCCCATTATGGGAGGCACCGGTGAGGCTACCTCATGATATAGCGAAGCTAACAGTAAGCACAGTACCCAGCATGCATCATTCCCTACGGACAGGCTTCAAAGGAACTCGATCCCGAGCCCATGGCTATCAACGATGGCATGCAGCCTAGTTGTAAGTTGACCTCTCCCCACTTACCTATCGTCACACATAATGATCTAGTTACTGATGAAACACAAATACATAGATAACCCGGACGAAGTCGACGGCGCTCCCTGCGCATTGCAAATCATCACGTCCCGATTCCAGGATGAGAAATGTCTCGCTGCTGCGAGGATCATTGATCGGGATATTCGCGAGTAGGACGTACATTTATGAAATATATCTCGTTACGTACATGAAGTAACTTCGTGCAAACAATCCGAGGAGTACAAAGATAGAGCGCGATTCGTGGTTGTATTCTCCCGCAAAGGTTTATTATTCTGACAGTTGTCGTCTGGTTTTGGAGTTACAGTATATCGTATATACTGGTTGGCCCTTAGTTATCAGTGCTGGTGGACTTGGTGCAAGCTCGATCGAGTATTGCTGCTGGTAGTAGTAGGAAGTAGTAAGAATTGAATATATATCTTTAAGACTAGTATCACTGTCGCAGGCTACTAACCGTAGGCACTATTGCACGCAGCAGTCAATGCAACCGTAGAAGATCAATTCTATGGTTGTACTCATGTAAGCTTTTTGATTTAATCATACAAGATGGGAAGGTAGTCAAGACGGAAATTCTTTCATTGATGTCAACTAGGATTCTCTAATGCCTACTCCCTACTGCTTCTGCTACTGTCCCGACGGATAAATTACGATGATATCCGTGGCATGCGGATAAGATCGTACTCAAAGATCGTCGAAGGCCGAAGCCTTTTTCTTGTCTCGTACAGGCTGTATCTAGTACAGGCTGCATCCAGCTCAAGATCAAACGAGGGGAGCGAGAGATCGAGCGAGGCAAGAGACGTGCAATCGATAATTGCACTACTGTATACGTTAAGAGCACGACACACCATGCGTCGCACCACAAGGGATACCGGACTGGAATCATCTGGTATTTGATGTAAATGTACATGTCTTCATGTGCAAAAGGAGAATCAACTATGGGGTATCCGAAACCCTCATACAACATTAGCCCTAGTAAGACGCCGAAACCGTTCAAATTAATACGCCACTCTGGTCCGCATGTCCTATAAAGTCATCAGTCATCATATCATTAGCAGGAAGAAAGCAGACTTACCGAAATCTTGCGCTCGATTTCCCGGACAGAACGGTCCAGTTCCGCTGCGATCATCATCTTCGTATCATTAGGCAATAAAAAGTACATTTCGCACAGGTCTCCGTCAATGACACCCTTGACCGGCGCATAGTAACTGCGGTAGATCAGGTGGTCCCGTCCAGCGAGAGGAGGGTGCTGTGCAGCTAACTGCATCTCCAAGTTCTGGAAGAAGTCCACATCCTCTCGGCCGATGAATGGCACCAACATACCAATCGTGCCCTGGAAACCAGTCCAGACGAGGATGTCCCGACCACCTGCCACGAGTTGAGTCTTGTGCAAGCTCGTTGGGATATCCTGAGTATACACATGGATCATCAGCTCTAAGCGATTGGGAGTGCCTTGGAGATAGCCGCGTTCGTGAATCAAATGTGCACCCGATCCATCCTCATCCGCCTCTTCAGACGTCTTCTTGGGGCAACGCAGCAGCCAAAGGTTGCCAAACTTGTCACCACCGGCAGTTGTTTCATAGTCAACCATAGTGGTGGCAGTGGTCCAACGAGACACGGAATCATCCACAAACGGGATCAAGACATTCTCTTGATACTTGTACACGACATACGTGACACTTTCGCGGACGTCGCTAACGACAATTCTGGATCCCTGGGTCTGCAGACCAACGATGGTCTTTGGCACCACCGGCGCTTGGCACTTACGAAGGAGCTGCTTCATACCAAGGTCATAAATGCGGAGCAACGACCCGATACCGGCAACCAGGCGGCCTTGGAATCCGAGCAAGGCAAGAGGTGGTTCCTCGACCTTGGTCTTGTGGATGAACTCCAACTCTCTTCCATCCTCCTGGAAGCGGTAAATGTGAATATAGCCACCGGCGGATCCGGGCGGGTTGACAGTCATGTCTTTGGCTGTTCCTACCACCAGGAACGTCTCGTCATCTTGGCTGGTGAATGGGACTGCGGCAATGCTGATCGCCGCCTCATTCTCTTCCAGCTCAATGGTGTGAACGACTGCCTTCGCATCCAAGGGATCAACCACCTGGATACAAGAAGCCCAATGACCTGTGGCCCGGGGGTATCCAAACTCTTCGGGTGGCAGAACAGTTTCGTCACCGCCACGAGACTTGGAGTCCTCCAGCAGCTTCGCTCTGGTAGACGGCGCCAGCACGTTGTTGTCAGACTCAATGACGTAGAACAAAGGCTGCTCAGGGTGCTTCAGAAAGCGGCGTGGGGTATATGACAGAGGAATCGACTGTTGCAACATATTGTTGTCCAACTTCTCGATAGAGAAAATCCTAGCCACGCATGTTAGCTGATGTCCAGTAGATATCTGAAGGACAAATGACAGTGTGAACGAATGATCTCAGTAGGAACAATTGGAAATAGTACAAGTATAAAAGGTTCTTCCACATAGGCTTTCGGATCCCAGTTCTCATCATACGATCGGTTGCAGGTGCAAAGTGAGGTTAAGGAAGACAATAAACGTACCGTAGATTTTGTCCCTGGATACCGACCATTCCCTCCACGCACTGCTCACTTGAGAAGTTCCAGCCCCATTCGAGGCCAACATAATCAAGTGGAGTGAGCATGAAGCCCTTCGTTTGAACGTCAGAATAGCCGAGCCAGGGACGCGAGCTCAGGCCAAGCACTGCTGTTTGTCCCTTGACAGACACCTGGAATAGCTTCACAGGCTTAGAGCCTAGGAAGCGCGTGCGAGTATCTGAGAGTTCACCAGTGACCTCGTCCAGTACTGTCCGCAGGTAGACACCAGAATACAGACCAATGTGCAAATACAAGGTGGTTCCTCCGGAACTGGAATCAGCCATTGACATGATGTTCAGGGCCGAAGGAGCAGCGGTCAGAGCCTGAACCGACTTGTTCTCCAGCGTAGAGTCAGGGTCCAAGCTCAGGATACGGACTGTCGAGTCGTCGCAGCCGACAGCCAAGAATGAGCTCCGAACGCGACCTTCGGGAACTTCACCCAGACTCAGACAGGTAACCGTGCCTGACATTTGACGGCGCTCGTCATACTCAGCCAATGATCCGTCAGAATCCATCTCGAAGTAGACAATTTCACCGGAACTGAGAGCGACGGCAACTTGACGCTCGTTGGTTGCGGCTGCCACAATCGAACGATGCTGAGGGGCAGGCCACTCATTCACCCGGCGATCTGCGAGGATGTGACGGATACCCCTGGGGTGGATTTGGATCAAAGAGTCCTCGCCGAGCTGCTGAACAGCCAAGGTTGGTGCAGTGGATAGGAAACCAGTGTCGGTAACTTCCTCGACGGTCTCACCAATGCTGAGCACAAGAGTTCCGTTGGCAAAAGAGAGAATGATATAGGCGTCAAACTCGTCAGATCTGGTAAGCTTGGTCGTCCAGACGGCAGAAGGCACACTCGGCAGCTCTGATTCGACAATTTCAGACACTTCCAGGCCATGCTTGAGCGTCCTGAAACTGCTCCGAGCGCCAGCGCCAGAGATAGTATAGATTTGAGGCGCATCGTCCTCGGTGATGTTGACCACCTTGCTGTCAATCAATGGGTTGAGAGAGTTGATAGTCTCGACAAGGTTGAGGTTCTCTGCACCCCTTGGTCGGAAATAAATCGGGTCACAAGGGACAGATGGATCAGCGGAGAATGACTCGCTCGTGAACTCAATCTCCTCATCATCATCACCGAGCTTCTCGAACTGGTAGAAATGGTGGTTACCAGCCTCACTGGCAACATACAGGAAACCACTCTTCAGGATCAACAAGCTAGAGGCCAGCGGGACAGTATCAAAGTATTTGATCTTCAACCGTTTCACTTCACCAGTGAGCTGACCATTGTCATCCTCGACCATGTCAATGGTGAGCTTGAACAGGTCACCGTCTTCAGTCTGAAGTAGAAAGAAGAAAGCACCCCTCATCTTGTGCATCACACCGGCCGTGATAGAACGCTTACGCTCCGGATTCTCAGTGGCACCGCTGCGCCGAGGAATTGGCACTCGGAACGCATCTTGGTTGGAGTGACGGTAGGTAACGCTATCCTCCGCACAAACCAACACACCACTGGGGCCGTCGGCGCCTCCAGGGACCTGGAACAGAAGCGAAGCCGTACGATCCACAGGATCGGACCACTTGCGGACCACATGGTTAAGTCCAAGATCCAGCTCATAGTACACCAGATGCTTCTCCAGCTCGTCGAAAGCCTGGCCAGTTGGATCCTGATCAGACTCTGAGTAGTCAACCTCGAGCGCCGCGAAGACCGGGTTTTCATACCCGACATCCAACGCCGTCATGGCGAACACTAGCGTCTGCGGTTTGTGGGCTTCAAGCGGGGACGAGATCGTCAGCTCGGCCTGCGAGTTCCGATTCAGGACGTAAACAAGCTTGTTCTTCTCCACAGAAGCGATGATGCACGCGCGGCCCTTGGGGTCCACGGCCAGATACTGCCCTGGGATGACACGGCGGACACCAGACTTGCCAAAGGTCTCGAGATGAATCCGGTTGAACCGGTTTTGAGACGGCACATACTCAATGATAGTAATACGTCCCGAATCCGAGCCAATGATGATGTAATCTACAGGCATCTTTCAGCACAGTTCAACCACCAAGACCCAGTGTCAACGTTGCCGACCGGGAGCACGTCCCAGCACCAAGCGGGGACGATTCGGCAAGGGATCGTGCTGCCCGGGAAGCTTGAAGAATCACTATGATGATCTTGAAAGTCCGGGCAGGGGAAGCAAAACATACCTTTGCTACTACCGGCCAATCTGAAGGCTGCCAGCGAGCGGATGATGCCAAAGACATCTTGCGAAAAGAGCGGCGTGACCTTGCCCTGTGTGGGATCGGGACGATGAATCGTGAGCTTCGATCCGGACGCGGTGACGATCTGCTGCTCCTTGGTCCCAGCAAACTGACCGAGAATGGCCTGGGTGATCGCAGTCGGAGGCTGGATCGTCAAGGAGTACATGAACATGTGCGAAGTAGTCGCCATGGTGAACGGACGCGACTCTCACCGAGCCTGGACTGGTGGAGGGGTGTGGTTGGGGGGGGGTTGTTTACGACGCGATTGTAGCCAGGATGACACTACAATGCAAGCAGTCCCATTGCTGCCAGTGGAGCAGATGGGGAGAGAGGACTCTCGAAACCGAGTGTCCTCACACAGAGGGATGGTTGGTGGAGAGGGGAAAGGAGAGAGAGAGAGAGAAAGAGAAAGAAGCAAGCCAGACAGCGTGTTTCTGCAGAAAAGGAAAGGGAAGGTGAAAATTCCGGTTAGCGAAGAGGGAAATGAGCTTGTGGTTCCGTTTGCCTGGTTTGGCTACTATCACGTGATAGCTCTACCTGCACTTACACCGTACATACGACACCTTACACAGCAGCCCGCCGACGTGGGCGGACCGGCGGGGGAAATACCGTTTGGGCGGTACAAGCGCGCTTGGAAGGCGGACGATGCGATTCTGCCCGCTTCCACCTCGCCGGTTACGCTATCATCCGCTAACTCGGCGCTGAGGCAACCCATAACTTACCTACTCAACCTAGTTAGTTAACTAGTTAACTGGCCGACGCTGCCTACTCTCGCTGCAAGAGGACAACTTCCCCAGTCCATTGTGCATATCTACCCGTCTACCTACTTCTCTTCCTTTGCACCACTCCCTCCTCCCCCTCCATCCACTTTCCCACGACCTTCCTCCTTTGATCGACTCTCCTCCGACACCTTTATCGTGTGACGTGATCTGTCTCCTTAGGCTGACTGTCTCCGGACACCCCTCGATCCCCTCCAACCCGTCGCAACCCCAATACAGACCATGGCTGATGATACCGCCGCGGCCGAGGATGCGCACATCACTTTCAACGTGAAGTCATCCAATGATGCTAAATATACACTCACTCTGCCATCATCAACCTCGGTCTCTGATCTGAAAGAGAAGCTAGCGTCATCGGAATATGCTGATACCCCAGCTGAGCGCCAGCGTTTGATCTACTCGGGCAGAGTCCTCAAAGACAATGAAACCCTGGCAACGTACAACATCAAGGATGGACACACTATTCACCTGGTGAAGAGTGCACCCAGCAACCGGCCCCCTAGTGGTGCTGCGACGACGACGTCAACATCCGCACCTGGTGGTGCGGCTGCTACTCCTGCGGCTGCAGGCGTCCCCACGAATCTCGCTGCCGGCACGGGCAATAACCCGCTCGCGGGGTTGACGGGAGCCAGATATGCCGGGTTCGCGCAACTGCCAGGTGCAGGAATGTTCGGGCCTGATGGCGGGGTAAGTCGTTTGCCTTGATGTTGTCCTGACAGGCTTCTTGTGTCATCGACAAACCAACTAATACGCTGTTTCTAGATGGGCCCTCCTCCTGACACGGAAACCATGCTCAACATGCTCGAAAACCCTCAATTTCAGTCTACGATCAACGAAGCTCTGCAAAACCCCGCCATGATTGACATGATGATCCAACAGAACCCCATGCTGCGCGAAATGGGTCCTGGCGTACGGCAGATGATGCAGAGTCCGGAATTCCGCCGCATGCTCACCGACCCCAACTCGATACGTCAGATGGTACAGATGCAGAGAGCCATGGGTGGCGGGGGCCTTGGTGGAGGCGCATTTCCCGCTCCTGGGGTTACCAACACAACACCCGAGGAAAACAGAGACGCTCAGAACAATACCGGTACCACGCCCACTCCTGGCGCCGCGTTCAACCCTTTTATGCCGGCCGGTCTCGGCGCTGGAAATCCTTTCGCAGCCCTTTTTGGAGGCAATCCCATGATGGGCAACCCTGCTGCAGGAGCGACTCCGTCGGGCGCTTCACCCACCGCTGGCGGAACTCAACCGGACAGCACCGAGCGAGCCGCTGGGGGTGATAACGCTACGGGACAAGGACAGAACCAGCAGGGCTTCCAGAATCCGTTCAGCATTTTCATGAACCCAGCGCTCTTTGGCGGCCAAGGCGGTCAGGCTGGTGCGAACCCTTTCAATCCGCAACAGAATCCTTTCCTCCGGGACCCAGCACTGCTGCAACAATGGATGCAGAACCTAGGTGCCGCACCGGGAGAAGGAGGCGCGGCTGGTACCAATCCTCTGGCGGCACTGTTTGGTGGTGGATTTGGCAGCCCCCCTCCGCAGGATAACCGGCCCCCCGAGGAACGGTATGCAGAGCAGCTTCGTCAATTGAACGACATGGGATTTTTCGAGTTTGAGAGGAATATCGAGGCTCTTCGCCGAGCAGGAGGCAGCGTGCAAGGGGCAGTGGAGTATCTATTGAGCCACCCCTCTTAAATCACGCCTTAATCCCGACCGTGATGAGTTGCATTATTGTTTTTCTTCCTTCGGTTTTTTCCAGTTGATTTATATCCTTTATTGACCATGCATTTCTGCGTACGTGTCAATGAGGGATGACCCTTATTATGTAGCAAATATCCTCTCAGCCTAGTTGCACGGCGTTACTTTAGCAGGAATCATGACAGATCACAATCGCAAGCGGAATGGTAAATGGCCAGAACCCCGACCGTAGTAGTAGTAGTATCTAAGCAGTTAGACCTCTCTCGAGGCCCAAGATCTTTCCTACTCGTTATATATGATCGTTTCATTTCCCTTATCTTCTCTATTCTCTGTCTTGTCTGTCATCTCCTCTTTAGATCCCCTTTGTCTACTACTACAGTTAACTTTCTTTGATCAGATCCCTCATCTGAGATATTCTCCCTCTCTGAGAGATCTTCCTCTCTTTCAATTCAAGAATCAATCAATCGACCGGAGATTGCTTTCTGTTAACCCGACACTGTTTCTAGCTCTGCGCGGCTAGGTGGACAGTTTGTATTGTCGTACAGTACCCCCTTGTCTTTACTTCTACAAGGAGGAGCCCCCTCTGATATACTTATTCCACTGCACTTACTAGTACAAGCTTAATACGATCATCAATTCGATTAATCTACGAGAGACGTAGACCGTCCCTCACGGTGGTTGTCGAAGTCCTTATTTCAGTGCCAACAGTGTAAGACCGACCATATGTGATGTGGGTGGTGCAGCTCCGGCGGAATCGCGCCACTTTAGGTTATTTTAAGCCATGGGTTAAAAGTAGCTTTGTTTCTGCAGATAGATGGCTTATCATTAGCATCCGTTGAACAATGCGTTGCATAGTATAAACCATACATTAAGTGCCCTGTCCATGGGATAGAAAAAAGGAGGCCGGCCTGGAACTGGTTGCGGAATGGCACTAAACCCCTTGAGGGCGGCAAGGCTTCCGTGCTCTTCTTCACTTCCGAAACAAAGCATCGAGAAACTAACCCCGTCTTCTCCTTCTTCCCCTCTCGTCTCGTTCCATCTCCTCCTCTCTCATCCTTCCGATACTCGCCGGTCTAGTTCACTTCATCTGGCATTCAATGCCGTTTCCACTCGTTCGCTCGGCCTGAGTTGTCCTTTTGCTGTCTTCCTCCACCCACCCGCATCTTGAACCGCTGGATCTCCGTTCAATACCTGCTCGTCGGGCTGCATCACCCATCCCGTTTGCCAACTAGCCAGTCCCTTTCCTTCAGTCTTTCGGATATGTTCGTCTTTTGAGCTCTGGCCTGCAATTATCTTTCGTACATACTGCTTTTTTAATAATAAAACTACACGAGTTGAGCTCAGAGAAGGAAGATCGGGGCGGTCAGTTGAAAGTCATTGATCTGCATCTGGGATTGTCGGATCCGCCACGTACGAATCAGCTGCCCGCGATCGTGGGTGCATTGCGCAACAGCATCACCGCTTCGGCCACCGTGGGCTGAATCTCTCTTCTGCCATCTAATCATGGCGTTGTCTCAATTTTGGCGTCCCCATCAGTGGACGCTATGGCTTCTCTTTGTGTCTTATGCCTATGCGTTCTACGTTCCTGGTAGGTGGTCTACGCTGCGACGATGCCCGTAAGAATCTTGACGCTTACGCATGAATGCTACTGCCAGGCTACTCGGTCAAGCGCTATAATGACGATGAGCATATTCCCCTCCTTGTGAATAAGATCTTCTCCGACAACACACAACTCCAGTATGCCTACTTTGACCTGCCTTTCGTCTGTCCTCCTAGCGGAAGATCGCATGGTGGTTCCCCCTTTGGTTCCGGACAAAGCGTTTCTCTGAATCTGGGAGAGATCCTCCGCGGCGATCGCATCATGACCTCGGATTTCGAACTTCAGATGGGCAAAAACGTCGAATGCCAAGCGCTCTGCACACAGGAGGTCGGGCGTAAGGATGTCAAATGGGGTCGTCAACTCATCCATGAAGGTTATGTAGCGGAATGGATTGCCGACAATCTGCCTGGCGCGACAAGCTTTGTGACCGTTGACCGTAGTCGCAAATATTATGCCACTGGCTTCAAGCTGGGATTCCAGGAATTCTCGCCCATTGACGGCAAGCCGCGTTACTACATCAACAATCACTTCACCATTGTCATCCGCTGGCGGTCGGCACCCGAGGGCGGAAAGGTTATTGTTGGATTCGAGATCTACCCGAAGAGCATTCGCGCCGCCGATCATCTGGAGGGCGGCTGCCCCCAACATGTTCACGAGACCCACGAGGGATTGGAGCTGTACATCCCCCCGGATACCTCCAAACTGCGCGAAATGTACCCTGGATCGTCGTACATTCCTGAGGACGATGGCGACATTGATGACGGTGCCACTTTGAAGATCCCCTACACCTACTCTGTCTACTTCAAGGAGGAAAACGGAGTCGACTGGTGGAACCGGTGGGATCTCTACTTCAGCAACCAGGATGAGGGCTCTACGACTCATTGGCTTGCTATCCTCAACTCACTGACCATCGCTGGTGTTCTTGGCGTCGCCGTGTATGTTATTTGGAGTCGCACGGTTCAAGGAGACATCAAGGGTCGTGGAGATGGGGCTATGGAGGATGGAAAACTCAAGGTCCGGAAAGCTAAGCCCGAGAGAAAGGGCGATGGACTTTTGGAGCAAGGAGCAGATGTCGAACGGGATGCGGACGTTTCATCCGACGACGAGGGTCTTGATGATGTGAGCGGGTGGAAACTCCTTCATGGTGATGTGTTCCGTGTGCCCCAGTACAGTGGACTGCTTGCGCCCCTTGTCGGCTCCGGTATGCAGCTGCTCTTTATGGTGTCGGGGCTTCTGCTACTCAGCTGCCTGGGTGTTCTGAACCCGAGTTTCCGTGGCGGTTTCGTCAGCGTTGGTATGGGCCTGTTCGTCTTCGCTGGTCTTTTCTCGGGTTACTTTTCGGGGAGGCTTTATAAGACCTTTGGCGGTACATATTGGCGCAAGAACACTCTCATAGTAAGTCATTCGAATGGTGTAGGTAGACTCTGGCTGACAGATTCAGACTGCGTTGTTTTTCCCTGGACTCGCTTTCAGTCTCATCTTCATTCTCAACCTCTTCGTGTGGGCGCAGGCTTCTAGCACTGCCATTCCTTTTGGCACGCTGGTGAGTCTTCTGGCTCTTTGGCTGCTCATCCAAGTGCCGTTGGTGTATGCCGGTAGCTGGTACGGATACGTGCGCACCGCGCCTTGGGAGCACCCGACCAAGACGACCTCCATTGCGCGTCAGATCCCGCCACAGCCATGGTATTTGCACAGCATCAGCGGGACGCTCTTGACCGGCCTGGGACCATTTGCGGTGCTGTTCATTGAGCTTCTGTTTGTGTTCAAGAACCTGTGGCAGGACAAGAGCGGATACTACTACGTGTTTGGCTTTTTGAGCGCCGTGTCGTCGATCCTGATGGTAACGGTCAGCGAAGTGACGGTCATCGCGACATACAGCCAACTCTGCGCGGAGAACTACCACTGGTGGTGGCAGAGCTTCCTCACGGGTAGCAGCAGTGCGTTCTGGGTGTTTGGCTACTGCGTGTGGTACTTCATCTTCCACCTGCACATCACTGGGTTCGTGTCGAGTCTGCTGTTCTTCAGCTACAGCTTCCTGGCATGCGCCGTGTATGGTCTCCTGACGGGCACGGTTGGATTTTTGACGGCGTACATGTTCGTCCGGCGGATCTACAGGTGAGTTGATTGCTTTGTTGCACCTAGACCGATGCTAACCGAAGCAGTTCCGTCAAAGTTGATTGATCGACCCAAATCAATGGCCGCAGCAGACGAATCCATGGCGCCTCGACCAGATTGCAGTCACGTGGTGTCATTTACCAAGCACCTCTGTCCTACATGAGATTGGTCCGCCATTTCCAACCGTCGGCAGTCCAGTCCTTTCTTTGATAGAAACAGAATAGTGGATGTCGCGGGCCTTTGGCAGTTGTGGCCTGTGGCCCTGCTGTGTTGGTATATATAAGAAGAGTACATCTGTCATTAGCGAAATCATAGCCGTTGACTTGTTTCAACCCAAGTGGCGAACCCAGCCAGCCCCAAAATGTAGTCCGTCCAAGACACTCCGAACATTAGATAAGTAAAACCCACGTTCGACCCGCCAAGCCCTTTTCCGCAAGGGACGACTGGGCACCTGACCGCGCGCATCCAGAGAACATTCGCCAAGCGGTCCCCGACCAGTCCCATCTTTGAGACCAACATGAGCGGATGTGCCAAGCAGGTGGAATTCCAACTATGCGCAACAAGCACACAAGTGGAAAACTGTACCACAACCAAACCAGTAGTGGACTTAGAACGGTTCGAATTCAATACTTACTTGCAACTTACTTGACCACCTCCAATAGAAAATCCTATTACTTGCCTGATTGAACTCACTGCGTTCAGAAATCTGTGGTACATACATACATCATCAATCCAAGATTCAAAATTTAGGCAGCAAGTCAGTCAGTCAGTCACTAAGATACTTACCATGCCAACGATCATCGAGAATAAGATTATCCATCAATTAGTTTAGTCACTTACTTTTTATTTTGTCGTTAGAATTGATGATTCGACCCACGGACCCCCCGAAATGCGGGGAAGCTTAAGTAGTTCATTGATAATAGTAGACCAAGCTATGATTCCTAACCCAATATTATACCAGAAATGGAATAACTATCCCTTAGCGGCTGTTCAACGATCACGCAGCTAACATTTAGTCTACGTAAGTCGATTGCTTAAAAATAGATAGTTCATTTCCTACGTATCGATCAATATGTTCTAGAATTGTTGGCCGGTGGGATGATCTTCTAGACGTATACGTAACTTTCCACGCGGGATGGGGCGATGATGCCATCGCCCCGGAATATTGGTGATGTGACGGATAAGTTGGACACTAATCCTATTTCCAACGGCAACTCCGAGTTTAATTTATCTGTTTATCTTTATGATTTCTTATCTTACTTGTTTTGCTTTGTTATTGTGTGTGTATGTTGGTCGTAATGCGGGATGTAAAATGATATGTGAGATGAGATGGGGTGGAATGTGGGTAGGACATGGGGTGGTTGGCGTTGTGTAAGGGCTAGGGTGTCTTGTGTGACTACTACTAGTTGATTTGATGGAATTTACTTTCAGTGTTGTGGGATGAAGTATAGTCATGGGACATTGAATTAGAATTTCTGGCTCTATTCACAAAAGTATAGTAAGTCCTTGGATTTGTGGGTTCTTTCAAGCTTGGGGGGACCGTGGATCGGGGGAATCTTGGGCAGGTGATTTCTTTTTCTTTTTCCCCCTTCTTCTTTTGCGGTGGTGACTTTTCCATTTCTGGTTTCAATGTGTCCCGCCGTTGTCCGCCCATCTGGGAATAATGGATGGTTCTGGCGAAGAATTCTGGAATTGGGTGGTGGCAAGGGGAGAGAATTCATTGTGGTTGGTGATTGGTGTGTTGGAGAAAGACTCCGTGGTAGTTACTTGTCTTAGTAATGTGGTCTATTTCTTGGGAATGTTGTCTGTGTCCGGTTGAGGTAGTAGTCTATCATTGACATTGAATCGAACAGATTATGATGGCAGGTGATGTTGGTAAAATCTGGGGGATGAAGTCTACATTACCTACTTGCTGTATGACATGTACTGTACGGGGATGTTTTTATCTGGTATCAATCAGTAACAAACAGCCAGTCTGTGTTCCATCCCGCCTGAGGACAGATCGCATGTCCGGCTGGCTGTAGTGAAACCCGCCTGTTCTTTGGAACCCCCGATGTATCGCGTGCTCAATCCCACATCCAATCAGACATCGTGGCGACGCTGCTGACGCATCCCCGTTAGTCAGCAGCCTCGAACCCCTGTCGGATCCGGCCGGGGGTGGAAATGGCGCGACCAATCAGCAATGAGCCTCTTGCCAAGGGGCCAAGAGTGGGTGATTGAAAGGGGACTAGTGGGTAGCGGGATGCTCGGCTAGCAGGCCGGGGAAGTTCATTCGAAAAATGAAGCGGTGCGTTGATTGTCTATCTTAGACAAAACAGGCAGGAGGGGATTTCAAGGAAAGAAGGAGGTGTAGATGAATAGTAACCGGTATAAACTCGCTAATAAGATAAGTTCAGCTACACCATTGATCAGACTAAGCACCAAATTAGTGTCGCCATCCGAGTGCCGCGCCACCGCGATTGGCTCGCGTGGCAACGCCTCGAGGAATCCGTTGCCTATCCGAGAGATTGGTGGCCCTTTCTGGCCTGTGACTGGCGAGCCCCGGGCGGTTATCAGGCGGTTCTGCCGATCTCCACTCTGGCTTGAAAAATGCCGGGGGCAGCAGCAGATAGATGGATAGTAAGTAGATAATGCTAACGGAAACTAAGGCAGTACAAAGGAGACTAGTCTAGTCGCAGAAAAGATACCATGCAGCACGTAGCCAAGACTTCCAAAAGAGAGTCACAATTTTCGGGACGTTGTGGTCAGGAAGAATTGCATCTCAACAACCAGATACACCAGCAACCAAAGAAATCCACACATCGGCTCTCCTGAAGATCCTGTCCCCGTGGCTGTGAGATCACCCTCCCTGCGTCACCAACCATGGAACCTTCCGCAATCACACCATCGTCCCCGCTGATGGTTCCATTGTTGCGGTGACATGGAGATCTGGTGCGACACGCCCCGGTAGCGCGGCTGTCGCCCTTTTCCCTCCCGGTTTTCATTGCCCACCCATGGATGGTTGGTCAATTTTTTGCTCGTCTACAGCCTTCCGTCTCCACCAACCCTTCGCTCCGCCTGACTGACTTACTTATATCCTTCTCTTAACCCGGCTGCCCTCTTCTTTGTCGTCCGCTCTCTTTCTTCACTGACACTCTCATCCCCCTACTCCTCCGTAATTTCCCTCCTTTTTTTACCTTCCGTCACACTCTTGACACCGTTGGTATTCCTGGTGTCGACGTCACGCGTCATCCTTTTTGACTTCCCTTCTGTCCTGATCGAGTGCATCCTTCCCCCGGACAGAGAGTGTCCCCCACCACCATCATGGCTGAGAAGAAGCCTAACATCCTCTATATCATGGCCGACCAGATGGCGGCCCCCTTTTTGGCTTTCCACGACAAGGACTCTCCCATCAAAACTCCCAACTTGAACAAGTTGGCGCAGGAAGGTGTTGTCTTCGACTCCGCCTACTGCAACTCGCCGCTCTGCGCGCCGTCGCGGTTCGTCATGGTGACCGGTCAATTGCCCTCCAAGATTGGCGCCTACGACAACGCATCCGATCTGCCCGCAGACACCCCCACATACGCCCATTATTTGCGCCGGGAAGGCTATCATACCGCTTTGGCCGGTAAAATGCACTTCTGCGGCCCGGATCAGCTGCACGGATACGAGCAGCGGCTGACCAGCGACATCTATCCGGGTGATTATGGCTGGTCAGTGAATTGGGATGAGCCGGTAAGTTTATTCACCCCGCCGTTCGTGTTTGGGGAATGGCGAAATGCTGACCGAAAAAGGAAATCCGTCCCGACTGGTACCACAACATGTCTTCCGTCATGGAGGCGGGTCCCGTGGTGCGCACTAACCAACTGGACTTTGATGAGGAGGTCATCTACAAGTCGACCCAGTACCTCTACAACCATGTGCGCCAGCGCAACGACCAGCCGTTCTGTCTGACCGTGTCCATGACTCATCCCCACGACCCTTATGCCATGACTAAGGAGTTCTGGGACCTGTATGAGGATGTCGACATTCCGCTGCCCAAGCAGGCGGCCATCCCGCACGACCAGCAGGATCCGCACTCGCAGCGCGTGCTCAAGTGCATTGACCTCTGGGGCAAGGAGATGCCCGAGGAGCGTATCAAGGCGGCCCGTCGCGCTTACTACGCTGCCTGCACGTACGTCGACACCAACGTGGGCAAGCTGCTCAAGGTGCTCGACGACTGCGGAGTCCGCGACGACACCATCATCGTCTTCACCGGCGACCACGGTGACATGCTGGGTGAGCGTGGTCTCTGGTACAAGATGGTCTGGTACGAGAACTCGTCACGTGTGCCGTTCATTGTGCACGCGCCAAAGCGATTCGCACCCAAGCGGGTGAAGGAGAACGTGTCGACCATGGACCTGCTGCCGACATTCGCAGAGATGGTGGGGGCACCGCTGGTTCGCGAGCTGCCGCTGGACGGCGTGTCGCTGATGCCCTACCTGACCGGCGAGGACGGCGTCAAAACCAACACGGTGTTGGGCGAGTACATGGCAGAAGGCACACAGTCGCCAACGGTGATGATCCGGCGCGGCCGCTACAAGTTCGTGTACTCGTTGATTGACCCACCCATGTTGTTCGACTTGGAGGCCGACCCACAAGAGCGGGTCAATCTGGTAGCGGGGCTGACGGAGAAGCCGTCGCTCGAGGCACCCAAGCCCGTGGCTGTCACGCAGCTGAACCCTGCGCCGCTGCCCACGCCAGGCGATTCGCCTCGGGGTTCACCGATGCAGCGCGCATCGTCGTTCCCATTCCCCACTCCCCCGCGCACGCCTAGCCCAGGCAAGTCGGCGTATGCACTCCCGGAGAGCCGTGAGCCGGCCCAGCTGTTGGCATACTTTACCGAGGAGGTGCACGCGCGGTGGGATCTGGAGAAGATCCGCGAGGACGTGCTGCGGTCGCAGCGCCGTCGACGTCTCGTGTACTCTGCCCTGATCCAGGGCACCGTGTCGATCTGGGACTACGAGCCGCGGGTGGACCCCAGCACACAGTACGTGCGCAACCAGGGCAAGGGCGCACTGGATGATGTGGAATTGATCTCTCGGTGGCCGCGGGTGCTGCAGCAGGCTGCGACGGCAAAGGGGATGAACGTTTGATCTGTTTGCGAGCTTATCCGTGATGCTCCATCACGGTTCTTCTTTGGGTATTAAAATTGGAGTCATAGCGAGGCGCATGGGCTTGCATTGCAGCTATTTCTTGCGTCTAGCGTTGAGCTTATGTATTATAAGACATTGAATCAATGTATGTACGCAATACCGATATTAGTCCGTGACTGAACCAAGAGTGCACTACGTCACATGTAACCATGGTTCCTAGCTCTGTAACTTCTCCGCACACTCCAACTTCGTCATCATCACCACCACCACACCATTCTCACCACAGCAACATGATCATCCTTATCCTCCTCATAATAATCATAATCATAGTCTAATCTGATAACTAGTTATTATGCCCCCTAAAAGACTTACCCTCGCCATCGCCCACCCAACCATAACATCCACCTCCCCATCCCAAATCACCCAGCTCGCGCACTCCGCAGCTGCCAAGGGCGCTCATCTCCTTGTCATCCCATCTTACGCGACCCCAGCAGCAGCAACAGCGAGGAATAAGAGTCCGAGAGATCAGTACCTGAAATTGTTCAACTGCGCTCACGATCTATCCGACCCGGGAAGTGATCCCTTGTGTCATGGCGAGAAGAAACACAAGACCAGAGAGACACTAGAACATCTCGCTCGCGAAACGAAACTCTTTCTGATTGTGGGATTGCTTGAACGCGCGTGTGGGAATCTGTATCATACGGTGGTGTATATACATCCTGGTGATGGGTTGGTGGAGAAGAGGAGATGTTTTGCTTTGGTCTGTCCCCCCCCCCCCCCTTCCCCTTTCTTCGCTTTCTTTATGTAGATGATAGGGTATGCTAATGGTATGGTGTTCATGATATAGACCGGCCTAGCAAAGACATGCCTCTCCCCCGGACAGCCGCATACATCTCCCATCACAATTAAATGCAAAAGTGGGCTCGAAGTAAAGATTGGGGTCGGCTTATGCGAGGAGAACTACCATCCGCTTATCCGGCAGGAACTGTATGCAGCCGGTGTCCAAGTCTACATCTCCCTCGGTGGCGTCTCCTACCTGGATGGTAATGATAGCGATAGCAGTGGAGATGAAATCAGTCTATGGGAGAGTTTACTGCGCACGGTAGCTGTGGAAGGGAGGGTATTTGTTCTGGGGAGTTACACTACTTCTCACCCTGCTACACCTCAACCTACGCATCCACACCAACTTGGTTCTCCTACCCATATCCCCAGTGGTAGCGGGAGCTGGCAATTTTCCCCGAGCGCGAAGAAACGGTCCCTGTCTGTTACAGCTGAAGGACCACATGAGATTGTCTGGCCGGAAATTCGGCATGCGAATGGTGGTGCTGCTACGGGACCACGGAAATCTGTGACGGCTGAGGGACCGCATGAGATTGTGTGGCCTGGACAGTCGAATGCCGATGTGGATGAGGATAGGGAAGGGGAGATGAGTCCGGGGAGAGTGGAGCAGAGGCATGTTCAAACTGGTGGGCGGGGGAGGGAAGGGCCGTCGGGTGAGAGTGGATGTGGAGGGGCGGCGTGGATAGTGGGTCCGTTTGGAGAGATTCTGGCGGGTTCAAGGGGAGGAGTATCGTTGGATGATGATGGATTGTTGGTGAGGGAGGTGGATTTGGAGGATTGTATTCGAGGGAGATGGGATCGGGATTTGGCTGGGGTCATCGGTACCACAGAGCTGCGTGCTTGATATGAAATTGTGAATGTCTGCCTGGGAATTTGAAGATACAATCATAGTGTCAATAGTGCAGATCTACCGATCCGATAATGAACCATAACCATACCAGTAACAGCCAAGCTTCTGTCCAGCAGATACTAACTGTCAGATGATCCCTGTCGCTGAGCTGGCAGGAGGGGTAACCCCGCCATCTATCCCCAGAGTATATCCCGATTATAACTTCACATATCCTCTCCAACACATCAACTCATTCTATACGAAAAATAGCAAATAATCACCCATCAACCATCCCCTCTCATCCAAATCTAAAATGTCCACCACAACTACCACCACAACCACCACGACCCTGACAGGGGCACCCACAGGACCCCGCGTCCTCTCCGTCTCCAAATCCCCCACACACAGCATCTCCAAAACCCCCGTTCCCTCCATAACTCTCCTCCCCAACCACGGCGTCAGCGGCGACTGCCATGCGGGCAAAATCACTCAACACACTACCTCCACTACGCCATCTTCTACAGCCAGCAACCTCCGCCAAATCCACCTCCTCCCCATCGAATCCCTCCGTCACATCTCCTCTACCTCCTTCAAGGGAAAGCAGCCCCTCACCCCCGGTGGAGTCGGCGAGAATGTGACGACCGAGGGCATCGAGTTGGGGAATCTACCTCCAGGTACGGAGATACATTTCGGGGATCAGGATGGTGGCAACGGGGCAGTGGTTAAAATTACAGAGGTGAGAGAGCCTGGACCGGGACTGGATAAAGTGAGGCCCGGATTGAGGGACGCGTTTCGGGGTGTGAGGAGAGGCTGGTGGGGGGTTTTGGGGGTTGTTGTGAAAGGTGGGGAGGTGAGGGGAGGGATGGGGGTTAAGGTTGTGGTGAAGTAAAACCATTCCAGTTGGAGATTTTTGGGTGAGTGGTAATAGGGGGGACTTGATTTGGTGATGATGGTGGTGGTGATGGTGGTAAGGTTTGGTAGGATTAAGGATTGAGGCGGGATGTGATGTAATTGACTTTTAGGGGTATAAGTATAAACATCATTTCCTAGGATGGAAGTCAATTATGTAGTGCAGTGGACAGTTTGCAATTCTATCAATTGTGCCAGTTTAACTAGTGAATTATCATGGATCAACGCTACTATACCCTCGCAGAAGGTATGTCCTTATAATTGAATAGATAGTGAAGAATCCACTAATGATCCAGGCTGCCCCTACGCCAGCAACGCATCCTCGGTGCAGTTGCGCAGCGGTAACGGGGGCCTGCTTCTAATGCAGGATACCCAGCTCATTGAGACTCTATCTCACTTTGCTCGTGAGCGGATTCCAGAGCGGTAATTCCCCACTACCCTCCTATCATCCGTCCTCGATCCTATATACTGATATAAACCAACAGTGTAGTCCACGCCAAAGCAGCCGGGTACTTCCCCCCTTTCCCTCCCCAGTAACAACCCTACTGATAGCTAGCACAGCGCATACGGCGAATTCACCTGTACCCACGACTGCTCCGACATCACCTCCGCCAGCTTTCTCAGCGAGATCGGCAAAACCACCCAGTTGCTTCTGCGCATCTCGACGGTTGGTCCGGAGGCTGGGTCGGCCGATACTCTGCGCGATGTGCATGGCTGGGCTATGAAGCTCTATACGGATGAGGGAAATTTGGACTGGGTGTTCAATAATACGGTAATACCCTCTCATTGGTATAGGGATATGAAGTGAGGGTAAGCTAATGTGGTGATAGCCCGTCTTTTTCATTCGGGATCCTCTCAAGTTCCCGTCGCTTAATCGGTCTCATAAGCGGAATCCGCAGTCGCATTTGCCCGATCCGAATATGGTATTTCATCCTCCTATTTGGTTTGATGAATGGGTACTAACTTCTCAATTGATAGTTTTGGGAGTACGTATGCACATAGTATTGAAGTAGGTCTCAACTAACTAGTTAGCTTCCACGCCGGAAACCCAGAAGGCTTCCACCAGCTCCTCCATCTATTCAGTGATCGAGGCACGCCCGCGTCTCTGAGACATATCAATGCTTACAGCGGGCATACCTACAAATTTACTCTCAAAGTAAGTCAATATCAACATACACAACAGACCAAGTAATAACTGTTCAGGATGGCTCCTTCAAATACGTCAAATTCCACATCAAGACCACCCAAGGCATCAAAAACCTGACCAAAGAAGAATCCGTCCGCTTGGCTGGTGAAAACCCCGACTTCCTCATCCAGGATCTTTTCGAAGCCATCGAGCGGAAGGACTATCCTACCTGGAATGTTTACGTGCAGGTCATGTCGCCGGAGCAGGCTGAGAACTACCGGTGGAATATCTTCGATATGACCAAGGTGTGGCCGCATAGCGATTTTCCGCTGCGGCAGATCGGGACGATGAAGTTGAATCGGAATGTATGTCTATCCCATACGTATTCTATCGATCGAGAATCTCTTGCTGATTGTTGTGTCAAGCCCCGCAACTACTTCACCGACATTGAACAAGCCGCCTTCTCTCCGTCGAATCTTGTTCCAGGCGTTGCTCCATCCGCAGACCCAAGTACCTCCCCCACACTCTCCCTCTAAACACCATGCTAATAAAGAATAGTGCTCCAAGCAAGAATGTTCTCCTACCCCGACGCAGCCCGCTACCGCGTCGGCACAAACTACCAACAACTCCCCACCAACGCGGCCAAGACCCAAGTGTACTGTCCTTACCAGCGCGACGGACAGATGAACTTCTCCGACAACTACGGCGCTGATCCCAACTACGTCGGATCATCTTTGAAACCGATCAAATTCTACCAAGATGTGAAAGGACAGGCGCCGCAGGCTGTCAGCACCCTCACGGAGCATGAGAAGTGGGTGGGCCAGGTGAGTAACTTTCAGTATGGATTGTATGAGGATGATTTCGTGCAGGCGAGGGGATTGTGGAAGGTGATTGGGAAGGAGGAGGGACATCAGGAACGGTTCTTTGGGAATGTGGCGGTGCATTTGGGACAGGTTTGGAGTGGGCCGTTGCGGGAGCGGGTTTACGGTGAGTTTATCCCTTTCTGTATATCCCTTTCTTCAAGCTTTTTGAGGTGATGGTGATGGGTGCTAATGAATGCAGAGCTGTTTTCAAAGGTGGATCCAGGATTAGGCGAGGGGGTGAAGAAGGCTACAGAGGAGGTGGTGAAGAAGAGGGAGAGTAGCAAATAGATACGTAGATGTGCTGTACTGTGTAAGTGTGGGGGTATAAAAATTTTGTTATAGTGTTATATTAGTAAAATGGTCTAAGAATGCATGCCAGCTGTCATCGTCTAGGTGCTACTGTTTACTTTCGGAGAAAACATGCCAAGGAGCATTCCTGTGCATGGCAATGGCCAATCCAACCGTCGGGAGGAATTCGCTGCATATCGATTGTGACAGGTCAGCTTCAGTATGTTACAGGTTGAGGAATGGTATTATCACATGTTGATACACACATCTCTCTTCTTCATTTATCTTTCTCTAATCTGCATCGGATGTTGTATCAGATACAAATATACCTTCAATCTTGAGCATTTATCTCATGTAAAAATTCAAGACATATCACAATCACAATCTGACACTAATTGACAACGACACAGCAATACGCAATACAGCATTACCCCCTTATCTACCGATTTGCCCCCAAAAATACTCCAAACTGCTATGATCAACAAAATGTCCGGATGCATCGGAACAACAGCCACCTCATCAAACCCAATTCCCGCATCTAGACCGCGCATTCACCAATCACGTCCCATTCCATAGCCACTTACCAACCTCATCGAACTAGTGTACCATACTAACTGCGGAGGAGTAACAGATAACTGAACCAAATCCGAGATCCACCCTGACGATAATGTACCCCCCACCCACAGCTACCCCAGCCCTACACTCCCCTCCCTACATCTTCCCCCCATGAAACAAGTATACAGAAGTCCCTCCACCACCCTTCTACATCTGATTCCATCTACACAAAGTACCTTGCAAACAAGAAATTATGCCGATCTGACTCAACCCAGTCAGAAATCCCACCCTACCCCCTCCTCAACCCGACAGGTCCGGCGATTCCTCGGCTCGTAAACACCGCAGATAACATACTCTAGTTCCAATTCGATTTAGTGGTACGTAGTTATGATAGTCATGAAGTCACCCGTTCCAACATTCCACCACGCACACACTCAACCTAGTAAAAATACATACATACATTCCCCCTTTCCCCTCTTTTCTGCTTCCGGCGTTTCTTTTTCCCTCCTGTTACTACAATTATCTCTACTATCTGCTATCTTAGCTATTGCTCATCGAGCACATATATAAAAACCATCATTTATCCCATCTATCCATCTACTTTTTCATATCCAGCATCTCAGAAAAAGGTTTCCGGTCATGACCACTCAAACCACCAACATGACCACCCTCACCGCCCAAATGGACACCACGAACCGTCCCGACGAATGGAAGATCGAGCAGGGTATGGCAGGTCATAAACTGCCTATCCTCGATCAATCCGGCCTGGACACGGTGCATATTTACCCGCCGAAGCCGACGCAGCTGTATAAAGATGAGGAGGCTATCGAGGCTGTAGGGGATCGGAATGAGTTGTTTAAGAGGGAGAAGGAGGGGTGGAAGGGGTATGATCATCCCCTTTCTCTTCTTTTGAAGATATACTATTACTATGTTGGGATGAATTACTGATGATATTTTGGTTTCAAGATATGTCGAATGGGAAAAGTATCCCGACAAAAAAGCCAAAGCCCACCGCATCCTCACCTCGCAGACCTTCTCCCCCTGTCCGGATTACATGTTCGGTCCTATCCCCGACACCAACCCCGTCCTGACCGGCGAGGACTTCAAGCAATGGCACGCTGCATTGGGGGGTGAACTTGCCTCCGTGGCGGATGATAGCTGGCGCACGGTTCTCCGGGAGAAACATCCCGATATGCTGCATCTCCTTCAGTTCCCGTATAACGGGGAGCCGCCGAAGCGGCTGGTTACTTCGAAGGTGGTCACGCCGAATCCGCTGCACTTTGTGCGCAATCACGGGGGCATTCCCCTGATCGAGAAGGATAAGTGGAGTCTGACGCTAGACGGACTCGTCAAGCATCCGAAGAGCTATACCTTGGACGATCTGCAAGATGAGACGCGGTTCCCGCGGATGGAGAAACTCGTGACGATGCAGTGTTCGGGAACACGGCGAATCGAGCAGATCGCCCTGTATGGGGGGCAAGGTGATGAAGTGCCGCAGGCGCCGTGGGCAGAGGGGGCCATTGGGACGGCGAAGTACGTGGGGATCAGTCTGAAGAAGGTGATTAAGGATTGCGGGGGGTTGATTGCTCCCGCGAAGCATCTGGAGTTGTACGGCGCGGAGACGTATATCAAGGATCTGGAGGCGATGAATTACGTGGTGAGTGTGCCGTGGTCGAAGGTCAAGGCCAACGAGGTGATTCTTGCCTGGGAGATGAACGGCGAGCCATTGCCCAAGATCCATGGGTATCCGTTGCGGGTCGTGGTGCTGGGATATATCGGTGCGCGCAGCGTCAAGTGGCTGTACCGGATCAAGGCGATTGAGAACCCATCCCGAGCACCCGTGCAAAGCAGGGAGTATCTCTACTTCAACCAGCAAATCGGAAAATATAACCAGCGTCCCACGGACGGGATCCAGATCCAGGAAATGCCGGTCAGTTCGGCGATCATGTCTCCCTGGACGAAGCAGGTGATCGTCCATGACGGGAAGATCCGGTGCAAGGGATGGGCGTATTCCGGGGGTGGACGGTGGCCGGAACGAGTCGAGCTGTCTGCCGATGGCGGGTTCAGTTGGTATGCGGTGCCGCAGGAGAAGTTGTCGAAGAAGGGGAGGTGGACGTGGCGGACGTGGGAGATGGAGTTGCCGTGTGATGTCGAGGGGTGGATTGAGATTGTGTGTCGGTGTTGGGATAATTCGTTGAACACGCAGCCGTTGAATGTCCGGGCGGCGTGGAATTGGGGACTGCATGTTACGTCCTCGGCGCATCGGATTAGCGTCTACAGTGTGAACAAGAAGCATGAGACGACGAGGAAGAAGATTGAGAAGATGGAACATTTGGGCATTCCGCTGGCGCCGTTGACGTTTTACCAGCCGGTGCCGGGGCAGACGGAAGAGGAGTATGAGCAGTTTTGGAGGGAGCATGATCCCAGGGATGTGGATGATTAGATGTTCTGAAGTGGGTGTGTTGTGAGGATGATTCAGATTGTTTATCAGTGAGCGAGTAATAATACTGTTTTTGTCTGCAACCTCATGAAGAATCGTAATTAGTAACTACCACCAGCAAGCTTTTGTCTCGACTTTCACTCCCATAGTGGTATCATTCACAGTCAGTGCTTGGCAGGTGAAGAATATCGGTCCTATGTCACTGTAGTGAATATATCAGGGGGAAAGTATAAGAAAAACAAATCCTATCGGGAGTCTTCTTCTCTTCTCTCTTTGTTCACCAACTCCACTAGACACAGAAGCCACAACTTTTAGTATCAGGTTCATAGCGGGAATGATTGAACAAGAGTCCTCCACAGAGTCAATACGCCAAACCTACGGGCCAATTTCATCGATTCAGGCTCCTTTAGCCAAAGTCTGAGATGGAAATGCAGTGATATAATTTTATTCAAATAATTTAGATAACCATGGGGCTACCACGATTTAATTGGTAGTAGAATGACTGGTCGCCTTTTATTAGCATAAGCTGTGGATCACAGCCATGAGGACCCATTAATATTGTATCTTTTTATTAATACCAATCTGTTATATGCCATTCACTGCCATGCTGCATCTGTCTGCAGTGCACAGTCATCTTGATCATCTGTGCATCAGGCATGAATCCCACTTGAAGAACGAGCTGGGAATGCACAAGGCGGTCGAGTTCCACCAGGTCCATATGTGGTGGAAACTTCCGACCTGCTGGAGGCTCATTTGGGGCATCCCCAAGGACCAAGTACCGCTTTAAGTAGTAAGTGTCTAGGTCTATAAGAGAGCCTCATCGTCCTGTCATCTTGGTTGGCAGGACCATCTACTCAATCAGTTTTCTCATTTGTTTTTAGTATATATTCCAGAGCTAGGATTCGCAGCTTTGACGCGCACTACTAAGCCCATGCCCTCAATGGCACAACTCAAGTATACTACTAGTATACGTATCATCATATATGAAGCTGGCATGGTAATACATGGTAGCCTGATTTGGCCTAACCACCGCCAGAGCCAGTGCTACAATCTGTGATACCTGCCTGCTTTTATAAGTGAATAGACCCAGAGCCTTGTGAAACCCACACACTATGGTAGATGGCTATTTAAGCCATGTTCTTGCCCCGCGATACGGCGAGCCCACCAAGGCTTTCTATCATCTTTAAGTTGATATACATAGTACAATCTATCATTTTCGAAATCGATTCAGCTCATCGTATTTCCAGCACCAATCCCCCCCTCTATCCATAGTAGTATGGAAGACACTCTAGCTCCGTTCACCCAAACGGACGCAGAACGACAAGAACCGCGGGTTCAACAATATATCCAGACAGCTGGTCACATAAATGACCTCCAAGTCCATCAACAGACCAGGACTACTACTAGCACCCCGAGCTCCCACGGCACATCTGGCTCTAACTGGGACATCAAGGAAGTCAACGCCGTCCGAGCGATCCCACTGCTCAATCTTCCACCAAGGCGGATCGTCCCAGCGAAATTCTTCCCAGGGAATGGTCATTCAGGTCAGTACATCAGCCACAGTCACCTATAGTGTGCTCATCACCCACTCTAACAATCTTACCATCAATTCGACTGCCCAGAATTTGCATATATGCGCCGATCAATCCAGGCTGCATCTATTGACGATCTCAAGGCCTTCATCTCAGCAAGATATGAGGGGAACCCGTTCCTAGCATTCTTCTTTGACCTAGCGGGGCTTATCACCACCGATACTTCAGAAGCAACCATCGCTCGCGCGCACCAAAGGAGTGTCAGCGGAGATTCCATCCATTCAGATCTCTCCACGCCCAGTGATGAGGACAGCTGCGAAAGTGCAAGTGTTCAGGCGCTCAAATCCTTTACAAAAGCTGTCATGTCGTATATGGGAAATGATACATATTTGTTTCCTCGAACCTTTAACCGTGTCCATTTCAAAAGGTGAGTACTACTACTCGTACACGTAGTATAACAATGGTATATACAATGACTCGAAAGTTGATGCTAATAGCGTCATCTAGTATCCCTAACAACATCGAATTCAGATGGAGAATGGCAGGGACCACATATGTCGCTGTGAATGATGGATCTGTGGGAGTAAATTTCCCAGGTAGCGTTTCTGGATCAGATCGAAGCTCAAAGATGCGGTAGCGAGTTTCGAGGTAAAGAAACTAACACATTCCCCCTCCCAGCGGTTTCATTATGCAAGTCGCGGATTTGCAATCTTCATCTGCTTACAGTCTACCGCAGTGTAAATCGCGACATGCTGGGGGAATTAAGCGAAGTTCTGGAGAACCGGAGAAATTCAACCCAACGGTTTTTGCCCAGGAGGTAGGCGAAATGATTGGGAGTGTGGGCGCTCAGCGATCTAGGCCTGTTCTCATAAAACATACTAGCGACCAGGAGGCCTTTGTGATCTGCATGCACGGAACGCTATTCTATATAAGCGCGGCATATTTTTCGCCGGAATATATCCATTATATCGAGACAACCGAGCCTACGACGATCGCTGCTGGGGAGAATCTTCTATGGATTCGAAGATCCATTCATTTTGATCTGAAATGCCCGGAGGATAGAGGCCAGGCGTTGAAGTTTTTCTGGGCGCTGGTGAAGTATATTGCCAGCGGGGAAGCGCGATCGAATATGGTGGCTGCAGCAATTGATGCTGCGAGGGACATTCCAGTCGAATGATCTAAACTGATTGAATCTACGATCCATTGGTCGTGGAGAAAGTTGGGGTCGGGAAAGAGCTTCGTGTCGTCGAGGTGCTTGAGAGCACTAACGTCAATTGCTAGGTACACCCATACTTTATAGTCTTTTCGATAGTAGTTGGGGGTTTAGGAAAATCAGAATGATTTAGGGCGGGGCATGCGCATCTTAGGACGAGGTAGCTACGACAGGAATTTGGTATTGCGAAGGGCTCAGAGCTTATTTTCATAAGTTATTCTTAACCTAAATTTTCCTCAAATAAAATCCCTTTAATAACTACCCTAACCACCACGATAACTCCACTACACCCTAAGAATCCGAGTAAAGCACCAACTAGTGAGGGGGGTATTTTCAGCCCATGATAGGCTGAAACGTGCATCATGAGCCCTCCGCCGTGGTGGCAGATTTTGACAAATAAACTTGCATGGCGCCAACCTTTGAAGTCCCACTTAGGAGGTATCGAAACAGCCTTGTCAGCGCCCGCATAGCCTCTAGCCAATCATCCCTCTCGCAAGGATTATACCCTCTTGTAAATTCCAGCTCGAAAAATTCGTTGCCCGATATCCCTTTTGAATGCACTCTGCTGATTTCATCAGTAGGAAAATGCCCACGGGCAATGTAAATTTGAGGGCCATGGAAGCCAACCACGAAGACCTCCTGATCCTGCAATCCCTGGCTGTGCTTGTGAACGGTAAGAGTTTTTGCCAGCTGGCCAAGCATGACACTGAGAACTTCCCCAACGAACTCCTCCCAGGTCTGTTCTTCGAACCACTATAGCTTGTTAGCCAAGAGACACCGGAGAAATCAATAGAAAAACTAGTAGAGGAATATGTGACGTGAAGAAATATACGCACCCCGGTATAAGAGATGATCGGCAGTGAATTGTCACGGGGACCTACTGTCACCTGACCCACCGGCCTGCTGGCATACATTTGACGCCCTATCACATACTTGGATGATGATATCGAATTAGGGGACCTATTATTCGATGTGAGTATTTTTCGATACAACCCTTGTTTATCCGACACGGAAAGAGCAAGCACTCACCGAATCTCGAGACCCTGCGTCTGTTCCTGTTCCATGACCCTCTTGAGCTTCCTATAGACCATCTGCATTAAAATCCGTAGTATGAAGCCTTGTGAGGAGATGAGATGGCGATGGGACTCTCGCCCCGTCACCTTCCAGTTCATTCGGGGCAGCACAATCTCCCCTCTGGATGTTGTAGGGCCAATGGAGCTATGTGCTTTGTGGGTAAGAGCAGTCTGGTAAGTGAAGAACTCCTCGAACAGGAAGCGAAATTCATGATCCCATCGGGCCAGTCGAACAAGTCAGTCCCCCGGGCAACGTTGATTTGCTTATAGACCCACGGAAGAAGAAGTTTTACGTCGTTCTCTGTAATAATGAATTAGGAGATGTTGGCCTGTAGCTGGGGAAGGGTTGCAGAGTACCTTCACGATCCTTACTGACCACGCGGGGAATTAGCCGATCTATATCAACAACCCGGGTCTGGACAGTGGCAGACATGATGCTGGGGGGAAGAAATGACGCAGATATCGCAACAAATTCATCCCCACCGAGGGCGGAGGATGATGATAGATGAACAGGCCAGTAAAGGAGACCGATTTCACGTTGTTAATAAGTTGGCCATGAGAGGAGTGCATGATGGAATCCAGCTGCATAGAGATGAACACAGAAATGGCTGGCAAGGCGGTCTGAGGACGGGATGTGCGTGATCATGTGGCTGTCCATGAGGCAAGCATCGCCTCCTGGTGAACCGTTGACTATCTTTATGCTTTGAGGTTATTGTTCTGTGATATTCTGTGCGCAAGTATATTCTGGCAGGTCAGGAATAAGCTTATTGCTTGAGTGTCTAGTCTTGGGATGGAGGCTATTGGCAGGGATTGGCTATACAATGATTGCGGCTGCAGAGTCAACGAGAATGGTTCAAGGATGGGCCTCTCGCGAAGATCGGCCTTCATGGTTTAGTCCCATAAAGTAGGATGGGGTACTCTAGTGATTGAGAGGACCGGTATGACCTACTGCTTGATACGGTGCTTGGATGAATCTCATTGGGCATCATGCTCATGGGGGACAAACTTCAAACCCGTACTTGCCACAACTCGCTATTTCTTAGCCGGGGTTCAAGTCAGCGTCAATAAGCCTTAGGCCTAAAAAGCCATATAAAGATCCATCAAGGAACATTTAAATTATAAGGTCACGTAAAGAATATTGACGAGCAAGTTGATATTTTGTCCTCGGGCCCATGGTTTGGGCTCGAAAACGATGCATTGCTTTACCGTATGATGATGATCATTCTCCAGAGCGTAAGCACTGCCAATACTGATCATGGCGCCGAGTCGACGGAGTACAGGCAGCGGAGGAACAATTTCACTGTGCTGCCAATGTGGCGACTGATGATGACTTGGCTATTGCGATGAGCCTCATAACTACAGAATGAATGGCCCAATGCCTTCTATTCCTCAGCTTGAAGAGCACCTTGCTAAGCTTGAGCATGACACAGAAGGACGGAAGGGTAAGAACTTCAAGGGCTCCTTTGCTTCGCGACGGCGAGTAGATCCTGGAATCGTGGTACAGAACAACGGGGAAAGGTCATGTTCCTCTATCACAAGGCTGTTGAGTTATTGACGCTGGCACAGGTAGTGAAGGTTGTCACGGGGCCATGTTTTCACAATGCGACGGTAGAGGCTCTTTGCAGGCTCAAACTATCTCATCTATGTCTGTTCGCGATACAGTCTTGAGTCTCGCTGAAGCAGAGTGAATTTCAGACGGGATGCATGGACTGTGGAGAATGCATGGTCTAATACTCTACGGGATTTTTCTAAGCTGGCCAATCAAGAATATTGCGAGAAAAGAAATTGTATTGATAAGGAGATCTCTAGATGAACGCCTGCGTCCGAAATATCTTTTCTTCTATTTACCCCAAAATGACAGTACCGTCATTATCGAGTCTCTTGCGAGTCTTTATAATCTGCAGTTTGCACCACGGCCGGGCCTCTACCTGGGGCGAGAAGTCGAGGAAGCTTGCCGATGATCATCACGTCACCCAAAACCAGATGGTGTCAATAGCGGCTGCCATGTTCCACATGAGGTTTTAAGAATATCTCCAAGGCCAAGGAAGCTGTAAGGGACATTATTCAAATTAGCCTGGACATGCTCTCGGATCATGATCCTTCCAATGACGAATTGGCATTCTGTATACTCCGCAGCGCTCTGTTGTCTCTGCGCGATGGGAAGAACCTGGAGTCAGACTTGATGATTCATTGTCTAATTGGACGAGGAAAGTAGACGAGCACAAGTGAAGATGTCAACCTTATGAACGAGCATACCACTAGCGATGGAAAGGCTGTCAGAGACATCGGTTATGGGCCCTAGGAGAGTGAAAATGTGTCACTCCAGGCACGTCAAGATCACTATGACTACTGCTGCCACGAGTGCAAAGTACAACAGTGCTTTTCTGACGGGGTATACCAAGCAACCTCTGGCTATAGATGCAGATATTGGGATGCCACCTGTTTTAGCAAATTGCAGCATAGCCCATCCGGTCTTGATCCATGGGCGGGCTGAACCATTGTCTATGTAACAAAGATGGACATGGAGATACTACTAAATATACTACTCCCTTTTGGTTCGGATGTTATACCTCAGAAGGAATGGAAGACGATGTTGAGAAGAGAGTATTGCCAGGACTCTGAATCTGAGCCTGAGTCTGAACCTTGAGAGTGCCTTACATGAGTCACCTAGCTAGAGCGTAGACCATCACACAGCGTCTCAGGACCAAGAGCTCTTATGCTTGTTTTCTGAAGATCTAGTATTCAGCGTGCATCTGAAGCATAGCCGAGTTCCCGTTCGAGTCGGTTATCCATGTATGGAAAACTATTTACCAATGGTATAGGCTTAAGTAGAATAATCTTCAGCATACCACATGTTTAGCACCCCTATCCAACTACGTCTGATTACATGGGATTCGTTTATGCTGCTTTCCCAGTAGCCACTCAATCCGTTAGTAATATTTCTTGGAAATGGATCTAGGTTGGCATGTCGGGCACCCAGTTGCGACAGGGTCAGAAATTAGTGCGACAGTGTCAGAACGGAGCTGGAAAAACAGTTCAGTCAGAGTCAGAGAAATCCTCATACACGTGATTTAAACTCTTTGAAATAAAAATTTACAAAAATCCCTGATACCCTAAATATCCTAATAATCCCTCAAACGACCCTAGAATATCCTGAAAATATAGATATAATAACTGATTTGTTTCAGAAAAGCTCGTACGGAGTCAGAAAAACTCGGTCTGATACTGAGTATATTTGCATGTGATAAAGCTCATCCGATGTCAGGATTTCTCTGAACCGAACGCACTAATTTCTGGCCCCGTCGCAACTGGGACCCCTGGCATGTCCCATATTAGATAGTAAGTAGCAGGGCGTCTGGTAGTGATTCTTCGCTGTACAGAATCCAGAAATGAATATATATGCTCAATTAACACTTATATGCGATAAACTTCCGTAATATGCGAACCAAACCATATCATACACCCACCATCCACCCATCATCCAGAATATACACCGAAGAAACCAGAATAACCCTGAAACATACTTACTTCAGTTACACCCCTTCCCTTTTTCTCCCCTCCCAAATGGGCAAAGCTGATCACCCCCAAACCACCCTCCTAATCTTCACATTCGCAACATGCGTAACAGCCACGACCCCCAACCCGCCCCCGGCCCCGGTCAAGACCAAAAACAATCTTTCCTCTAACCCCTCCTCGGTCCTCCACTTATCATGATACGCCTTCTTTCCCTGAATGGACGGCAGCCGTCTGAACGCAAACCGATACGCCCCTCTAGCAAGATGCTCCAACGGGCCCCTCAACCCCCTGACCTCACCCAGCTCCTCCAACGGCTCAAACCCAACACTCAGATACGACACCCCGGCATGCCGACACAGCGCCATCGCAGCAAACATCAACAGGTCTGTCAGTCCCTTGGGAGCTGTCGGCAGCGCAACGCACGGATCAATATGGTATCCATTGTTAGCGCCGCAGTAGCGTAGGGCTGCGAAGGCGAGCGGCACGCCGTCTTTATCCTTGGCGTAGATGTATGTCATGAGGGAGGGGAGGAGGGTCGAGGAGAACGGGGAGGTGTATTCGGTGATGAAGGCTTGGGGGGTGGTGGAAGTGTTGCGGGTGGTGCGCCAGGTTGTGTAGATATCCTGTAATTCATTTTCCAATGTGGTATTGCTGCCAGGGATGTATATGTCTAGGGTTATGCCGCCTTTATTTGGGTTTAGGAGTTGTTTGTTCTGCAAGAGGAGACGCTTTCCGGTTGATTCGTTGAGGAGGGCGTTGGTGGTGGGGTTGAGGACGCGTGAGGTCCCGAAGTGGAGCATTGTCCAGTTGTTGGTGGATTTGCTGCCGGTTAAAGTCTGGGTTTCGGCGTAGTGTGTAAGACGCGGGCTGGCGCCTAGGAAGGCCATGCCGAGGAGGTGGGCTTTGCGGTAGGTTTTGAATTCGGAGAGGAGAGATGGGATGTTCTCTTCGGAGCTGATGGGGTCGCCGGCTATGATGGCCGTTTGGTGCACGACTTTGAAGCAGAGCGCCGCGGTGTGCGTGGTGTTGAGGAAGATGGTGTAGCTCGGGTCGAGGAGGGACATGTGTGAGACTTGGCTGTGTTTGGCGGCTAGGTGGGTGATGGTGGTGAGGATGGGGAGGGAGGTGGTGATGGGTCCGGCGAGGGTTATGATGCGGTTGGAGGGAAGGGGTGGGTGGATGGGTGACGATGAGGGTTTGTGGAAAGAGTCATGGCTTGTGCGGCTGGAGGGGATGCTTTTGAAGTCGGAGGTGGAGGTTGATGGGGACGAGGTGATGGTGCTGCTGCTGTTGATGCTGAGGTTACAGTTGATGATAGATGAGGGCTGAGGAGCGAGAGGATGGTGCACAGGTGCCCAGTGGGTGACGGGACAGTCGAGTCGGGCTTGTAGGAGACGCTCGTACAGCGATTGTCCGATGGTGTCGGCCAGCAGCACCTTGGTGTTGGACTGCTGGGATTTCTTTTGCTTGCGGGGGGTGGATGAAGTCATGTCGGAGTATTCATATGAAGTATGTAGGATTGATATGCTCAGTAGATGTAGAGTACAAGTACATATAGAAGAGAGTAGGAACAGAGGAGAGTGCAAGCAGAAGAAGTGCCGCACTTGGACTCGAGACATATAGGAGAAACCGGACAAAGAGGAGAAACCCTCTAGGCTGCCGTCAGCACTGCCATTGGGCACAGCGTGTGAGCGAGGCGCTGAACTGCCCGAAGCTGTTGATCGGCGCGAACCCTGCCTTGTGGGGCCAGCGACAGTAATTTACACGGACATCGCCGTTATGAGGAAGCCTAGATGGCTAGTACTTAACAATAAAGGTTTCATCGAGAGGGAATCGCCATTGACGACAATGGGCTTGAGTGGTCGGTACCAATCTTTCGCCTTTCGTCACTCTCTTTCTCTTAGTATCCCGTCTCTGTTAAACGCAATCATCGTGAAGAACTGTCTATTCCCTGGAATATGGCTGCCTGGTGTGCTGCATGATTGTTTCGTCTGGACCCTATTTGTGGCATCCAGGGTACAGCCATTGTGGGGCGACAGGTGTATTCGGGGGCTGTGATTGGCCCGGCGGGCTAATCCAAAAGCTTAGGGGTCTCGCCTTGCGGACCAAAGGCTTGTTGGTCAGCCCTATATGCAGCTCGGAATCCGCGGGTTGCCAGGCATCTGTATACTGTGGTGGCTGAGTGTCAGAGATTGATGAGTAATTAAAATTTTTTAACTAACGTTACTACATAATTATGAGTGCGAAATAGTGTATTACTACAAGCATTAGCTAAGGATTACTGCCTGTGCACAGTAAGCTCGTCCTACTCCATGATTCTACTAGTCTTAAAACTATTGCCTAGTAGAACGAGCTAGCACAGCTTATACCTAATTAGCTTCCTCTTCATATTATCATGGTCACCTTCAAATCTTCACCCGTTCCTTACGCCAATTCCATCCATAACACGATGTCCCACACACGACCCGATCAAAACTACATCTCCACACACTCATCTCGGAACGATCTCGGAATGATTCCATCGGAACCACGTGATACCAGCAAAAACTGGCAATTTTTTCACAGGAACAAAATGAGTCAAAAAAAGAAATTCTCAATTATTTATTCCAATCTTTCCTAGTCATTAGCCCGTTATTAGTGCACCCGATCATAGCCGATATCATTCATTATCTTCATCATGCATCGACTGCGTCTCCCCACCATGCCCAAAACATGCATTCGGCCCCAGCTGCAAACCCGCCTAATCAGCACCCCCTCACAACCCAAGCCAACCCCCGCACGCGCACACCAGAAGCCTCACAAATATGACTTGCACATTCTCCCCGCGGCACCTAGTGACAGCCCCGCCATCGCGGACGTCTTCCTGCATGCTTTCTCTGACCCGTTCAGTCGACGCATGTTTCCCATCACTGACGATGTGCGTAGCTGGTGGGTTGACCAGTTTAGACGTGATATTGAACAGGCGCGGGATGCTGCGAATCCCAGCACTGCGTTCTTGAAAGTCACTGCGGGTGAGGAGGGGACTGTTGCTGCGTTTGCTAAATGGTGGTATCCTGCGCCGTCAGAGGGATTACCTTTGGATGGTGAGAAAAGTCAGACCAAGACTGTTTGGCCCCCAAGCTCGGATGCCGATCTCTGTGAGCGGTTCTTTAGTTTGATGGACAGTGAGAAGAAGAGGGTCATGGGAGGGAGAAAGGAGGGGTATTTCTGTGAGTTGTCCTTTTAGTATCATTATCTGTCTGAGCCATGCTGACCGCTCAGACCTCGACATGCTGGGCACTCACCCCCAGTTCAACGGCCGGGGCATCGGATCAAGATTACTGCGTTGGGGACTAGACCGGGCAGACGAGAAAGGCGTGCCGACTTTCTTGGCTTCCACGCCTGCGGGACGGCCCCTGTATGAGAAGTATGGGTTCGAGGCGGTGGAAGAGTACGAAGTGATTCCGGGATATTTCCAGGCGTCGATGGTCCGGGAAGCAAAGTTTTTATAAATATGACATGTATAAAGTGTGTATAATAGCATAGAATAGACCCACATGAACATACGTTCACATCATCAGCGGTGAACCATTTATCTCTTTCCCATTGAGGACGCAATCTGCAGCTGCTAATAGCAGGCCACGTAACCCCAAAAATAGGGCCAACCACGGATGATCGGCTCAGCCCTACAGGGCGGGCCCCACCCCATTCCCAGGCCCAATCCGGCCAAATAACCCATCTGCTCCCTCCCCCAACCCCCGTTTCCCATTTCCCCCTTCTTTTCTCTCTTCCTCTCTCTCTTCTTCCCTCCTCACCCCATGTCCCTCCCCCATGGTGGTCCAATTCCCACACCACCATGTCGTCCCCCATCCCTAAGCTCCTCCGCGAGTCGAGCGACCTCACCATCACCTCCGCCTCCACCCCCAGCACAACCACCTCCTCCACTACCATCATTCCTACGAATAATGTAACCTACACCCGCGCCTCCCGAAAGCCGTCCACCAAGCTCACCACCCTCAATCCCTTCCGCAAATGCTCCTCCCGACAAAAACAACACCACACTCGTTTCCAATTATCTCACCAACCTCTCTTCCGCAACTCCCTCCTCGCCGGCGTCGGCTTCCTCGAGCTCGCCAACGCAGCCGACTTTGCCGCCAATGTATGGAACCAGATCCCCGTCCCGAAATACGCGATGGTGTTTATGGCTATCGGTGGACCAATCGCTCTCCTCATAACCTTAGTTGCTGCTCGAGACTTCTACCTGAGTTACACGAACATGCAGCTGCTCCTGAAAGAACGTCGGTACCTGCGCGAGCTACTTGATTCCGTTACCACAACAAACACCACCACCACCACCACAACAACAACAACACAAAACACAAACACTAATACGCAAGCCGAAATCCTTCTACGGAGTAGACTAAGCGTCAACTTCCGCGAACTCGGCACCGAAATCGTCGACCGCATCCTCATGGACGCGCTGATGGGATTCGGCGCGCTCCTTGTCGGCACGGGCACCATCATGGCGATCTTCGGAGCGAACCACCACGTCTACGTCGCGAGTAACTTGCTGAGCGGGTACATAGGCAATGGATTAGCAGCAGTATTCGGGCTCGTCAATGCGATCTGGTCGGGATATTTGGTAGGCAGGTTTCAGGTTTGCTGGGGTGTTTGCCTTAATATCACCGATACAAACACCACAACAAGGGAGGTAAACAACCATGTGACGGAAGTCACCACCATCACCACCACAGATACAGACCTGGAAGCAGAAGTGAAAATGTACAAAGACCCCCTGAAGCTCCGCTTCCGCAGCTTGCAATTCCATGCGCTCGTTAATGGGATTAACGGGCTTGTGGCGGGCGCAGCGAGCATGGTTACAGCAACGATGTGGTACGGGTATGTGGTGTTGGTGCCGTGCATTGTGAGTTTGATCGCGTGTAACTGGTTTTGGAGGGTCAGGGTCGGGTATGATCGGCCTTTGTTGTCTTCGAGTACTTCTGCTTCGTTGTTGTCAACTGCGGGTGCAGGGAGGCGAGGTGCTGGTGGTGGTGGTACAGCTACCCCTACTACCAATGGAAATGGGGGAAGTGGAGGGAATGAAAAAACCGACCTCCTCCTCGACCTCAGCAGCGCGACACATCTCCATCGCTTGCTTGCATCATCCACCAAAGACAGTGGGATACAGTTACCCCGACACATCCTCAACCGCCAGAACCCATCGTCCGTCATGTCTTTCCTTACCCGGAATGGCATGTTCGAGGGGTTCTGCGTCTGGATTGATCATGATAAAACCCTAGAAAGGGGCGTGGAGGATTTACTTGATCTTGACTCATTAATAACCTCCCCTGAGGGGAATAACAATAACGAAAAGCCTAACGAGGAGACTATCAATGAAGAAGAGGAGAAGGGCAAGGAACTCTCCCTCACAGCCGACGATTTCTTGACTCTCGCGCGCCACGACAGCGACATCCTCCTGCGGAAGATGAACGAGTATCTGGATGGGAATGTTGTCCGGGCTGTGGCGTATCGCGAGAGGTTTTTGTTGGAGGTGTTGGGGGTGGTTGTCTATTTGGAATCTATCCCTAAGGATAATGAGGAGGTGGAGAGGAAGAGGAGGTGGTGGTTTGGGTGTTTATAAAGTTGTGGATTTTATACTAAGTAGTACCTGGTGTATTATGTGGTATGTGCTGGACACAGATGATGGTGGGTGGTGTGTGTGTGCATGCTTGCGTGCATTAGCTTGATTATTTTTTTTCGCTCTGGATATGCTGTATATGCTGGCATAGATTACTAGATTAATATTGATGTGGATGGGATGGGATGGATTGGGTAATGTACTAATAATGTATCATGTGAATTTCATCATCTCATATCATATCATGTCCTTTGATATTCCTCTATCGTAACTTCTGTATGTAGCAGTCCTTATCTGGAGGGCACCATCGGCTTCATTCTACATATACAGGCGCCTTCACCAACACATTCATCGGTCCTCTCCCCCTCACTTCTGCCGTCACAAACGAGGCGAACCGGATGCGTCCCGGTCCGCGCTCGCGCTCCTCTCGTGTCTCTCCGGCTGGTGCGGACGGTCCTGGCCGCCGTCCCATCAGCGAGCTGAACACCGACCGCATGCGTTGCTCCCGCTGCGGCGGTCCAGTGTCGCCTCCCTCAGCCTCGTCCGGGCCCTCTGCCCGCTCCTGCTCGGCGGAGCCACCCGACTCTGTCCGCACATGGGTCAGTGGCGGCAGCCCCGTCTCGACCTTCATGGTGCTCTCCTGGACGACTGTCCCCGGGAGAATGTACTCGACGCAAATGTCGCGTGACTCCAGCGGGATCTTCTCTGCAATGCCCACGGCGTTCTCCACGATCATGCGCGCCCCGTTGTCCAGCCCCGGCGGCGGCGGATCGTGCAAGTGTGCTACCAGCGTCGCCACCAGGCTGTTGATCAGTCGGTCGATGAGCTGGGCCCGGTACTCGTCCGCCTGCGGACCCTGCAGGTTCGTGAGCCCGTCCAGCGTGGTGCGCCGCCAGTTGGAGATGCGCGCGATCGCATTCTCCTTGTCTTCCTCTGTGGAAGGCTGCGCCTGCTGTCGTCGCAGGTTCATCTCGATGCTTTTCAGCTGGCAGCTGAAGGTGGGCTCCAAGGCCGGGTGGAAGTAGCGCTCAAACAGCTCCTCGACTAGCCACCGGCTCACCACCGCTCGTCCGATTGCTGTCATCTCCTTGGTGCCCGTGGTGTGCGCGTCATCATTGACGAACCCGTTCAGCCAGGAGGGCAGTGTTGCCCAGTCCTTGCGGATAGAGAAGGCGAGATCTTTGATCGCACCGTCCAGTCGACCGAACCGATTGGCATACTCATTGTCGTCCAAGACGGTGCGGGAGACGGCCATACGTTGGTGTGCTACAGTATTCTGAAGGTGCTGTACCTGCGCTTCCTTTTCGAAATAGTAACGCTTGACCTTGGAGTATTTCGCCTCTGCACCTGATTAGCAATGGTTTCATCCCAGGGCAGCTGCAGCTACTTACGAAGCTCGTCATGCTTCTGGACCAAGGCCCGCACATCTATCTCAGCGGCATCCTCACGATCACGCCGGCTGTCACGCGAACTGGGCGTATTCCGGCCCTGCTCCGGCGTCGACGCAGTATTGTTCCGGAAGCCAGCTTCCGATGGATAAGGGGAATGCCCAGGGACAGGAGACTGTCCTGGGGGCGCGGAGGGACGATCGGGCATGCCACTGGCAACCGTGTCTTGATGAACGGGGAGTGGGCGTAATGGTGAAGGGGGCCCAAGGGATTGGCGGGAAGAAGGTCGAGGGCCGACCGTGGGGTCCAGTTGGGGCGGTGTTGGGGCCAAGTCAGCGGGCTGTCGGGACGGCTCCACCGGTGACGGACGAGTAAGATGTTCCAGCAGGCCGCTGTCGGTATTGGAGCGTTGGACGGAAGGATGCGGTGAACGAGGAGGTCGGGTGTCGAGCGTCGGCGTCGGACCTGTGTTCTGCGGCATGGGGGATCGACTCGGTGGCTGCTGTTGTGCTTGAACTTGGTTCCGCGGGGGCTGAACCGGAGATTCTGCAGGAGTATGAGACGGTGTCGGAGTTTGGGATTGAGGTGGTGGCTGAGGTGCCTGACCCAGAATTGGCGCCGGCGGCTGCTGTTGCTGCGGTTGTTGCTGTTGTTGCTGCTGCGGTTGTTGGGGTCGACGGGCTTGAGGAACCTTGGGCCACGGGGCGTCTAATTCATGCTCTCTCGACCAAGAGGTTCCCGGGCGGCGTTCGGACGTGGTATCGATGGATAACGGTCGCTGTTGTTTGGATGGGCGACCCGTGGAGATTTTCTTGACCGACCGGCTGCGCTGCAGTATTCCGGACTGGTCGCGCGCGGCTGCTGACGAGTGAAGCGAGAAGAGACTGCGACGGGATTTGCGAGGTTCTGGCTCGACGGGTTGCAGTGGCTCGGGTGGCAGCGGCCACGACTGATTGAGAGGGTCAGCATCGAGGATGGGTGCAGGGGACGCTGGCCGTACCGGCGTGTCGTCGCTGCTGTTGTTGCCTCGCGGGCTGGTATGACGCTGACTTTTGGAGCGACGCAGGGGATAGGAGGTGGAATATTCCTGGGTATTATTGTCGTGTTGGTAGAGTTGCGGAGAGGCACCTGGCGTGGTGGAGGTGGAAGCAGAAGCAGAAGCAGTGGTGGTGGTGGTGGTGGTGATGGTGTTGACAGCGGTGGAAGAAGGCGGGGAGGCAGTGGTGGTGGTGTTGGTGGTGGATGAAGTGACAGGCAATGGAGGGAGTCGCTCGCGGGAGGTGGAGACGGAGAAACGACGGTCGAGATCGTCGTCGGGGTAGACGCCAGGGGCAGCGGGCAGATGCTCGACAGATCGGAATGCAGACGCGGCAGCAGACGGCTTGTGCTTACGGCGAAAGAGGGGCATGGAGAAGGGTGAGGGAAAGGAATGATGGGAGAGAGAGAAGGGGGAAGTGAGAGAGAGAGGGAGAGAGAGAGTAAGACGGAGGAGAAGAAGGAAGGGAAAGAGGAAAAAAAAAAGAGGAAGAGAGAGGGGACAGAGAGAGATAGACCAATGCAGGATGAGATGGGATTCAATAAAGAAAGTGAGCCATTGGGTCCGGGCGGCCCCCAAGACGGGCTAAACTTGCACAGCCATTGGACTCGAGGCCAAACAACTACTAACAACTTAACAAGACAAGATACTAGTTCAAGGCTGGTGCTGACGGTCGCCCTTTTAGCTGCAGTCCAAAGCCTCGCCTCCACGTTTCACCCTTTACTAGTAGAGACCATGGGAGATCCACTGTCAACACCTTGAATGTCTCAATTCATTCGCATTCATGTATCGGAGATGTCTAGCATCATTGTATCCGTAATATGTCCATGCTTCATATACAGCCCATGTCCACCATCCTCCCCCTGTTATCTAACAGAGTCTACTCTTAACACACACCGTGAGTCTTGCCATGCTTGCCCTGCAAGGAATGGCTCTCGTTCTTGTAGTGAGGGTGCACATGCTTAGACTTGTGCGAGTTGGTCGAGTGCACCCGGACATGACTACTTCCGTTAGCCTGTACTCAAAGTAGTTGGCACAATTCTCATCCAGGGCAACTTACTGAGTGTACCGCTCCAACATCGCCTTGTCCATGTCGCTGAGCGTCTTCAAGGCCAGCTTAATGTCCGCCAGCAGCGCATCGCACCGGTTCTTGCTAAAGTCCTCGCGCACCACCACCCGCATCAGCTTCAGCGAGTTGCTGTTGGGCGCCATAGTGTACGCCGGGACGATCCACCCACGCTCACGCAGCTGGTGCGCCAGCGCAAACTCGTCAAACTGCTCCGAGTCGCGGTCCGCCGGCAGCCGGAACGCCACCAGCGGCAGGCCCTTGCCGCGACGCTCGCTCATGATCACAAAGCCCAGCTGCTCCAGCTGGTCGGCTAAGTAGTCGGCAGTGCGTGTGATGTTCGTCATGATCGACCGGTAGCCCCGCTTGCCCAGTCGGATCATCTGGTAGTACTGTCCAATGACCTGAGACGCGCCCTTAGAGAAGTTCAGCGTGAAGCTGGCCTGCTCGGCTCCCAGGTAGTTGATGTTGAAGATCAGCTCCTTGGGCAGGTATTCGGGCGAGCGCCAGACGACCCAACCAACACCGGGGTACACCAACCCGTACTTGTGACCAGACACGTTGATGGACACCACCTTGGACAGACGGAAGTCCCACTCCAGGTTGGGGGCAACGAAGGGAGCGACGAAACCACCACTGGCGGCATCGACGTGGATGGGGCAGTCAATGCCCCGCTCGACGAGGAGGTCGTTGATGGCCTTGACGTCCTCGTACTCACCGGTGTAGGTGGTGCCCAGGATGGCACAGATACCAATGGTGTTCTCGTCCACCAGGTCCACGGCCTGCTTGGGATCAATGACGTAGCGGTCTTCCGTGCAGTAGACGTAGCGCTCCTCAACATCGAAGTAGCGGGCGGCCTTCTCCCAGCACACCTGGACGGCACTGTTCATGACAATGTTGGGCTTGGAGGCATCCTTGCCCTCCGCCCTGCGCTTGTTCTGCCACCGTCTCTTCATGGCCAAGGTGCCCAGCATGATGGCCTCGGACGAACCGATGGTAGAGGTACCCATGGGGTGTTCGTCATCACTGTCGGTGGGAGCGTTGAACAGACGGGCGATCATGTTCACACAGCGGTTTTGGATCTCAGCGGATTGGGGGTATTCCTCGTAGTCGATGAAGTTCTTGCTGAAGGACTCGGTCATGAGCTTCTCAACTTCCTCTTCCTACTCGAATTAGCATTGGCCTGGAATTCTTAGAAAAAGGACACTTACCATGTAGGTTGTCACGAAACTCGCAAGGCTGTCAAGAAATCAGCATCTGCACATGTCTTGCTATCCACAGAACCTACTTGAGCATGGGGTTACCATCCAGACTGAGCTCATCCTTGATCATACGGTAGGCCACCTCACGGGGCATCTCCCGCTCCGGCATCTCAGTCGAGGGGAGCTGCTCCGTAGCAAAACGAGTGCCGTAGACGCTGGAGTAAAAGGCATCGTCCTCAGCAGAGTCCAGCTGGATGGAGCCGACCTGTTGAGCGGTCTTCTCGACATCACTGTCGCGCTTAACCTGAGCAAGATGGACCATTGTGCCGAATTGGGATGTGTAGATGTGAATGAATAGTGAGAAGAGAGAAGAAAGTGATGCTAGAAAACAGCCACAGGAAAAAGGGGGAGCGCAGTGATGTAAATAAGAGAAAGGAGGGGCGCAACAGCAGGCTCCCACCATCAGCCAACGGCCGTCAATCCAGTTAGCTCATTGAAACTGGTCCCCTGCTCCCTGCTCTGGCCTGCCGCAACATCCGTCAGCTCAGACAACACGGGAGGAGGGAACAGCCAACGAGTGGCTGTTGTCCTCAGCCCCGAGAGGGGAGTGGCAGCCACTCATGGAGCCCCTTTCCTGTAGCTCAGACAGTGTCCGAAATCCTAGACTAGTGCTGTAAACGCCCATTGCCAGTGACGGAGGGACGCAGCGAGTGGGTATCGAGGTTTGGGACCCCTCTCTCGTGTGGCCGGATGGGCGAATCACCAGACTGTGACCAGGGACACGGCGCTAAAGCTTAAGGAAAGCTTGGCCTGGATCGGTCGGCAACCGGTGGGAATTGTCTCAGCCACGATGGGAATGGAGTCAAGATGGAGACTGATTCACCCAAAAGTCCGAAAGAGGGGAAACCGAGGACGAAAGGGAGGCGCGAATTTCCTCATCGTGGGGCGGCAAGTGGAGGGGCTGACGGAGGGATCGGCCAGGCAAGTGATATCATGGCTGACTAGCCGATCGAGAGGATTCCCTTTCTTGGAAGGCCTTGGAAGGATCACCAGAAAAAAAGAAGGAGAAGAGAAGGCAATAGTACTCAATAGTGACCAGATAGACAGGAAACGTGTGTGGGGGAAGACGAGAGTCTCCCAGCAGAGGAATAGTTGCGAGTTTGAAAAGAAGCTATTGATGGAGCAGTTGAGAAAGAAGCGGCAGTCGTCACGGGGAATTCTTTTCCTGTGGTTCCAACTAAACCCAAACTGACCCTGGCCTATGCCTCGTAATAATTAATTAATTCCAATAACCACTGCCGTGGTCCTCGTCGCTGTGATGTAAATGGCGGTGAATTGCCGTGATGTGTTGTCCTTTTGGCAACTATCCACTCTTGGGAATGGCTTCGCCAAGCGCCCGGGTTGGCAGCTCCAGCTATCGGTCTCTCTCTCTCTCTCTCTCTCTGCTACAATAATTATAGTGCTACGTCAACCTTCAAAGAAAAAAAGAATGTTTCAATATCCTCCGGAACCACCGAATCAAAACAATAATCAAAATCATCATATTTCCCCTCCATTACCATTAAAAGCCAATTACATACACATCGTCCCAGTCTCGGCCCATGCAGCCAGCCCAGATGAACATGAACATCAACATGAACGTGAATGTGAACATGAACCATACATCCGTCCGAAATACAAAACACTGCTTTGCAGCATCCCAATCAGAAAGCCCAGTCCAGCCCAATCAAGCAATCAAGCAATCCAATCCCTGGTGGTATCCTATCCTGGCCATTCATATCGTACACCCGCCATCCATCATCATACTAGTATGGCGTTATGTTATCTCTGGTATCTTTCTGCCTAGCCTGCATCATTTTTTTTTTCTTCTTTTTCTTTTCCCTTGTTCCAATTTTTTATTGGGTTTTGTGTTTTCCTTTTTTTTAAATATCCATCACTCCATGCAATCATCCATGTTGGGGTATCAGCAATATGGGCTCCTGGGTCGGCAACCGCTCACCAAAGGAGCCAAAAGATCATTCCGGAGGAGAATATCCTCCGGCAGGAAACGAGCATAGAAACAAGGCAGAACTCTAGTTCTTCTCACCCTTGATCTTGCGCTTGAGCCAGGCGAAGAGTCCGCTCTTGCGCTTCTCGGCCTTGCTGCTTTCCGACTTGGCAGTCTCCTGGGGCTTGCCGGCCTCGCCCTTCGCCGTGTCCTTGGCCTGCTCAACGCTCGTCTTGCCTTCCTCAACCTTCGGGGCAGCGGCGCTTCCCGCTTGCTGGGTCTCTTGTCCAGCTTGAGCGGTTTCGGGCTGAGTAGTAGAGGTGCCTTCCGTCTGAGGCTCCGCGGACTTGACCTCCTCGGCTTTCTGAGCAGCAGCGCCTTCCTCTTTCTGAACCGCCGATACGCCTTGAGTCGCCGGGGTCTCAGACTTCTGGGCTTCTTCCTGCTGAGGCTTCGTGTCCTTGATCGTCGAGGGAACAACGCTGCGACGCTTTGAAGACTCCTGCGCCTTGGCCGCCTGCTCCTTGTCTTCCGCGGCCTTCAGGGGCTGTTCTGCCTCAGAGGCAGCGGGTTCAGCAGTGGACTTCTCCACAGTCTGGTCTGCCGCTCTGCTCTCCTGTTCAGAGGGCCTAATGATGGTGCTGGGAACAACAGCAATAGGCTCGCTGTCTGCGGCTGCGGTCGGGGCCTTGGTGGCCGCTGCTGGACTCGGCTGTGTCACCTCCTCGGACGCCTTCTTGGTACCGCCAGTGCTCTCTGGCGCTTCAGAGGTAGGTGCTCCAGAGGGAGCAATGGCTGCAGCAGTCTCTGGCTTGGTAGAAGCTTCCACTGGAGCGACAGCTGTCGTGCCAGCAGCCTCTACGCCGGATGGCGCTTCGGTAACCTTTGCCGGGACACTCTCGGTGGTTTGAGGCAGTGTAGTGCTGGACGTAGCTCCAGCATCCTTGCCCGTCGCGGCAAGCCCGGGAACTTCCAAATCCTTCGATGCCTCACCTGCGGAGCCAGCACCAAGCCCGGGGACAACCTGTGGCTGGACAGTGGTGCCACTAGGAACTTGAACGGTGTCTGCAGCGGCTGCCTTCTCGGTGGCAATGGCTGGTTCATCCTCCACCTTGGGCATCTTGTGGGGCTTGTAGTCGTCCTCCTTGGTGGTGACGCTGCTCTCGTAGGGGCGCTTCACGTGGGCATCGGCGGTCTCGGGCTCGAGGGCACTGGTTCTGACTGGCAGGGATGTGGTATCCGCATTGGAAGCTTCGAGGGCGGAGGTAGAAGGTAGTACAGCTGGTGAGGACCGTCGTTAGTAAACCATCAGCCCTGCGCAACATGCGCAACCGTTGAGCTCAACTTACTCGTTCCCTCCTCCACTGTCTCCTCCTGGGCAGTCTTCGTCTTCAGCGCAGCGTCATCTGTGATGCCATCGTTTACCTTGGGGAATGCGGTATTGACTGCATTTGAGGCCTCCTCAGTGAAGTTAACCGGAGGGGCAACCGCGGGGACAGGCGCGGTGGTGTCAGTAACGGTGGCCTCGGGTACCGCAGTAACTGCAGGACCAGTTTCAGCCGCGGCGGCTTCGCTACCACCCTTGGCGACAATTTCAGGGACGGTGGTCTCGGGCGCCGTGGTCACACCAAGGTCGGCTCCAGCCTTAACGTCGCTTTCCTCCTTGGTAGCTGTTTCGGGGACGACAGTCTCAGGCACAGTAGTGTCAGTGACGCCTGCCTCGGTAGCGACAGCTTCAATCTCACTGTCGCTCTTGGGGACTGTTTCCTCAACCTCGTTGGCCGGTACACTGTTCCGGAGAGAAAAATGTCAGTGTCATTGTGCGAAATAAGCCTGCGAATGACAACACAACAGCACAATTGGGGGCGCAATTGAGTTCAACTCACACATTGTTCTGGACGTCGACTGCTTTCTTCGCAGCCGCGGCAGCACCACCGCCCTTCTTGCCCTTGCCCTTGTTCTTTCCTCCTTTCTTAGGCATTGTGATGGATTATCCTGTGCAGCAGCGATCTTGTTAGAGCGCGGGCGATGACGACAACGACTCAATGCAGCAGCTGTGGGTGAACAAAACTTACTGTCTGTGCGAGCGGAATGGACACGAATCGTGGATGCGAAACGTCGAGGTCGTGCGATTCCAAGAATGGGGATTAAGAACCAACGGCAGATGAAGTGGGAAGTTAGGGGCGGGCTGGTCTGGTATGTTGCCCTGTGGCCCTTTCCGATTGCCTAAATCGATTCGGGGAACGTTAATCCGTGGAGGGCCGGGACAAGGTGCAATTAATTTGGGCAACGCTGGAACACCGGCACTTGATTTTGTTTTGAGCTGCACGCGACAAGTGCAATGCAATGTGAGTAGACTCGTAGCCCGTGTTGTAGTCAAGCAGGTGCCAGTCGCACAGGAACAATCTTTGAATGAATGCTGTGGGAGCGGGGGAATCCAAACGAGGGCGAAAGTCACGCCGCGGTCACATGGGGTCGTGTCGAAGGGGACGACAGGGTAAGATTGGAAGGGGTACAATGCACGCGGATCCAAATATGGGTGGAATTGCGCGTGGGTTGAGGGTTGCAGATGTTTATTACCTGCAGGCGCTTTCCTTGGGCTCGACTTGAATCCCTACAAAGCTCCTTCATCTCCTTTCAACACTCTGCTCTCAGTCATGACTACAAAAAAAAAAGACAAGAATCACGTTGGCCAGCCATGATGGCGGTTGCTATTCTGCACCAGACCGAACCCAGCTCATGCGCTGCTTGCGGCTTCTACAGGAATGGCAATTACGAAGCGATTGAGTGTCAATCTGTATGGCAGCTGGAGCTGGCGCACATCCCCCTGATTCCGGCGATTCGGGACTGTACCTGCAGCATGGGCTTAACAAGCCATGTTAAGCGGACTAATTCTCAAGCTTGCAGACGATCCCCATCCCGCCCGACGGGCCCTGAGTTTATCCGAGGCGAGCCGTCCGCACAAGGCAAGGTCTCACTTGACCCGGAACGAAGTACAATGCCATTATGCATGGCTCACAGCTAATTAATGAGAGGTTGAACTTGCAGGATATCTATTGAGCCACTAACCAAAACTATCAGGATCATCAACCACAGAATCCCGTCTGCTGCTACACAACCTTACTACGAGGTACTTTGTAGAAAGAGGTACAGAGTACGAGGTGACGGTGACACCCGCGCCCGTGTTCAATCGGTCGATTGCATCATGAAGCATGCCGTCGGGTCCAGGATCGGCCAAACCCGGACAGGGAATGAAGGTCTGGGACCGTTTCCGGTCAACATGCCAGCCGTCGTGTCCTTAACCAATTCAGTAGTGAAAGCCAAGAACGAGCCATCCACCCTGGATAGACACAGTATAGACTACGGAGTACTCATACTATGGCTTTCTCTAATGTAGGCATCACGTGGCTATAGCTCTAATTTGACACAACCCACCACAGAAACGTCTGGTATATATTGAGTGGCTCGAGCTGGAACGGCCCCAAACGGCAGCGCAAGGTGGCCACTATGGCCACTATGTACTTCTGCATCCCTTGCTGGTGACAGGTGGCCAAGTTGTCAATCTCGTCTGCGCCCCCACTGTCGGGGACGTATGTATACATGCCCGAAGAAGTTTACGGCGAACCTGAAGGGCGTCTGGGAGGCAAAACCTGGGGTGTGTTGCTGCCATGACATCATGATGGAAGGAGTTGATGGCGGTTGCGATGCCACGCCGAGTTGACGGCCCAACAACGTGCCAGATTTGGTAAGCCCCCTTGCGTCTCACACAATCTAAGTTTCAGTTCGTGGTGATTTGGTGGTTATGCATGGCTGCGATGTACATTTCCACACTGCGTGCCTGACGAAAGCGAAACAAAGATATATCAAATATGAGCATTAGGCATACCCTAGAAGGGTGAGAGATGCGATAGAAGCAAAAAAAGAATGACCTACGCAGGACTCGAACCTGCAATCTCTTGATCCGTAGTCAAGCGCCTTACCATTGGGCCAGCAGGCCTATTTGATGGAAAATGATGGTAGCCATTTGTTATATGAGCCAAAGGTACCGTTTTGGTCACCGGAAGTACCGTGCCGAGTGGGGGCAACTCCGAGCACTTCCAGCGGGGCAGTCGGAATCCACGACTATCCCAGCGTTATCATTCGCGCAAACACTTATCGTCCAGAGTTGGTTCATTATCTCATTAGTCAAACCATTTGCTACTGTGTTACTTGTCTGAGAGCCTCTGTCCCAGTGGCACCGTTCTCGTTCCGGCGACTGACGTGGGATGCCACCAAGTACTAGGTAGTCATCTGCCCCAGCCTATCTACATCCGACAGCAAACAGAACGAAACATTCACGAGGGGACGAATGGTGGGTGATGCCGGGGGTCGCAGGGTTACATCCCGATCGCTAAGATGGAAGACAAGAAACACAGAAGATTGACTCGAGTCGGTGGTGGCACGTAGATCGGACCGTCTTGGCTGTGTTTCTGGAATCGTTCGGTGCAGGACCACGACAGCAAAAAACGACGCCTTGCTTGATCTATTTGCCATTGCCACACACACACTCACACTCACACACCATCATGCAAGTTCTGCCGGCTGGGCGATAGTACACCGAGATATACACCTGTCTTCTGCTGCAATTTTACGAGCCCAGCCCAGTCCGTCGGCTGGCCGGCTAGCCAGCCAGCCCTGCAACATGTTGGGGAAAAGTGTAAGTGAGTGGTGGGAAAAGAGAACCTAGAGTTCTCCCTCTTGCAACCCAAATGGATCTCCTCGGCTGGAGATGCTTGAACTTCCCGACCACTCGTAATGCGAGACCCAGTCTGGAGTTGGCGCATCCAAACCATGGTTTAGATAGGACCTTTTTGGCTTAAGGTAGCACCTGTTCTGGCGATGCAACCCGACGGTGAACCTCCCTCCCATGGATGTTTGATTGGAAGGAGGGGACACCGAAGGGGGGGTAGTTTACGGTTCAGAATCAAGGGGTTAGTCAGCCTGGGCTGGGAAAGGCAGAATCGGGACTCGGCACTCCAAGGCCGAGTTTGCAGAGCGCCGCGGAAAAGAATGACAATGAGGGCAAAATGAGCGAAATATTTCATGGGGAAAACACTAAGAAAAATGTCATGTCTGGTTGTGTCCCGCTTGAAGGAGAGGAGGGGAAAGTGAGTGGTGGTGGTGATGACGATGAAGACTTTCTTCGCCATCCTGTCATTCTTTGTACTGCAATTCCCTCTCTCATCATCTGTTATAAGTTATTCTAAATATTAATTCCCTCAAAAGCATGGAATTTATGATCTAGCATATTCCTTCGCCAAGTGACATAAAACCCCAAGACAAGACTAACCTACTGCACGACTTGCTACACTCCGAGTCTCACTCCCTTCTCGTTTCCGGCTAAGAACAATCAGGCTAAGCTTGGGAAATTCACGCACAACCCTCCCTCCAGGTGGATCCTCCACGTTCGGCGTTGTTTCTCGTTCACGCCTCGGATTTGGCCGCAGGTAATCGCGGCTTACCAGTTACCGGGCAAGACACTTTTCTCTTACCCTCCCAAGAAAGTCCCAACCTTCCCAGTCCCAGAGCCGTGGGGTTACCTTGGCCTGTGCAGAGCAAAAGTAAGGTCAAGCGAGCTATGATAAGTCACCTTCCGGTAAGTCAATGGCCCCCCCAGTGCATTCTGGGAATGGTTTACTCCGTTGGATGGAGCCCCGTCCTGGTGGTATGGGACTAACGGCATGGTGCCTCGCACCGCTCGTTCCAATCAGATCCCTTCCACTTTGAACTACGAGTAATTAATTCCCCATCGCATTGTATCATAGGTATGGACGCTGATTCCGATTACTCCTCCCAGTTAGTCGTGCCTTTTCTCTGGCTCTGGCTCTAACTTGGACTGCTGCTCCATTAGTTCCTTGACATAACCCCCATCATATCTCTCTCTCTTCCTTAGTTACTCTTTAGTCTAGCCCTTCCTTCCTTCCTCTCTTCTCCTTCTTACTTACTTCACTATCTACTCTCCCCTCTTCTTCCTTCCTTTCTTTCTTTCTTCCTTTCTTCTACTCTCCCCTCTTCTCCCCTCCACCCCCTCTCCCTCCCACCCCACACTTGGTCTAGGCAAACGATGATACGAGGGTTTCTGGACCTACTCGATTGTCGTCTGTGCTTGCACACCCTCCCTCGCGTCCATTCCCTTCCCGGGAAAGGTATGCAACATTGAGGTACTGAGTCGACGGTTGAACGCATAAACCCTCTTATTATACATCGGTCTTCCACACATATCGGCACCATACACCACCATATCGCCTGGCTTTCCCACCCCGGTCAACATGAGTTTCCGAGAAAAGGTGCGGAGGGTGTTCCGCCGGTCCAGCAGTGGGTCCTCGTCCAAGGGCAAGGGCAATGGAATCAAGATCGAATACTACAAACGCGGTGAAATCCCTCGGTCGAAGTTCAAGGGCCCTTTCGACAAGGAACATCAACGGAAACTTGCAGCATGGTCATTTCAGGACGCCCAAGCGGAACGCCCGCGTACTCCCGATCTCAGCCTCTCCCCCTGTGCATCTATACCGGATTTCCTGAGAGCGCGGTACGAAGAAGACGCCGCCGACGACCTCGCCCCCAATCAGATCCAGACAGTACCACCCGAAGTAGATGTGACAGTTGGTATGTGGAATACTTTCCTTCGTCAGCCCTTTGGGATGTTGTCCAGCCTTGGACCTATCATAAAATATGCCATGTGTAACGATCAGCCATCTGACCAATCACCAGATTCCCCTTCGGTTCACCATGACGAATACGCCTGCGGCCGACAAGGAGAGAGTGGCTCATCGTCATCCACAGCCGTGGAGCCTGAAAGTTACAGCGAGTCCCTGATGACTCTGTTTGCCGACTTCGACCAGGTTGACTCGATCGCCCAGCTGAAAGAAACGATCCGCTACACTTCCCCGGCTGTACGAGCGATTTCGCCGCCCCCCTTGTCGCCCAAGGGGTGTTACATGCCATTCTCACCGGAGGAGCTGACACGGGCGTTGAACGCCGTGCAGATCTGCTCATAGTACCTTTTTTTTAATTCGCTCCGACTTCCGGCAAGATCTTCGCTTCCTCGCATCACGTGATGCCACTTCACTATGGATACCGACCCTATCGACAAATGGTCCCCTTTTCTTTTCTATTTCCGACTCCGCCATCCTTTTCCCACCTTTCTCCTTTAGATTCCTCTATGCGACACAGGTGTGAGCATCTTACCTTCTTCGAACCCTCCCGGCCCGGGTCGCAGAAGGCGGCATTGAATACCCGGTCGTGTTCAAGGCTGCCATTTTTCGTCGGCTGACGCAGTCTACATATGCAATTCAGGCGTGAGGGGCGTCTTGGTTTTATTGCATATGCCTTGGACGGAGTCGGTCCCTTTCCACGCATGAAACGAGCAATGTTCGAAAAAGCGTCTGTTTTGTGCTTTTGCTTCGTGCATTGCGTTTAAGCGTATACCCATCCAACAGAGTTGCTTGGTTTCCCAATCCCGTTATGTGTGCTGGTGCCTAGTGGGTGCCTACTACTAGCACCGAGGAGTATCCCACCGGCCACTGACCAGACTTGTACTTAATGTACCTATCTAACTGTAAGGTAACACAATGAAGAAATAATAAAAAAAGACCTGCCATATATTGTAGTGTACGCAGTAGCACGAAGGAGATTATTGAGCCACCTCGCCTCACTCCAGAAAGCAATAAGCAATAAGTAATAAGAATAAAAGTACCCCATACGGAGTTAGACCAAGCCACTATCGACAATAAGCCTCGTCAATCATTCCATCCTAGTCTGCGCCACACACGCATCATCACCAAAGCCAAACCCAGTGTCAGACACAGTTGACAACAGGGTAATGATTCCCCCCCCCCCCCCCCCCCCCCCTCGCGCCAAGACATTCCAGACTCGATCATCCCTCCGGTCGGATACTTCAGCAAACTTTTTGACTTTTTACCTTTTTTTGATCCATTTAAAGTATATACTTTCTTACTACGGAGTAAAAAGTGACCAGGTAGACTAGACCCGGTTTGATCGACGGTGCCGGAAAGCACTAGTTTGGGTTTTCACTGTTAATAGTGTGTTTGGAGGGGCTTGATTCGGTACGTTGGGTTTTTATCGTAGGCGTTTGATTCTCCGGGCGTTCGGGTCCGGTCGGTCGGTTCGGTCGGGGACTTGAACTTGACGCTTGTTTGCTTGCTTTGCTTCTTAGTGGTGTACTGATGACCTCGATATTATTTTTTTGATATTTTTGTTGTTGTTTTCTTACTTGCATGGTTCGTATTTAATCTGATGCTTATGAGGGAAGGGGGGAGGCTGGCTGGATGGATGATTTTGGTGAAGGAGGGAGGGGTGAGGGATGATGATCATGGTGTGGTGGGTGCAGTGGGTGAGGTGGTGGCTATAGTGTGGAGGGGAAAAGGTGCATTAATACTATCACCGTCTTCTTAGGTCGGCTGGACTAGACTGGACTATGGATGGTAAAGTGGATGTTGCTTCTGGGGTGCGGGACTGGGTTTTCTTTTGTTTTCTTTGGATTATACTATGCTTGTGTTGGTATAATACTATCTTGATGTTTACTGCTGTAAGTACTGATAGTATATATTCACCCGCCACTATGCGGATCTTACTAGTTCATGACGCTGTAGTTTGTCGAGTAGAATTCAACAACCAATCAATAGATTCATCACAAATAAAACAAATTTGCTGGATGCTGATAGCTAATATGTATGCATGTGTTTAGATTGCTTGTGTTCTTCCCAGCTGCTTCTGTTGCTGGTCGATGCGTAAGTAGGTCCTTGCTTCTGCGCTGACGAAGTTAATCTGTACCATTATGTAGCTAGCTAGGTAACTATTGATGGCATGGCTCAGCTGAACTACAAAGTACTTAGTCTACACTATTTCCCATGCTTACTGTCTGCATGTGTTGGATGGGTTTCAAACTATCTGGCTAGATTGGCAATTTCTCCTCGTACTTTCGTACGATCAGCTGTGCCTGTTGTGGTGGGTGACACGATATCCATCAGGACTTGGATGGTAGAGACATTCTGAATTCATACATCTCAATGCGGAGATGAGATTTTTGGGCGAACTCCTCTTACTTGTGTGGTCTTGGAAAATCTTTTAGATGTGGTATTGTAGCGGAACATATTTACATGAGAGCGTGCGTAAGCTTAAGATCTTTGACCTGCAACGCGGAAATAGAAATCAATACTCTAAATCCTGGATAGACCACGTCTTCAACCTTGTTCTAACAAGTCATCGCGTAGAATAACAGAGTGTGCGTACCGATTGACTCATACAGTGCAGTTCTACTGCGACTTTTCTACAGATCCAGATCTCCCTTGCTCTCATTCCTGGCTTGCGATATGCCGGCACCGCCTTTTACCGCTTCGTCCTACATAGTCCTATTAGTTCCCCAATGCCTTATCTGCCTCTCACAATGACTCTATTTCGTCATCATATCAATAAACCCGTTCGCTCTCTGTATTCTAGTACTAGCAAACTAGTATTATCTTCCAAGACCATTTCCCCACTCTGGCCAATAGAAGAAGAACGCAACCCACACTACAATCCTAGGAACTACTATCCCGCCCGAATCGGAGAGACCATAGGGAAATACCATACCATTTCTAAACTAGGATGGGTGCTAATTCCACCGCTTGGTTGGCGAAAGATACATCTTGGTCAGTCAAGCATAGTGTCTAACCGTAGCGCACACTAGATACCTATCTAACACCGCAAAGTTGGCCCTGGCAGTCGAACAGATATGTAACCGTGAAGATCACGAACTCTGGTGCTGAGGAGAAGAAGGCCGCGGAAGATGAACTACAAATATCGCAACATATTTCCGGTCTGCGGTCTGAGCACGAAGGTCGTGCGTATGTCAGACTGGTTCAAGATTCGTTTCAAATACAAGGTATCCTTGGAGACCATCTCTGCTTGGTCTTTGAGCCATTAAGGGAGCCGATTTGGCTTCTAGGACGACATCTTGGAAGTAAAGGGGTGCCTCCACAGGTTCTTAAAGCTTTCTTAAGAGTTATATTGTGTGGCCTGGATTTTCTACATTCTGAATGTCATGTCATACACACAGGTAAGTAAACTATCATCCTGATAGTATCCTATCTACTAACTGACCGCAGATCTAAAAGCCGATAACTTCCTCATCGGATTCGAGGATACTACCGTCCTTGATCAATACGTCCGCCAGCAAGAACTCCATCCCACTCCGCATATTCTTCGGAATGGGCGCCCTGTTTTCGAATCTCGGAACGACTTTGGGCCACTCAAGAGGGGAGTAGGCTTGCTGAGGATTTCCGATTTCAGTGCTGCCGTTTTCGGAAATGTATCGACTCCGCACAACCATGACATACAGCCTCAACCATTCTGTGCCCCTGAGGTTCTGCTAAAGGCTGGTTGGTCGTATAGTGCTGATATTTGGAATTTGGGGACAGTAGTAAGTCAAAAGAAAATGGTTCGTCGTGATGTATACTCACAGTTAGCACTATGCAGCTTTGGGAACTATTTGCCGATGCGACGCTTTTTGATGGATTATCCCACGAACGCGAGGGATATTCCCGGGAGGTACACATCGCCCAGATGATACGGCTTTTGGGGCCTCCTCCCGCACAGTTCCTGAACAAATGTGATCCGCATATACGCAATGACCTGTTTTCGCCTCAAGGTATGTTATACGTAATTTCGATGGGCTGCAAGAGCTAATTGCTGGACGTCTTTAGGGACGTTCAAGTTCCCTGAGTTGCTTCCATCGGAAGAATTTAATTTCTCCAATATGACGCCCTTCTTACAGGGAGAGGATCAACGTCTGTTCATTGATTTCGTTCGTAAAATGCTCCAGTGGGAACCGGAGCGTCGGTCGAGTGCGAAAGAGCTTTATAACGATCCTTGGCTTTACTATAATCCTTGATTATATGGTATCTAATCATGATATGCTTGGATTCTAGTATATTGTAGTATGGTCACATTTATGGCATAATTTTGGTATCCTTCCTAGTCATCAATCATAGCAGGCTGTACATGGTTGCACCAGAAGTAATCCCGGCTGAGCTTACTCTTCATGGGTCACAGTCATATCCAGCACCTCCACACGTCCTCTGCCCCGGGTCTCGTTGCCCACGAACTCATTCAATCCCTTGAAAGCTCCCGGCTCAGCAAAGCCAATGATCTCCCACTCGTCTCCGCCGACAACCTCCTGAGCCTCAATAGATTCGATGTAGCTCAGGATCTTATCCTTGACATTGCTCGGACCCTTGGCAGGTGCGGACTCTGCGTCAGATCCACCTGCCTCATCCTCGGATTCCTGCTGACGGGCTTTCTTGGACCCCTTTCCACCCTTCTTGTTCGACTTGGAGCCGCCCTTGGACGGCGCCTCCTTTTCTTTACCACCCGCGGCAGCACCACCGGCCGCACCACCCTTAACACTCTGCTTCAACAGTGACACAGGACAGGTGACACGGAGGCGCATCCGCGCCCGCATCACAGGGATAGGTTGCCATGCAATAAGCGCCTTCATAGCTTCAAGCGCTTGACTCTTCGCCGACTTGTTGGCCGTCACACCCGTCCAGAGCGGTTTCCTCGGGCGGCTCTCCTCGCTGTCGTCCCCATTCGTCTCCCCATTGCCAGGCGTTTGCGACTGCTGTTGACCACTAGCCGAGCTGAGCTGGTCCAAGGCCTTGGAAATCATTCCGGGGGTATAGACTCGCTTCGTCGTAGGATCGACAAGCCGTCCTGATACGATATCCAACACCTCCTTCTCCACGCGTTCGATAATTTCCTTGCGTTCACGCTCGCCAACTTGCACTTCACCCTTTCGTAGAATTTCTTGCCGGATCTCATCTGCAGGCGTGTCGGCGCCGAAGGCCTTTGTTAACTCGGCGGATGGGGCTGTTTGCGCTTTGGAAACCGACAGGAAGATCGTGGGGACTTGGAGGACATTGTCGAGATCCTTCTCTGCTCCGGAGCGGTACTCGAGGAGTTTGTTCTTGTAGCAGGCGAGTTCGAAGCGCTTTTTACCTGTTGGTCAACCGGTTAGCGGGGTTGCGGGGCCGACTGGAAGTTTCGCAGGCAGTTTTTCTTTCTACGCTGAATTTGCGCATGATCTCCCCACATTATTGACAGACATGCCACGCAAGACGATCACAAATGAAGGGCCACACATGCATATCAATACGTACCCTTTTTTAGCCTGACGACTGATACGTTGGTAAATTTAATCTGATTTGATGGTTGGTTGATGGGCATGTTGCTGGAAGCCTCTGCGACAAAGCAAGAGGCTCTTGTGTATACACAGACTCAATCCAGGTAATATATGGAATCGGTATACTCGTAGTTGCGTCAGTGAGGAGGATTATGTTTCGAATGCGCTGAAAAAAATGCTGTTGATAGCCTAAGGTAGTCACCCGACGGGCTTGTGATTGGAGGAAACCGCAATGACGCTGGTCCCGTGCCATGAGCTGACTCAGCTAGCTGACTCAACGCGTGACTTTCTGCAAAGGGAAGGCACCGGCATGTGATTGGTCGCCTTCCGTTCCTGCTATCGAGGCGTCATCGCCTGCAGCCCATCGAGTACACCTCCTCTTCTCTCCTCTCTCCTTCCTTCCTTCCTCTCCATCCTCTTCTGGGTTTCCATTGATCACCCAGTAGCTGGTCTTTGCTGAGCTATTTGCTTTTCCTATTTTGATACTTTTGTGTCTGTAAGTTCACTTTATGCCCTCTGACCACCTCCCTTGATAACCCGTGCTGATAAGCTCCCTGCCCAGGTACCGTACCTTCCAGACCGCAAGGTACCCATCCTCTGCCTACTCATCCCATCACCATTTCGATTTATACCGGCCCCGTAGGGTTTCAGCAACAATGAGAGTTCTTCCAGCTGCTATGCTGGTTGGAGCGGCCACGGCGGCCGTTCCTCCCTTCCAGCAGGTCCTTGGAGGTAACGGTGCCAAGCACGGTGCCGACCATGCGGCCGAGGTCCCTGCGGATCACAGTGCCGACGGGTTCTCCAAGCCGCTGCACGCATTCCAGGAGGAACTGAAGTCTCTCTCTGACGAGGCTCGTAAGCTTTGGGATGAGGTGGCCAGCTTCTTCCCGGAGAGCATGGATCAGAACCCTCTCTTTTCCCTCCCCAAGAAGCACAACCGCCGTCCTGACTCGCACTGGGACCACATCGTCCGCGGCTCCGACGTTCAGAGCGTCTGGGTCACTGGTGAGAACGGTGAGAAGGAGCGCGAGGTCGATGGCAAGCTGGAAGCCTATGATCTCAGGGTCAAGAAGACCGATCCTGGCTCTCTTGGCATCGACCCCGGCGTGAAGCAGTACACCGGTTATCTCGATGACAACGAGAATGATAAGCATTTGTTCTACTGTAAGCACACCTTGGTTCAAGATCACGCTTTTTATATGCTCTGGATATCTAACGCAACTCAGGGTTCTTCGAGTCTCGCAATGACCCCGAGAACGACCCCGTTGTTCTGTGGCTGAACGGTGGCCCTGGGTGCTCTTCCCTCACCGGTCTTTTCATGGAGCTCGGCCCTAGCAGCATCAATAAGAAGATCCAGCCGGTCTACAATGACTATGCTTGGAACTCCAACGCGTCCGTGATCTTCCTTGACCAGCCTGTCAATGTCGGTTACTCCTACAGTAACTCTGCTGTCAGCGACACGGTCGCTGCTGGCAAGGACGTCTATGCCTTGCTTACCCTCTTCTTCAAACAATTCCCCGAGTATGCCAAGCAGGACTTCCACATTGCCGGTGAATCTTATGCTGGTCACTATATCCCCGTCTTCGCTTCGGAGATCCTGTCTCACAAGAAGCGCAACATCAACCTGCAGTCCGTTCTCATTGGCAACGGTCTCACCGACGGATACACCCAGTACGAGTACTACCGTCCCATGGCCTGCGGTGACGGCGGTTACCCAGCTGTCTTGGACGAGGGCTCCTGCCAGGCCATGGACAACGCTCTTCCTCGCTGCCAGTCTATGATTGAGTCTTGCTACAGTTCCGAGAGCGCTTGGGTTTGTGTCCCGGCCTCCATCTACTGTAACAACGCCCTCCTTGCCCCTTACCAGCGCACTGGGCAGAACGTCTACGATGTCCGTGGTAAGTGCGAGGATAGCTCTAACCTTTGCTACTCGGCTATGGGCTACGTCAGCGACTACCTGAACAAGCCCGAAGTCATCGAGGCTGTTGGTGCTGAGGTCCACGGCTACGACTCGTGCAACTTTGACATCAACCGCAACTTCCTCTTCCACGGTGACTGGATGAAGCCCTACCACCGCCTCGTTCCGGGACTCCTGGAGCAGATCCCTGTCTTGATCTATGCCGGTGATGCCGATTTTATTTGCAACTGGCTGGGCAACAAGGCCTGGACTGAAGCCCTGGAGTGGCCCGGACAGGCTGAATATGCCTCCGCTGAGCTGGAGGATCTGGTCATTGTCGACAATGAGCACACGGGCAAGAAGATCGGCCAGGTTAAGTCCCATGGCAACTTCACCTTCATGCGTCTCTATGGTGGTGGCCACATGGTCCCGATGGATCAGCCCGAGTCGAGTCTCGAGTTCTTCAACCGCTGGTTGGGAGGTGAATGGTTCTAAAGACGTGCTACCACCGCATATAGACTTTCTGGTCATTTCGGTGACACTGCAGATATGTTTCTTAACGATAGTTTGAGCATGCTTGTCAATGCCCACTAGTCCCGAGCCTTATATGTTGCATGGTACCTATGAGTTTTGTCACTATAGTGCATTATGCATTTGTACTTCGTATGAGAATGAATCGATCGCATTTACACGCATATAGATAGTACCCAAACCGTCTGGCAATGAATGAGACCCCGACAGTAGTTTACATATAGTGTAGAAAACTAGGCGTACGGACGTCTCGGTACATATTCAGAGGAAAATAAACCACTCCCATAGAAGCCAAGCCATAAGAGCCTACTCATGTAGTTCGCCACTGAACGCACCCGTATATCGTAAACCAGCAGAAAGAGAAAAGGAAATTGAGGAAAGGATGATTTGGTATTCATTCATATTGGTATGATTCTTTTCATTTCGGACACGGCATTTTCTAATATTGTTCCCGGTCCCAGGGAAGATTTCGTTAAAAAAATCCACACCAAGATACACAAAAGGAATCCATCCTTCCCACGATCCACTCCAGCAAGTACGAAGAAACAAACGCAGATGATATGACCCCGATGATTGTTTTTTAGTTCTTCTTCTTGCTGACACCGACGGTGCGTCCACGACGACCGGTGGTCTTGGTGTGCTGACCGCGGACACGGAGACCCCAGTAGTGACGGAGACCACGGTGGGAGCGGATCTTCTTCAGGCGCTCGAGATCCTCACGGATCTTGCTGTCGAGGGAGTTGGAGACGACCTGGGAGTCCTTGCCATCGGTGATGTCGCGCTGTCTGTTGAGGAACCAGGTGGGGATCTTGTACTGGGTGGGGCTCTGGAGGATGGTGACGATACGCTCGAGCTCTTCGGTGGTGAGTTCACCAGCGCTGTAGAAAGTATGAAAGTCAACTTGGCTGTTCTTGTATCTCCTGCCCATTCAACCTCGTGGTGTTTGCTCTTCTCCCTTCTCTTGTCCGTGGAATCCACTCCCACTCTCTTATCCCCTGCCTCGCATTCGAACCATCGAGAGATGTAGTGTAGTGTAAACGTACCGCTTGCTGAGGTCAACGTCGGCCTTCTTGCAGACCAAGTTGGAGTAACGGCGACCAACACCCTTGATCTGGGTCAAGGCGTACATGATCTTCTGCTTGCCGTCAACATTGGTGTTGAGCAGACGCAGAATGTACTGGAAGTTCGTCTTCTCGCCGGACACGAGCGCTAAAAAATTCCAAAAAAAACCGCAAGTCAGCCTTTCTGTCTTAAAGAATCGGTTGTTGCCATGATGATGATGAAAAATATTCAATGATTCCGTCGCTGCTGTTGCTGCCGTCTATATCCGCGATGATAGTCCTTTTCTCTTTT